AATTTTAAAACATTCAAGTACCTGACTGTTTAGTCAGGGGTACTGATCTTTTTTTCTTTTAGGTTGTCAAGTAAAAAAAAAAAAAGTGACAATAGCCAACACAACAGTAGCCGTCCAGTATGAATGAATAAAAAAAAAGACCAAATTTTGTTTCAAATCAGCAAAAAAATATTTCCTGATGTGCTACAGAATTTTAGTAATTAGTTTGTGTGTGCCATGAGATGAAAAGAGTTGAAAATCACTGTATAAGCTCATCTCTTATTTTTTTGAATGACCAAATATAGGAGATTCAGTGTTACTGGAAATATTTCAGGTTAAAAGTGGTATTCAAGAGTTGTTTATGAACTTATTTCTCTTCTGCCTTAGTGATTGCATTATGATCTCTAACAAGTGCTGAATTTACATTAATATTGTAAAACATTTTTTTAGAAATTAAGTATTTAAAATTTTTAAATGACATTGATGGAATATCATAAAGAAAAGTAAAAAATATTGCCTCAAGTAATCAAAAAGGCTGAAAACATTGAGGTTTTATTAACATATTTGAAAAATAAATACTGATTTTGAAATAATATGGTCTGAAACCTTCTGCCTTGAATATTGCTTTTCTTACACTTCTTCAATTGTGTGCACAGCTGGTGCAGTCTGGCTTGGATTCTTTCTCCCCTTCTCTATGTTCACATTGTCCTGCTCTTTAAAGACAAGAATTGGGTCCTTCTCTTTGTTCCAATGTTAAGGCACCTTGTCTGGAACATAGCGAGCTTTTGATAAATGTACCGTATTTTTCGGACCATAAGACGCACTTTTTCCCCCCCAGAAGTGGGGGGGGAAAGTCCCTGCGTCTTATGGTCCAAATATAGCCTACACATATACTTAAAAAAAAAAGTTTTTTTACTTGCCCGGCTCTGTGTGGTCTCTGTGTGCTTGCCCGGCTCTAAAATGGTTCTAAATGCTGCTGTTTACTTTACAGGGTTGATTACATGTGTTTATGACTGTGATGTTGGGTTTTAATGCACATAAAATATTTTAGGACACTATTTGTTTCAGAATCTTTTTTTCTTCATTTCCCTTCTCTAAAAACTGGTGCGTCTTATGGTCCGGTGCGTCTTATGGTCCGAAAAATACGGTATTTCTAATCAATTTTGAATCAGAAATCTTTAATGGTTACTAGGGTATCATTTGAATTTGGTGTCTAATGAGAAAACAGTATATTATATTCCAGAGTTCATATTAAGCACGTAATGTTAATTTTCTTAAATATTTGTTTTACTTTTACTGGATTCTAGTTAGGAAATTGTATTAATAAAATACTTGCTACAACAACAAACAAACAAAACAAAACAAAACAAAAAACAAAACCAACGGCAGCTTATATCTCTTGGGAGCTATTTTGTAATAGAATGATTCTGAGCTGCTTTGCATGTTTTCTCTTGCCCAATATATAATTTTTGCCAAGGACAGGCTCTACTCACAGTGATGACTGAAAATATTAAGCCACCCTAAATATGGGTTCATGTCACTGTTTCCTCTTGGGCGATCCCTGTCTCTCTGAATTGGCAGCACCTTCCTCAGACTGTATTGCTGTTCTGTATTATTCGTTAACCTCGGTGTATACATCATGTCTGTTACCTCCTTTTTCAAGACCAGGAATGTTATATGCCTGGGGTATAACCACCCATCGTGACTTGCTTCGTTAGGAATTTATGGTCAGACGAGGGGCTCAGAGCATGAATTCACGCACCTTGAAAGGAACTGTGGGCTGTGAAGCTGCAGCAGGCACAGGGGCGGGTCTCGGCCCATCATCTGTACCCCCATCTGGCCCCTCCTGTCTCGGCCCCCGGTCTCCTGTCTGCTGGCTGCCCTACTCCCGCTATCAGTGCCAGCAGAGGATGTGAGAGGTGGCTGTGAGTCCTGATCGCCCCTTAGGAACAGGGTGAGGTGGAGAAGATCTGAGGGGCAATTGAGGCCAGCAGCTGCCACTTGCACTTGCTGATGGCTCCGAGTAATTGGAGCCAGCGAGTAGGGCCCGCACTGCCTGCAGGTGCGAGCACTGTGTGGAACCACAATGTTTGGGAGCAAAGAATTTTCAGTAACCACCAGAGGCTCACCCCAATGACAGCAACCGACACCCTGCTTGGTCTGGTGCCATCACTCACCTGCTCCACTATCTTGCTACAGCTGATGATACCTGCCATGTTCCATGCTCTGCTGACTGCTGCCAACACCCACCATGTTCTGCTCATGCCCCCTGTCATAGTGATAGGTTTGGTTGTTCCAGTTCTGTCATTTAGTCTATTTACATATTAGGGTTTTATATATATATATATATATATATATAGGTCACCCTGTGAGATTACTTCCCATAGAATTCCTTTTAGGGCCACACCACTGTAATTGAGTCCCTAACTAATTCATTAGGTCCTTCCAGTGTAAGAGTTGAAAGCAGCAATTTTCAACTGGTGTGCCGTAGCACAGTGTTTTTCAACCTTTTTTGGGCAAAGGCACACTTGTTTCATGAAAAAAATCACGAGGCACACCACCATTAGAAAATGTTAAAAAATTTAACTCTGTGCCTATATTGACTATATATAAAGTACTTCTCTTGAATAGGAATCAAATAAACACAAAGAAAGTATTTTATAATTACTTTATTATGAAATATTAAGTAAACAAAATAGTGAAAAATTATAAAATTCTTGTCTGCACCTACGGCACACCAGGCAACATCTCGCGGCACGGAACAGCGGTTGAAAAACGCTGCCATAGCATGTGCTGCCAGAATTTTAAAGCATGCGATACCTGATTATGTAGTCAGAAGCACTGACCTCTTTTCCTGTAGACTGTCAAATTTAAAAATAACAATAACCAACACAACAATAGCCACCCATGTGAATGAATGAAAATTATACCTTTGTTTGTTTGTTTTTTTAAGTCAGATTGGCAAAAATACAATATATAAAGTATTTTTTGGTGTGCTGCAGAATTTTAGTAATTAGTTTATGTGTGCCATGAGATGGAAAAGGTTGAAACTCGCTGGTTTAAAAGAATTAAAAGAATTTGACATAGTTTGGAAATTCTGAAAGGCTTCTCTGAAAGAGTTTTAGAGAAATTGTGGCATCTCTGTGGAGCTGTACAGAAGTAGATAGATTTGAGAGAAATTTAGGTCTAATCCTGCTCTTTGGGAGTGAAGATGGGAGAACAGATTTTAAGAATGAGTCCCTGGTTCTAGGCTATAAAAGAGGAAATCTTACCTATTGCGACAGCATGGATGGACCTGGGGAGTATTATGCTAAGTGAAATAAGCCAATCAGAGAAAGAAAAATACCATATGATTCTACTTGTATGTGGAATCTAATGAACAAAATAAACCTAACAAACAAAATCGAAACAGACTCATACTAGTAAATACAGAGAACAAACTGACACTTAAAGGTGGGAGTGGGATTGGGGTACTTGGTGGAAAAGTTGAAGGGATTAAGCAAAGAAAAAGAAAACTTATAGGCACAGAACCACTATGGGGTTTATCAGAGGGAAGGGGGAATTGAAGAGAGATAGAAGGGAGAAAAGGGGGGATAAATAGTGATAAAAGGGTACTTTACTTGGGGTAGTGAACACACAATACAATATACAGATGATTCTATATAATAAAAGCCTAATATGCTAAGTCCGGTTGTCCGGTCATTCATTCAACCTGTCAAAGCGTAATATGCTAATGATATACCAAGGCTGCTATACCGCTCGCTATGACATGCACTGACCACCAGGGGGCAAACACTCCGATTGGTAAGTCAGCTTGCTGCTGAGGTCCAGCTGATTGGGACTGACGAGATGAGCAGGACACACCCTGGAGCCCTCATGTGGTACCTCCCCAGCTGGCCAACCTCCCACATCCCTCCCCAGCCCTGATCGTGCACCAGTGGAGTCCCTAGGCCTGGCCTGCATCCTCTCACAATCCATGACCCCTCAGGGGATATCAGAAAGCTGGTTTCGGCCTGATCCTGCTCAATGGAGGAGCTGCCCTCTGGTGGTCAGTGCACTCCCAAAGGGGGAGCACTGCCAGCCAGAAGCTGGTTTCACAGCTGGCGAGCACAGTGGCGGTGGCTGGAACCTCTCCCACCTCCATGGCAGTGCTTGAATGCCCCACTGCTGTCTTAAGCCTGCTTCCCATCAGTCAGACATCTCCTGAGGGCTCCTGGACTGCGAGAGTGTGTAGGCCAGGCTGAGGGACGCCCCCCGAGTGCATGAATTTCATGCATTGGGCCTCTAGTGTACTATAGAATTGTACACCTGAAACAGTCTTATTAACCAATGACACCCCAATAAATTCAATTTAAAAAATCTTGAAATTTTCAACAACAAAAAAGAAGATGAGTCCTGATTTCTAGCTGTCCTGCTAAACAGATGTGGTGCCATTCTCTGGAGTATAATGAGAAGAGCCAGAGATTTGAAAAATAGCGTTGAAATTTGAGAAACTCCAGTACTTGATGGCCAGTAAGGGGAGGTTGTACCAGAAAGGGAGATAGAATGGAACCAGCCAGGTCCACCAGAGGTAAACAGCGGAATGTGCTATCCTGGGAGGTGAGGGAAACAGATTTAGCATATCAAGAAGAGGGAGCAGGCAGAAGAACTTTATCCTTTCAGTGAAGAAAAACAACACAACAAAAACGGGGAGAATAGGATGGCTGTAGGTTTGCTATAATAAAAGTTGAGACTACTTGACATAGTCTTGGTGAATTTTGATAAATTTCTCCAAAGAGATACCTGTTGTTCCCATTCCTCACCACTGACTCACTCCTGACACTATACAAGTAGGGTTTCTATACTCTCCCACGATGGCTAACTCTATCATTAAATCCAAATTATGAGAAAGAAATGTGGAATCCACACTATTGGTATTATTTATTAGCTTCTATTGATTAGGCATCTGCTCAGTGTTAAGTTAAAAAAATTTAAAGTAGTCACTGTTATGTTTGTTCTTTTCCATAATCCCTGTTTGTCAGAAGAATGATGAAAATGGAAACTGCTCAGGGGAAGGAATTGAATTCCCTACAACAAATTTATATGAACTGGAAAGCCGTGTTTTGACTGATCATTGGTCCATCCCTTACAAGCGAGAAGAATCACTAGGCAAATGCTTGTTGGCGTCTACCTACCTTGCAAGACTTGGTAAGTTTTCAGACTCAGAACACATGAGCAGATTTTTTATTTTTTAATAAGAGACCTGATTTTAAACTTAGTTCTTATCATTGCCTATCTGTATAATCTTAGAACATTTACTCTATTCTTTGCTTATCCCTGTGGAATAAAAGCTTTGAATTAAATCAACTGTTTTCATACAGCTCCAGTAGAGTGTAAGATTCTTTAAAATATCATTGAAAAAGCTTATAAATTGAAATTAACGTTCCACAGAAGCTTGGAGCACTTTAAAAGTCCCAATTCATTGGCTTTTTATTTTTTTTAAGAGAAGGTAATATTTATTTAACAGATATTCTGTGGTTAAGTGTTTGGCATTGTCTTAAATGCTTTACAAATATTAAACTAATAGAGTAATAAAATATCACTAAACTGGAAAAATGGATGTCAGTATAAGGAAGCTTCTGTAGTATGTTTTAAAGAGAAAGTAATTTCTTTTTCATATTGAATTGAATTGTAAAGTAAGAATTGGACCACTATTTTGTGTGTGTGTTTTACCCCCTCATTAAAAGTGTGTGTAGTTTACCATCATGATTAAATGTGAGGCACATTAGTAGGATTAGTAGGTAGGAAATGTTTCCCTGGGATTAGATTTAAGCCTAATGGGCAATTTTCTGGTACATTTATTACTGGCTTTTCAGCAGCAACATTTATTAAGTGCCTGTAAGATGTAGATACTGTGCTAGGCAGTGGTTCTGATAAAAAAAGTGTTCAGTAGGCATTCACTTAGCAAATTTTTTTTCACATACTGTGTGTGTGTGTGCCAGGCACCATTCTATGCATTTTGTTACACAGAATTCATCAGTTTGTTTTAGGGAAGAAGAGAGATTTTTGGCACTTATTGAGAATATTTGTATTTTATAGAGCTGTTTAGGAAAGTAATGGTAAGTACCGTATTTTTCAGACCATAAGACGCTCCGGACCATAAGACGCACCAGTTTTTAGAGAAGGGAAATGAAGAAAAAAAGATTCTGAAACAAATAGTGTCCTAAAATATTTTATGTGCATTAAAACCCAACATCACAGTCATAAACACATGTAATCAACCCTGTAAAGTAAACAGCAGCATTTAGAACCATTTTAGAGCCGGGCAAGTACACAGAGACCACAGAGCCGGGCAAGTAAAAAAACTTTTTTTTTAAAGTATATGTGTAGGCTATATTTGGACCATAAGACGCAGGGACTTTTTCTCCCCACTTCTGGGGGGAAAAAAGTCCGTCTTATGGTCCGAAAAATACAGTAGTTAGTGTTGGTATTTCATTAGTTTAATCAGGTCATTTGAAGTTACTCTGACATGGAAACATAAGTTCAACCATTTTAGTTCTAATTAATATTTATTTATTATACTATTTAACAATGTATATTAATAATGAATAAGTAATAATAAATACATTGTGCTACTAATAAATAAATTAATACTGTGATTGTTTATCAGCCTGTTCCTTCATCAGAATGTATATATTCTGCTTTTAATAATCTCTTAAGAATCAAGGTTTCTATCATAAATAGTTCCAGATGTATGAATTTGAAATGATACATATGGTCTCCACAAACTACTTAAAAATCTAAGGCATTTTTTTTCATTTATTTTACTAAGGTCTTTCTGAGTCTGACGAGAATTGTAAAAGATTTATGGATAGGTGTATGCCTGAAGCGTTTAAAAAGGTAAGAAATATGTGCTCGGCTGATTTCTTTTCTGCTGGGGTTGAAGGGGAACGGGCTTTTTGATTTAGTTTTTTATGTGTGAGACCAGTTTATGAATCTTGTTCAACTGAGGAACCCTCTAATATGAAAAAGGTAGCTGTAGATTTGGGGCTTATAAGTGATTTGCTTCTTTTGTATTTAATTGCTTGCACATGTCTTTTGGTTGACTAATAGTTCTATTTAATTGTTAAGGTTAAAATTTTATACTAGGAAATTAGACATCTTACTAAACTAAGGATTATGGTGCTTAGAAAGATAATATTTATCAGAATATAAGCCATTTTATACTTTTTTACTGAAGTAGAGGCAGATGTTTTAAACTATAGAAAGTTTGACTGGATTGAGTATTCTTGCTGGCAAAGTGACATGCGGATGACAGCATCCGTATCTGGATAGAGTGATAATAGGAGACCACAGGACTTGTTTTTCTAACTCAAGGAAGGAAGATTCCCTTTTCAGGATGAGTCCTGAATTCCCACAGGAACCGGGGCAATGTCATAGACACTGTTGTCTTCCCCAGCGTGTAGCCAGTGCTGAGCTCAAAGAAAGGATTTAGTAAATCTTTGTTGAAAGAGTAAATGAGCCCTTGCTGTTTGGCTCAGTGAACAGAGCGTTGGACTGCTGACTGAAGGGTCCCGGGTTTGAGTCTGGTCAAGGGCACATGCCTGTGTTGCGGGCTCGATCCCCAGTGGGGGCGGGACGTGCAGGAGGCAGCGAATCAGATTCTCATCATTCATTTTTCTATCTCTCTCCCTCTCCCTTCCTCTCTGAAATCAATAAAAATACACCTTTTTTTCTAAAAAAGAATAAATGAGTCTCCTGTCTTGTACTTCTGGGTTTTGACAACCATTTTTGTCTCATGCAAGTAAGCCACTACAACTACAGATGAGTAAAGTTGTGCTTATCTTAACACCCAGTAAAACAGCTGTTCATTTGCAAACTTTTATTCTCATTTGCATCTCGACAGATAGAATCTCCTTTGATTCATGACTTAAAAAATAACTATAGAAACAAAAAAATAGCTTCGTCTTTGAAAAAGGGAAGAAATCTTTAAAATTGTTATTAGGTTAGGGATTATTTGGAATGAGAATTTATCTTCATTTTGAATGACTTCATCAACCAATTTGTAGTTTAAAATTATTTTAAGTTTTTAAGAATTCTGGTAAGAAGCAGAGTTGTAATACAACAAACTGAGACATCTATAATAATGAAAGTATAATATGCTAATTAGACCAGGCAGCCAGATGACCTGGATGAAGCTGGGGCTGTGAGGGCCGAGCCCCTTGCACAAATTTTGTGCATTGGGCCTCTAGTATAACATATGCATACATTTACAGAGAGAGAAAATGCAAGTTTCTTCAGTCATGGAAAGGATTTGTCAGCATAAGGAAAGGACCTTTTGGTTGATGATCTCCAGATTCAGAGAGCCCTATCAATTCACTAGCAAGTTGCATTTTTGGAATATAATACTCTAATTCCATACAGAGATGCTGCAGAGGACTGTTTTATATTATGCCCTCAGCTGTTGGTAATAGTGTAATAAATGATTGAGGGATTCTTTGGGGGGTTTTCTGTAAAACTGAGAGCACAAGGGCACCCTGCATTGTATTGTTCATGGTTGTTTATGGTAAAAATGCCTGTTAAATTCCTTTAGTGTTGAGAACTTTAAAAAAGATTCTCCTCCCATCAATAAGGCATGCTTTCTTTTATTAAATTGGAAGAGCTACAGAATTCTCTGTGCCTTCAGACTTGCCTGCCAGAAAACTCAGTAGTGTTTTATATAATTGGTCTTGGTTTCCTTAGCTGTGTTTTCTGGTATGAAGACTCTCCTTCTTCCCCCTTCTCAAGGTTTTTCTTACAAGCTGCCTCAAAATTTTTAGAAGGGTATAAGTTAGTAAGCAGTTGTATGAATAAGATGCACAAAAGGAGCTTGGTTGTCATTTCTGCTTTCTTCACCTTACTCTTTAGGCCAGCCTGGATTCTTTCTCTTTTTTTAAATTACTTTATTGATTAAGGTATCACATATTTGTCATCATCCCCCCATTTCTATCCCAAACCCCTCCCCATAGCCTGGATTATTTACTAGTTTGTTGAGGCATGGGAAAAAATCTAGGTGTGGCCATAGTGCACAGGTATGCATCTTCCCCACCAGGTGCTGCTGTCCTTCCCTATCTCTTCTGGAAGACAGAACTTCATTTTCCAATTAAAAACTGAATAAATGAGATGGCAACAGAGGGACTAGTGCTTAATCCATCTACATTTTTTTGTTATTGTCACCATGAAGCTTCTTAAATGTTAATCTCTGCTGCTTTAATTTTTAAATATAAGAAGAATATATAGGCAAGCAGAAAACACTCATTGGTTTATATAAAAATCAGTCTTATGTTTATTGCTCATTTAAACAAATAGTGCAACTAATTGGAATATAAAAAGTCTGGAACTGAGGTTTTCCTCTGCAGCTAAAGAAGTTTGAGCTCTCCTTAGGCCGCTCTTGTTAAGAGCTTCTTAATGTGGCCACGATTAAATTTTTATTGCACTATATTTTCTCTCTGAAGGGAAATTTTATGCAAACATGAAATCACTATATCAATTTACCATTATTTTAATAAGTGAAATCCTTTGAGTTCTCATTCCCTGTTAAGGGAAGATATTACATATGTGTCCCTATTCCACCTCCCCCACCAAAGCCCTCACCTCCCTGGTGTCTCTGTTCATTGATTATGCTTATATGCATGTGTACAAGTCCTTTGGTTGATCTCGCCCCCTAATCAACATGTTGATGCTCTTAATAGAACTGGTTGCAGAGAGAATAAAACAATAGCCATTGTTTCTGAATTAGGCTTCCTCAAGGAATACAATACGGAGGATTGGGGAAATTCAGTAAGGATGATTTTAGATTCATCTATGTGCCTGTTCCCTCTTTTTAACAAATATAAGATGTTGAGTATAAGATGCACCATTGTCTTATATTTTATGCCTATATTTAAGAAAAATAGCTACAAAGTAAACAATATTGCAGTGCCTTATCACTTAGAGCTGTTTTGATTTACTTAAACATTTTTAAAAGTTGAATATTACTTTTATACAAACCAAAAAGAGAAATGCAAGCAAAATAAACTGGTAAGGTATTTCTAAATATTTTTTCACATTCAGAATCCTGTTGTAATCTGGTCGGCAGGTGAGAAGCTGCAGTCCTGTTTCTGAGATATAAACAATCATAAAAAGAATGTGTATGTTAGAATCCATGGAATTCATTTCTTAGGCTCCAGGAATACTGGTTAATGGTTATCTCCAAGCTAAGTTAATAATACCTCACGATTTGTAAAATTGTTTCACATTTGTTACATCTTTTGATAATCATAACATCTGTGTAAAGCTGGTAGGAACTTTGTCTCTTTAGAGATGACAGAACTAACTGAACCTTTGAAACTTTGGTACATTTGTCCAAGGCTACACAGCTAGAAAACACAGTATCAGGAGTTGATCTAGTTGCTCTAAAACATTTAACCTTCCCAAGAAAGACTGAAAAGTATAGAAGCAAATTAAAATTTTTTAAATTAACTTCTTTAATGTAAGGGAATTAAAGTTTAAAAACAAAAGTCAGTGTTGACTGAAATGCATGAATGAGCAGATGGACTACAGCTATGGGTCTTTTTATTTTATTTTAATTTTATTATTATTATTTCATTTTTATTGATTAAGATATTACATATAGCCGAAACTGGTTTGGCTCAGTGGATAGAGCGTCAGCCTGTGGACTGAAAGGTCCCAGGTTCGATTCCAGTCAAGGGCATGTACCTTGGTTGCGAGCACATCCCCAGTGGGGGGGGGGTGCAAGAGATAGCTGATCGATGATTTTCTCTTATCGATGTTTCTAACTCTCTATCCCTCTCTCTTTCTCTCTGTAAAAAATCAATAAAATATATATTTAAAAAGAAAAGATATTACATATGTGTCCCTATTCCACCTCCCCCACCAAGGCCCTCACCTCCCTGGTGTCTCTGTTCATTGATTATGCTTATATGCATGTGTACAAGTCCTTTGGTTGATCTCGCCCCCTTCCCCCAACCTCTCCTGCCTTCCCAGCAGATGAGTGGATTAAAAAACTGTGGTACAGCTGAGAGTCTTTTAAAGCAAGTCATCTGCATAAAAAGTATTACGGTAATAGTCTCTTGATTATTTGAGACTGAACTAATAAACTGTTGACTTTTTTCCTTTTCAAATTAGACTCTAAATTGTCCTTCATGTTTTTGTAGCTCCTAACATCAAGTGCTGTTCACAAGTGGGGTACTGAAATTCATGAAGGAATCTACAACATGTTGATGCTCTTAATAGAACTGGTTGCAGAGAGAATAAAACAAGATCCAATTCCCATTGGTCTCCTGGGTGTGCTTACAATGGTATAGTATCTCCAAAATATGAATGCTTTGTTTTATATTTTGTTTAACATACCTACTATCCTTTGACTTGTACTTAATGAGTGACATTATCATTAATGATATTAACTTAGCTATTAGGATAATTTTTATTTTGAAAGCAGAGCAACCATTCTATTTTCACATTTAAAGAAATTCCTTTTTAATTTTAGTAGTTTTTTCAGTTCTTAGAATGATTAAATAGCTTTTTCCTATGTCTCCCTTGTTATTTATGGCATAAATACTTTCACATAAGGTGTTCGTGTATTTTGCTTTCTGGCCTTTTCCCCTGACTAGCAATAGTAGTGCATGAAGAAGGAATGCTCATGTTTTCCCCCCTAACTTCTGTCTTCACTGCCTTTCTGCCCAGCTCTGCCTGTGGCAGCCCTAGGAGATCTGGACTATTGGTATCCCCTTGCTTGAATCAGACTGTTGCCTCCTTCTCTTCCCTCACAGCAAATGTTGAACAGGTCGGGAGAGCACCACTTCAGTCATTTGCTCCTTTGCATCATCTAGAGTATGCTTTGTGAGGGCACTTGTAAGACTCCATTAATAAAGGAGTCCAAGGCTGTATTTTTATCTTTTCTAATGCTAATACGTGTTGCTATGGAAATTAATAATGTTTCTGTGTTCTCTTTGAATCTAGGCTTTCAATCCTGATAATGAATACCATTTTAAAAACAGAATGAAAGTGTCTCAAAGGAACTGGGCAGAAGTGTTCGGAGAGGGAAATATGTTTGCTATCTCACCTGTATCTACTTTCCAAAAGGTAATCATAATTTTTTAATCTTTTACTGAGAAATGTATTGAAAAAGGTTTTCTGTACTGTAAAAATAAGAGTTTACACAGAAGAGTTAAAACAGACTATGAAAAATGACAAATATTCCATATGAGTCATAAAATTGCTGACCTTTTTTTTTTTTTTTTTTTTAGATATTCTATATTTTTCCATAGATGTAAAGTAACATCATGAAGAATTTTACAGACATGAAGTGATGTTTAGTGAAATGAGAAATGATTGCATAGCAATGCCCTGTTTAGTGAATTATCAGAACCCCAGTTTAATGGCTGTCCCAGTTCCTTATTTGGAATCATTTAAATTGACTCGTTAAACCTAGAAAAAATAATTCAGTAGTTTCATGTGTAATTTGCTTTTAAACTCCATAAGTATTAACAGTTTTGTTTTCAAGTACAGAACCAGTATCTTTATATCTTTCAAGTCCTACAATGTGTGAATAGCATTATATCCACAAGGAGGACATAATTTAAATAATCCCTTGATCAAACAACTGGTTGTAAAGAAACAGTTGAAAGAAGTCAATTTAGTAGATAAAAAAACTTATGCATTGCTTTAGCAGAATAGAAGTTCTTTATCAGGAGTAGAGGCTTAGTAAGTAAATGTTCAGCTATTGATTGACCATATACTGTGTGTCTGACATTATTCTATGTTTTGGAGATATAAATTAAAAGGCCATTTTTCTTAATATAAAGAGTAATAAGACATGATTTATAACTTAAAGCATAGTGGAAGAAATATGAAAACAAAAAAATTACTGTGTAACAAACAATAGGTACAGTTATAATACAGACTTAGAGTCTCCCAAAATTATATATTCTGGTAGTTATGTCAGAGATTTGCATTAAGAAACATTTGGGAAAACCCTTCAAAATATTTTTCAGATTTTAATACTTTTTTATCCAGTATTTTTTAGAGTAAAAAAATATAAGAGTTCATGGGAAGTTTTTATATTGCCATCTCAATCTCTGTTTTCTTTTCTCATAGGAACCTCATGGATGGGTTGTGGATTTGGTAAACAAGGTATACAACTTTTATTAATGACTTATTTTTCATGTTCTGATGAAATTTTCTAGAATTTAGTATATAAAGTAGATGACAACTAGAGAGATAATCAGAATTTTTTTCCTAGAGAGACAGATTTTATAGTCCCTTCCTCTTTTTTATGCATGATGTTTATCCAGGTGGATACCAGCCTTAGTTCTCAGCACGCCTCCTGCAGTGAGTGTGTCACAGGAGCACTAGAGCTCTCTGTGATGGCTCTCGAGCAGTCGTATAGAGTGCATTAATAGAGTAGTTGCTTGCCTAAAATATTAATGTGTGGTATTTTAAAATGAACTTATACCTTTTTTTTCAGTTTGGAGAATTGGGTGGATTTGCAGCAATCCAAGCTAAGCTCCGTTCAGAAGATATAGAACTTGGGGTAAGTTAAGCCACTACATGTGCCTGATATGGAAGTTCACTTTATATTTGTGTTGTATGTAACCAAGGACATGACCTGGACACAATAAATTAAATGATACAGTATAATATAATCTTTACAGAGCCAGCTTCCATGGTTCTGATAAATGTAGAAATGCTTACTCTTATTCATAACAACCAAATTTCAATATAGACTATTATTTTTTCATTAATTTCCCTTTGCATATGGTATTTTTCTCTTAATTTGTGATGGCTACATGAAATTATCTTTTATTTAAGGACATTTGGTATATGTGACGAGTATTTGTGTACATAACAATTTTATGCCTCAGTTAAATAAATTGATTTCATAGAACCAGGCACAAATAAAATACTTTAAGGTTGTATAGTAAGCTTTTTGGTGTTAGATTGATAACGGAGGGCTGTAACAGGAGCTGAGAATCATCTCTTAGGTTCAACACCATTATCTTTTCATGTCAACTTCATTTTCTCAAAAAAATTTTACCTTGTGGTTAGGGAAATAATTTCATCTTTTAATTTTATGCATACTGCTGACCTGATTGTAACTGAGAGCACTTTATTCTATTCTCTAGGTAATTAGTCATTCAATTAAAAACAATTTATGTAGCCCTGGCCAGTTTGGCTCAGTGGTTAGAGGGTCACATATTCGATTCCTAGTCAAGGCACATACTTTGATTGTAGGTTCCCTAGCCCCCTATAGGGGGCATCTAATTGATGTCTCTCTCACATCGATGTTTTCCTTTCTCTCTCTCCTCCTCTCCCCTCTCTTCCACTCTCTCTGGAAATTAATGGAAAAAATATCCACAGATGAGGATAAAAAAACAAACTTATGTACTTGCCATGTATTAAGACACTGTGCTAGCTACTATAAGTAGGTCAGAGCAGAAAATGATATGGTAAAATTATATGCCTAAGTGATTCAAATTGTGTTTAGAGTAACAGTTATTTCTTGGGACCATGACTAATCTTTGCATGAGGGACTTAACAGTCAAGGACAAAGACTGATGTTATGGTTGATAATACAATAGACTGATCCTTTCTTACCACCCACTGTTTGTCCTTAAAGATCAGATGTCTGCCAGATCATAAATACTTCCACTGACCCAATCGGGGAGCCTCTTTCACCTGCCCTGAGCATTAGCTAGGTTTTTGGGCTGTTGTCATTAGCTAGGTTGTTGGGCTGTTGTTTTATCCCCATTGAATAAAGTATGTTAGAAATGACTGTTGACCAGAAAGATAATAGGTAGTGATTTAAAAAAGCAAAATAAAACAGAAACGTTTTCAGATACAGGGTCTTATTCAGCTGATATGAGAAATTTAACTTCATTAAAAAAAAAAAAAAAAAAAAAAAGGTTAATACAGCCCTGGCTGGCATGGCTCAGTTGGTTGGAGCTTTGTCCTGTACACTGAGAGGTCTCAGGTTTGATTCCCGGCCAGGACAGATATCCAGGTTGTGGGTTCCATCCCCAATCAGGGCGTGTGCAGGAGACAGCCAATGTTTCTCTCCCTCTTCCTCTCCCTTCCCCTTTCTCTTTCCCTAAAATCAATAAAAGCATGCTCTTGGGTGATGATTTAAAAAACAAAAACAAAAACAGAGCAGACAAAATTTCTACCCTACTTAGATGAAAATTGGTTAAAGATAGATACATAGGGATCTGAGCTTATTGTCGTTATTTTCAAATGTCTTGAGGTTAAAGATTCTTCCAAGATTTTTTCCTCAGTCCATACCATTTTTTTAGAGCAGTTGTGTTGTGTGTTGCCATTAATGTAGAATTATATTGTTTAGATTGTATTGAGGGATGATAAAATTCAGGTCTAGGAGAAAGAGATTCCAAAATTGAGATTCTTAAAAAGTATGATGGAAATTTCATAATACTGATTTTTGACCAGTTAAGAAGGTGATTATGTCTCAGAATAAATTTAGGCCATATGATAAATGGAGTACAATTTAATGATTCATTTTATATTAACGTTTACACTCACATTAAATATTTTGAATTTGAAAAATCTGGGGAAGGGAGACCATTCACAGTCCATCAATTAAAATTGATATCTGTTCCAAATAAGAAGGGAAAGTTGCCTTTCCTCACCACATGAATTACGTACCTCCTAGAAAATGGTTATCATTTTAGGCTTAGCCTTTCTGAGTTTTTTCTAAACTTACATAAAATACATCTGGCCGAAACCAGTTTGGCTCAGCGGTAGAGCGTCGGTCTGCAGACTGAAAGGTCCCAGGTTCGATTCCGGTCAAGGGCATGTACATTGGTTGCGGGCACATCCCCGGTAGGGGGTGTGCAAGAGGCAGCTGGTCGATGTTTCTCTCTCATCGACGTTTCTAGCTCTCTATCTCTCTCTCTTCCTCTCTGTAAGAAAAATCAATAAAATATATTTTAAAAAAATACATCTGTACATGTTCTTTCTCTTTTTAAGACTAAATTATAATCAAGCTATGCCTAGTAGCATTTTTTCACTTCCAGGTTAGTATCATCAGTGTTTTTAATGACTCCAGTGTATTCCTACAAAAGTTGTACCAAGATGCAGTCATCTATTAATAAGCATTGGATTATTTCTAAGTTTTTGCTATTGCAGAGAATGTTCCATGTAAATTTGTCTTTATATGTATATGCAACCATTTTTGAAGGATAGATTGCTGGAAAACAGGATTACTGGGTTAAAATTATAATTGATAGTGCTAAATCTCTTCCCCGAAAAGTCATTTCATAATCCTTTTATTATTGCTGATTGTTTTTAATCTTTAATTTTTCACTATGATGGATAGAAAGTGATATCTTACTGTTTATTTGTAATATTCCAATTTTCTATGAATTTGAGCATTTCACCATACAATTATTGGCTGTTTCTATTTCTTCTTTAACTTGACCCAATTGTGTAGGTCTCTTAGTTTTTTGTTTTGATAAATTTCAGGACTTCTTTTTATATTAAGCTTATCCAAGCCATGTTTATTTTGTGTGTTTGTGAATTTTTTTCTTCCAGTCTTTTGCTTCTCTTTTTATTTTTATTGCTGGCTATATAGAAGCTTCAAAATTTTATGTAATCATTATTTTTCTAAATGGCTTAAAAGATTCATAACTTGCTTGGGCAATGTTCTTCCCATCTCAGGGTTATAAAAACACTCATTTCATTTTATACTTAACAGTTTTATTTATCATTCTCATATTTTTATTGTTCTGATTATAATCAACATATTAGGTTCTCTTGCAGAAAATCCCATTGAGATTGTGTTAAGTTTATAGATAGTGTGTAGAGAATTTATATTTTTTACTGTACTAGTCCTTTTCATTTAAGAACACAGTAACCCTCATTTATTTGGGCTTTCTTGTATATATGTCAGTAAACTTTTATAGTGCTCTTCATGGAAGTCTTAAATATTTTTTTGTTAATGGCACATTTCACTCCTTCCTCAACCGTTCTCCACTTTTCTTCTTTTTCAAATAAAAATTTTCAGTATTGTATGATATGAACTTCAGAATAATTTTAGCTAGTCCTCCAAAAAAGTTTTATTAGCATGCTATTATTTAAATTACATTAACTTTTTATAATAATTAAATGGATTAACATCTTTATATCAATTCTTTCTACCCAAGAGTTCAGTTTGTCTAGTTATTCATTTGTGACTTGATAAAACTTCTACTTAAAATTTTCTCTGACATAGTGAAAGGAATTTATTTAATGTTGAAGGAAAAAACCGCACTTATATTTATTTCTAACCTTCACTGTCATTTTTCAGGCAGTCTCAGCATTGGTGCAGCCCTTAGGAGTGTGTGCAGAGTACCTCAATTCCTCAGTGGTTCAGGTAAGATTGGGCCATTTACATTTACTTCAGAAGTTGATCTAAAACATACAAACAGTAATTATCTTTTTATCAGGTTTGTCCAGAATTGTACCTTATCCAGAGTAACCTCTAGTGGAAATATTAGCATGAGAAAATTTTTAAATGATTAATAATTTAAGGTCTAGGAGACTTCTAACATTTGAGATTACTTTCCTTTTTAATTTATCATTTTGTAAATATAATACTATGTAATAAAGAGATAATATGCAAATTGACCATCACACCATCTCAAAGGGCAGCTCCCACAGTGGAGTCAGGGCTGGCTGCTCCATGGGCCTGCCGCCAGAGTTCCCTGAGCCCCATCAGGGGCCTAGAGTCCTCCAGCACGCCCCACTGATTGAAGCTCAGGCAAGCAGGGCCGGCCGAGGTACAGGCAAACCTCAGGTGGTGGCTGCCCAGCCGCCCAGTGCCGTTCCGAGGCTCAGGTAACCAGGGCCTGCCAAAGCTTGCACTGCTGGCAGTGGCAGCAGCAGAGGTGTGATGGGGTCTTCGCCTTCCCCTGATTGCCAGGTCGCCTCCCGCCCCTGAGGGCTCTTGGACTGTGAGAGGGGGCAGGCCAGGCTGAGGGACCCCCCCTATTCATGCACTAGACTTCTAGTCTTATCTAATAAAAGAGTAATATGCAAATCAACCATCACTCCAAGACACAAGATGGCCACCCCATATGGTCAATGATGACTGCCTCCATGTGGACACAAGATGGCCGCCATAAGATGGCCAGCAGTTGTAGGAAGTTAAGGGTGACCAGGCCAGCAGAGGAGGGCAGTTGGAGGAGATCAGGCCAGTAAGGGAAGACAGTTGGGGAGGACCCAGGACTGCAGGGGAGGGCTGTTGTGAACAATCAGGCAAGCAGGAAGGTGATTAGGCCAGCAGGGAGGAGCAGTTGAGGGAGACCAGGCTAGCAGGGGAGGGCAGTTTGGGAGAGGAGGGTGGGGAACCCAGGCCTGCAGGGGAGGGCAGTTGTGGGGGGACAAGGCCTGCAGGGGACAGTTAGGGGGACCAGGCCTACAGGGGAGGGCAGTTGGGAGCCAGCAGTCCTGGATCGTGAGAGGGATCTCCGACCTGTTTAGATTCGATCCCGCCTAAACGGGCAGTCGGACATCCCTCAAGGGGTCCCAGATTGGAGAGGGTGCCGGCTGGGCTGAGGGGGGACCCCCCCCCCCTTCCCATGCATGAATTTAATGCAGTGGGCCTCCAGTTTATATATAATAGCATAAATTTTCTTTATTTCCTTGCCTATAAAAAGGCTGCATAAATCCCACTCCCTTCACAGGATTTTTAAGGTTCACCATTATGTATTAAATTAGATCAATGTTGAACAACCCACTAGACTAACTTACTAGCTGAGTCTCTCACTACTGAATAACAGCTTAATAGCACATCTTGTCTGATTTCCTGCCTCTGCATTTGGTAAGTCAACAGGTCATAAAATATTCAAAGCTGTGAGTGTTCAGGTTTGTAGTGCTTAAGTCCTATTATACTCTTTGTTTCCTTTCCATTTCAGTGAACAAGTTTTACTGAATAAAATATCACACTTAAATACCTCCATTTATTATTTTCTTTATAAATAAGTGTGTGAAACTGGTAACTTTTAGAGATTTTTTTTAAATCACTGTAAATGATTTTAAAAGTGCAGTGAGTGTCCTTTGTGGGCAGTGTTTTGTATCCACAGTTCCTTATTTCTAAAACATGATTTACTCATAGCTATTTTAACAAGAGAGCTATGATTTTTTTTTAGTAGGTTCTGCTATTTCCAGTGTTAATGCCTTTTTTAGATGTCAAAGTAATACTGCAAGATTTTCAAATGAAATATATTTCAAATGACAGGTATTTCTTCATTCTGAATATTAAGTTCTTAATAAGCATCTAGTATTCTTTCAACTTATTAAGCATGTAAATGTAATTAGTTTTGTAGCTGAAACACTAAGACACAAAGAGGCAAAGTGATTTGAATATTTAATAATTTAACAAAAATTAATAATTGGCTTTTTAGTAAAAAGGCCAGGATTGGATTTTTAAATGCATGCAATGCTCCATGGAAAGAGATTTAGTATAAATATTCCAGCTGCTAGTTAATATCAAGTTCTTTAGAAATTTCAGGTTTTATATACAGGCATAGAATTACTTGAAAAAAAGTAAAAGAAGTATATGACTTTCCAACCAAAGCATATTTAACATCATCTTTATTTTATTATATTAAAATACCCAGCCTTAAATTCATGCCATAGTCATACCATGTTACTTGGCCATAAATTAATAGTTGTCTCTACCATTGTTACTTGTGTGACTTTGCAAGACTTATCTGACGTTTGTTCCTTGGCTTCCTTGTCTGTAAAATGGTGATGATAATCATGCCTGTCTCACAGAGTTGCAGTGAGAAGCAGGGCTGGCACATGCTGACAAGAATAGTGTGATTTGCCTTTTACCCTAACAGCCCTCAGTCCTCACTGTACAATTAGCATTAAGTATAAATGAAGAAATTCTATTTGGTTAGTTGCCTTATGTCATTTTAATTCATTGTTAATGTCTTCTTGGCTTTCAGAGCCAAATATTGTTCATCTTCTTTCATCACCAGATAAGTTTTAAAAATTATTTTACTTAGATGGAAGTGATCATTTAGGTCTAGCTAATATTTGACTTCTCATATTGTTGACAGTTAGTTGTCTGATTATGCTACCATTCTGGAGTAATGTGTTGTGTGAGTCTCATCTGTGGGCCTCATTTATACGAACAAGCAAAAGTAGTGCATATAATAGCATATTTTTTGTGGTCTGTGCTTATATTAATTTTTTTAAAGTCAAATGCAAAATATTTATTACAAAAATAATACATACTCATGCTTAGTTTTTAAAAGTCCATATGTCTTTGGTTGCTCTTTAAGTTACTGTTATAAGATTGTAATTACAGGGATTGCACCCATCTGATATTAAAGAAGCTGAGGCATAAACGGAGTTAAAGGTTTTCTTGGAATGGTATTAGCAAGGTAGTTTCAGCTCTGCTACTAGAATTGCAGTGTCTCCTCTGTGAAAGGTGAATGAAGAAGTATCTCCTCTCTAATTTTAGGATATATTCAGGACTTTTTATTAAGGTAGCACTTTTTTTTCTGTAGCCTATGCTAGATCCGGTCATCCTTACTACAATCCAGGATGTGCGGAGTGTGGAGGAAAAGGACCTCAAAGACAAGGTAAGTGCTGTCTCCAGCAGGTAGGCGCCAGTGCCTATTGGTCCATGGAAGAGAGTCAGGACTTGGGGCTCAGTTCACACTCCACTGTTCTTTGGATTCTGGTTCTGTACAACTCATATCAAATTAATTTTACATTTTCTGATTGAAAAATGCTGCTTCTGAAGCAGAAGTGGTTGGTGCTATCTCAGTCAATAGAATAAATATAGGGCTCTCAGTGACATCATTCAGAATTTTATTAACATGTTGATTTTAATGTAATTTGTATAGTTTTAAATAATTCAGTATTAAAAGTTTACCCAAATTTGTTTAAAGCAACTTAACATGTAACTTAATATGATTTATTTGTCTACCTGAATTTCTCATAGGACCCTTTCTTTTCCATTGCTCACCATGTTGAGAAGCAAAATGCAACTGATTGATCATGTGGAGTATCAGTTAGCACAGACCGTTGTTATTGAAAATGTCTTCTATTTCTTGAGTGTGTAAGAATTGGAATAAAAATATTTTTATGTTTTCTTTTTTGTTTTTTTGTGTGTGTGTTTTTCATAAAAGAGATTGGTTAGTATCCCCGAGCTCTTGTCTGCCATCAAGTTACTTTGCATGCGCTTCCAACCAGAACTGGTGACCGTAGTGGATGACCTTCGATTAGACATCCTACTGCGCATGCTGAAATCACCCCATTTTAGCGCTAAAATGAATTCTCTCAAAGAAGTAAGTTTTTCATTTGTTTCTAGAAGACTTATAGCACAGACATTTTAAGTTATGGCAAAACAAGATTATTATATAAAAATGTTGGGAAATGAACGATTTCTTATAATCATACAAAAAAGGGATGTGATTATATGTGAAAGGTTGTGTATGTTTATAATCTATATACATAAAAGCCTAAGGGACACTAGCAGACCATTTGACCAGTAGCTATGATGTGCACTGACCACCAGGGGGCGGATGCTCAACACACAGGCATGGAAAACATGGAACAGACTGATGAATCTCAGAGGGAAGTGGGGAGAGGGAGGGTAGGAAGAGATTAACCAAAGATCTGATATGTATACTAGAGGCCCAGTGCATGGACTCCACCGGTGTGTATTCATGCACCGGGCCTCTAATTAATGTGACTTTTTTTAGATTATATTAAAAATTTGTTCTCTGAAATGTTTGAAATAATTTGGTGCTTTCGTGATATTTCCTAGGATATAATTTCTTTATATACACAGTTTGAGATTTATTTTTTAACCTAAGAGTACAATTTCTTTTATTATACTAGTATTTTAAATATGTGTTTACATAGTTGGTTTTGGTGAGTCACAGATGGAACCAATAGAGTTGAGCTATAATTCCAGTCTTTTTCCTTCAGTTTTGTATTAATTAAGAATCTTGGCTGCTAGTTAAATAAGCTCATCTTAAATCATCCTAGGCCAGCAGTTGCCAAGCAGTGGTCCGCGGGCTGCTGGTGGTCCATGAGGTCGGAAAGGTTGGCAACTGCTGACCTAGGCCATAGAGAAATTTAATGGAAGAAGGCTGGGCTGTTTCATATGAATGAAGAATTGACTAGCCAAACCAGATAATAAGAAGACATGTGGGCAATAAGAACAATTAGAATTCAAGACTCTAAGTCTTAACTCTGCTTTTCTGAGCTTCTTGGCTTTGTTATTCCTCTACTGGCAGAGTAACATCCTTCAAATGGTAGACATCATAGAGGGACTTGTACTTTCTCTTTAGTCCCAAGTATAGAATTTGGAGGATATACCTTTATTGAAATTTGTGTTAGATGCTTATAGTATCCCTGAGTCAGTCAGCAGTGGCCCAGGAAGTCTGAGCCATAAGAATGGCTCCATACTTTTAAAAAAAAGATATCACAAGTAATCTGTCTGTTAATGTCTAATAACTGGCCTTTGATATACTTTAGCTACTTGTCAGACCATATTGTAACACTATAAAAGTCATAGGAGATATATATTATGCATGTTTGCATTAGTCTCAGTCACAATAATCCTGGTGGGTTTTGTTCTTTGTTTTTAGGTAACTAAACTAATAGAAGATAGCACTTTATCCAAATCTGTGAAGAATGCTATAGATACAGACAGATTATTAGATTGGCTAGTTGAAAACTCAGTTCTGTCAATTGCACTGGAAGGTAAGTTGCTTTTAAAATAATATTACCTCATACATAATCTTATATAATAAAGAGCTAATATGTAAATAGTCATTACCGCCCTCGTGCCTGGGTACCTGAGGCTGTGACCCCCACCTGGTGGGGTTTGATGGGGGACCTGAGGCCGCACCCCCCACCCAGCGGGGCTTGATGGGGCATCTGAGGCTACAGCCCCTGCCCTGTGGGGCTTGATGAGGGTGGGGCCTGCCAGGTCTGGGTCTCACAAGATTTTGAGGCCCATGCGGTTGGGTGGGGACTTGACTCTGGGTCCCGTGGTGCACCCCAGACTCTGACAGGAGGGAGATTTTCATATACATTTTACTAATTTTCTTTCATCTCTAACACTTCTATTATAGAAAAAGGGCAAATAGCAATGTTAAAATATTTCTTCTAACTAATTTCCTTTTAATGTGCACAAATTTTGTGCACTGGGCCACTAGTTATAAATAAGTTTTGTATAAAAAAGATATGAAATTATTGCTTTGACTGCATTAGACTTTGAATAATCTTATAGAAAGTTTATATTGCTTTGAATTACTAAAATCATATTTACAAAAGTCAGTGTTCACTGTACCTGCCTACCCCTCTGCTGTTTCTTTTCTTAGGCAACATAGACCAAGCGCAGTACTGTGATCGTATAAAGGGAATTATTGAACTCTTGGGCAGTAAATTATCTTTAGATGAACTCACTAAAATTTGGAAAATACAGGTAAGTGGATTAGACTTGCTTTTGCTTTCACCTGACATTTTTATGATAATGAAAGAGAATGAAGAGTAAGCAGGAAAATGGAACATCTATCTTGCTTTAACCAGAGCAGCTCTACTGAAATTGGTACAGGTTAGAGTTGCTGTTAAGGCCAGCTGGTTTGCTCAGTGATTGAGCATTGATCTATGAACCAGGAGGTCATAGTTCAATTCCAGAATTGATCCCTGTAGAGGACATGCCCGTGGTTATGAGCCCAATCCCTAATAGAAGTGTGCAGGAAGCAGCTGATCAATGATTCTCTCTCATCATTGATGTTCCTAGCCCCTTTCTCCCTTCCTCTCTGAAATTAATAAAACTATATATTTTAAAAATAGAGTTGCTATTAAGATTGAATATGTAAAAAGGAATCTTTTACTCAAAAGGTATAAAGTTACTTACTGATCTAGTCTAGTCTTCTCATTTCTCAGATTGAAAAACAAAAAACCTTACTGCAGGCTGTGTAGCAGTTAGTGGCAGAGCTAGGAATAGGTACGTCTTTTGTTTATCATTCCAGTGTTCTTTTGACTATATTTCCTTTCAGTTTCATTAATACAGTTTTCCCATTTAATTCTATTAAATGAGGATGATAGTCATACTGAGTTTATAGATCTCATCTTACCAGAACTCTCAGCATCTGTGACAGAATCAATTATACCCGTCATTCCTTTTTCCTTCACTTTGTTAATAGTCCATTCTCCTACTTTTCTGGCATTCCTTCTTAAGTTTTATTTATTGTACTAATTTACGTCTTCTACCTTATGTATGTGATTTTTTTCAAGCCTTAGTCTTTAGCCCCTTTTCATTATATAATCCTGCACTGGTCAATTTCATCTACCCTCTCCCACACCCCCATCCCCAGTGGCTACCACTACATTTGGATGCTGATGACTCTCAGAATTATCTCTCTAATTCACACCTCTTCTTGGAGCTCCTGAGCAGTATACCTAAATATCTAACTGTTAAACCTTTACCTGTGTTACTCATGGGCATCTCAAATTCAACATATCCAAGCCTAGTAATGTTCCAGTCTACTTCAGTAATGATAGTATTCTTCATCTAATTGCTAAGCCAGAATGAAACCTGGATCTCTCCTTGGCTATATCTACTGTATCGGTCAGAATCTAGTTAGGAAACAGAAACTGTGCTATGTATTTCAGAGGGAATTGAATATAGGGCATTGTTTGCAAAGGTATTGCTAGGAAAGAAGAACAAAAAAGGGAAGTATAAATGTTGGAACCACAAAATGTAAAAAGGGATATTAAGTCCAAGGAAGAGAAGCTGCTTTGGGATGTTATTTCACTGCACGTGCTGAACTGTCAAAGAGGCAATACTGCCCCCGGGCTCTGGGATACCTCCTGCCACAAATGCCAGCACCTGCATCCAGTCCCCAATCATAAACCAGATTCACTTTTTTCTTCTTCCTGCCTGCTCATCTCCCAGGAGTACCTCACATTGCTAGAACATAATGGGAGCACAACTGGCAGAGAAAATGTAATTTTCAGGCTCCTAGTCTGGCATTACATAACAGACTATAGAAAGTTTTGGTGTAAGACAAAAAAAAATCCCTGAATTTTATTTCCCATGTCTTGACCTTACTTGAAAAATGTCATAATTTTGTTTATAAGTTTTGAATCAACACAGATTGAGGATTAGAGACCATGATATATATTTTATTTATCCCTGCTACATTCAGTAAATGTGTGTGTTTAGTAGATACTGAGCAAATCTATAATAATAAAAGTGTAATAGGCTAATTAGACCAGACATCCTTCTGGACGACCTTCCAGGTGAAGCCAGGGCTGTGAGGGAAGCCTGGGTCCCAGGTGCCTGCCTGTGGCCGGAGGGAAGCCCAGGTCCCGGATGCCTGCCTGCGGCTGGAGAAAAGTCTGGGTCCTGGGTGCCAGAGGGAAGCCAGTGCCAGCAGCCGGGGGAAAGGAAGGCCTACTCTTACATGAATTTTGTGCATCAGGCCTCTAGTTGTTGTATAATGAAATATTTAAAAGTCTTCCTGCTTTCCAAAGCTCTCACATAGTGAACAGTGAGGCATGTCAGAGTTGTGATGGAGGCTATAAAGTGAATTTCAACATAAGGTCAACCATGGGGTCTACATCCCCGGAGCAAAGACTAACTACTCGTGGGATAAATAAATATTAATTGAAGTCATAAAATATCTGTGAGAAAAATAAAAAATGAGGCAGATAAAACTTCAACAGAGGTAATCAAGCTCATTTATGAAAATTGTGTATGTTTGTCTTGTAAAGTAATTAAAGACTTAATGCTGCTAGAAATTTAAACAAGGCCAACTGTAACCATTAATAATAATTGCTTCATGTAGTCTTGCCAGTATTATCAGGGAAGTGAATGCTGATTAGACTCTTTTGCTTCTATAAATTGCCAGGGAGAAGACTTGGGTTTTTCCAAGTTCCAAGACTTAACTTTCTTCCAACGTCTCTTTTCTAGTCAGGACAATCATCTACTGTGATCGAGAATATTCATACTATTATTGCCGCAGCAGCTGTCAAGTTTAATTCAGATCAGCTTAATCACTTGTTTGTTCTCATTCAGAAGGTATGTGCCAATCAAATATCCTTACTTTCACATTTTTCTAAAATAAGCTTATTTTGAGGTTTGCTCCCCCAAAATTAGTAGTGTTTAAATGTACTCTTTTTACTTTATTAAACATTATTAGTTCAAGTTTGAAGTTTTGCATATTTTGCCAGTTTGATGATATTGCATAGTGTATCAATTTTTGTCTTTTCTGCAGAGCTGGGAGACTGAGAGCGATAGAGTAAGACAGAAGTTATTGAGCCTGATTGGACGAATAGGCCGGGAAGCTCGCTTTGAGACCACTTCTGGAAAGGCAGGAAAATCCAATGGATTTTTCTATCTACACACACTTAAAGCAGTTTCCTTGTGCATTGGCTGGCTTATCATATGAGTATTATTGTAGGTGTTAGATGTACTCTGGGAACTGGCTCATCTTCCAACGCTGCCCAGCAGCCTCATTCAGCAAGCTTTGGATGAACACCTGACAATCCTCAGTGACGCATATGCAGTGAAAGAAGCGATCAAGAGGAGCTACATCATCAAGTGCATAGAAGATATTAAAAGGGTTGGTTTTATGTTTGATCTGGTTTTGTTTTCAGAACAATAGTACTGCCTGAGAATTAGAGTCAGATAATTTTCCTCCACTATTATGTAATTTAAACTAAATGTCTCTGGAAGCTTTTACCTTTAGAATCCAAGATTGGCACATTATAAATACCAAGTCACTTTTATTTCTCTTAAAATGATTTTTCAGCCTGGAGAATGGTCAGGTTTGGAAAAAAAGAAGGATGGATTCAAGGTAAGAATTTGCAGATGGAACCAACTAAAAGGTATACTAATTTAATAAAATAAAAAAATGTATCATAATTTAAAAATAATGTGTTTTTGTATTTCTGGGACTAATGTGCAATACAAATTGCTATTTAAATATTTATGACCTGTACTTTATTATTTACAGTTTTGAGGATTATTGACTCTCAGAATCACATTCAGAGTAGTTTTATTATGTTATTTTCATAAAATTATAAGAACTTCCACTTAACCTTTTGAAAATTAATTCCAAAAGTGTGGACAACTTAAATTAAGTACAGTGGATTCTAAGTATGACCATTTTTCTCCCATGGAGGAACATGTACAGAGTAAGAAGGAGAGAGAGAGAAAGTGAGAAATTTCCTTCAGTGCTGGCACATGGTCATTTTTTTAGGTTCTTGATTCAGATGTGTTCCTAAAGTAACTCTTTAGACAGACAGTGAATGGGTAAGTGTCTGCTGCTGGGACTCCATTTTAGAAGGTAGGTTTGGGCAGTGACTGCAAGAGGTAGTGGCTCTGTAACAAGCCCTACCCTTCAGGGCTCTGGCCTCAGTGGACTCTGGACTGTCCTTTAAAAGGGTGGTTAGCAGAGGAAGCAGTGGTCATTGTTGCTCTCCTGTTGCTCCAGTCCTCAATTGTCAAGTCTCTCCTCTGAGAGGGCTGATCACAGTGGCCACTCACTGGACTCATACCCGGTGTTGCAACAGCCCTGATCACAGGAGCCATGTCTTCCTCCCCCGGAGGCCCTGTGGTTGCCCAGACCAAACGTAAGCCAAGCAGCCAGAGGGATTTCATTTTACTGTTAACATACAAGGCTTGCTAAATAGTTAATGGCTTAGTAATTTCATTGGTAAGTCATTTTTCTTGGCTTTCACTAAGAAGTATTTCTTTAAAGATCTTGACTACTGTTGATTGTCATTGGTATACTCAGAGATTCTGAGATCTTGTTAAGAGGTTTTGGTGATTCAGTGGGCTTTTATTATCTTATTTATATTTGGTCCTAAAGTTTATTGGGGGCATTTAAAAATTTGTTGTTACATATTTCTGACATTGGAATTTGGTCAAGTGAATTTTCTACATATTGTCTAGCTTTAGAAGTTGTTTAAAAGTCGTTCACAAACGGGCTGGTGGTGCCCTGGTTATTAGGAATTACTTCTTTAATTCAACAGCATAGCTCTCTTCCTACTCAGATTCAAGTGGAGTTTTTCCAATTTTCTCAGCTCAGCCATTCAAATAATTTAGCAGCCTCTGTCTTTATAATTGAAACTAATCTGGAGCTACCTAAGAAATTTTAGATCCTTCACTAGTAATAAGTAAGAGGAAAAGGATATCCATAGAAGAATGGTTTTTTCTTCTTAGTAACAGATACATTTCTTTATAGAAAACGAAGGTTAAAGCTGAAGGGACTTCTTTCCCCTTCAGGAAAATGACTTTTAAAACCAGAAAACACCTTCCTGATCTCTGTTCCTTCCTCATTACAGCTAAGCACTACTTAGCTCTTCTAGCCAGTAGCTTCACTACATCTTTATTGCTTCTCTTCGCAGTCACTTCATTCATGTCTGTTGTTTCATGACAAAACTCAAAAAGTAATAGGGAGAATTTTGGAGTCATTTTGTGAGTCTTGAAAAGAATATTCTTCCTTTTATTTCCCACTGCTCCCAGTAAAGAAATCCTGATGTATCATTATTTCATTGCAAATAATATCTTGCATTTATATAGCACTTTTCAGTTGACTAAGTGCTTTTACAGATATTCTTTTAAAGTGCACGTGGCTGAAGGGGGGCAGTGGGAAGACCTAAGCCCCCTGGACATGACTCCAGGCAGGGGGGAGATTTATATACTGCCACTAAAGGTGTTTTTCTATGCTATGCCCTTTCCTGCCAGGCAGCAAGGTGGGCTGACTGGGGATTATGTCTCCCTACCAGGCTACACAGAAACTAAGCAAAGGGTAAGACAAGATCACCCACCTCTTACTCCCCTCCCACCCTCAGCTACCTCTGTTTCCCCAACTGATTCCCTTTGCCTCTGCTTTTGACACTTAAAATTCCCAAGTTCCACTGTTGTGTTCAGAAATTCTGACCTTTATTTTTCTGTAGATTCTGCCAGGTTACCCTTGGCTTCCTTGGTCCTCTTTCTTTTGCTTCCTTTATACCTTCCACTGTCTACCCCAACTCTCTCCATCTTATTTCACTTCTTTTTTCCTTCAATTAAAAAGTTTAAATGTACTCATCCCCCCAAAAAATTACTAAACCAAAAAAAAATGATTTTTACTTAGTGATATTTGCATATTCCTTAAGTCATTTTCTCAAGGCCTCCTAGTTCAATGCCTGGCAGCCTTTCAGTAAATGTTGCTTCCCTTCCTCTTACTTCCTCCCTTTCACCCTTCAAATACACTAAAAGCGTTACCCATAGTTGAATGGCTTCTATTTGCCAAAACACGTAACTGAAAGTAAATGTAGCAAGATGTCCCAGAACAGTCTCACAGTGATGTGGTTAGGACAGAAGAAAATACTTTTTAAAAAATGTTCTCTCATGTAAAAATTTTTACTTTAATTCTAGATAAATTGCTAGGTCTGGATAATTAAGAGAGATGAGCAAGTGGGGATCTTCAGCTTTAAGGAGAATTCTAGAATATGAAAGCTTTCTTTAGATACTGGGGGATTGTTATAGAGAAGTCTTATTCAACTTCATTTTTTATGGCTTCCAAGAAGTTATGGGAAGGCATGTTTCAGTATGATAGATTAATAAACTTTAGTGAGAAAAGCTTGAAATACAACACTGCCTCCTGAGTTCCTCATCACTAGAAACACTAGGAGACTAGCTGGTCCTTTAACAGCAGTGAATAAGAGGAATCTAGGCATAGACGTGCAGGCCAAACCAGTTAACTCCCACTTAGGAAACCTCAGCTCCCTCATTAGATATTATCAGGTATGTCTATTTTATAATTGTTCACCATAGTCTTTTGCATCTTTTGTGAATGAAGGAGAGTAGTTTATTTTTTTCTTGTAACTTAGCAACATAATGTCATAGATATGATAAAATAAATAATATCTATCCTGTTTGCTAAACTTTGGAAAGGTCATATCAGAAATACTTTTTAAATTCTAGTTTTATCTTCTTGTGTTTAACTTATTTAATAATGAGCTACCTTCAAAGAATTTTTAATGTCAAATAAAAGTACTCTAATTTAAATTGACTTAATTGGTCATAATACTTTTTGATATATCTAATTATTTGCTAAGGGTTAGTTTTATGTCCTTATGTTTGTAATCCTTTTAGAAGGTCTCAGTTTAGGCTTAAGACTTAGCCTGAACTGTCATTTTTCAACTTTTATATTTTAGAAATATTCTAGCTAATCTTGCAAATTTGGGCTTTAATACAGAGTATGGCAAAAGTAGGCTTACAGTTATGAGTACACAAAACAGTTTATTCTTATGTTATTAATTATTTTTATTACAACTATAAACCTACTTTTGCCCCACCCTGTGTATACTTTATTTCTCTGATTCTAAGATGCAAGATTTAATAAGTTTATAAAGAAGTAAAAGAGAAACTACATTTTGCTTTCATCATACATTTGTTTAGATTCAGAGTTTGCCTCAGATTCCTTTTGACCAGTATGTACAGCTTCACTGTGGCACGCTACTTTCATTGGCTATAATCGTGGTTTTGACCTCTTTGAAATCTTTAAGATGGACTGTATAATTTTGAGGCATGTTGAAAAGTATGGAGTTTTGTGTCCTTGTCCTTTCTCAGTAAAAGTCAAACTGCTTTTTTACTTCATTAAATTGTGTATACTACACGTTAAACAACTTCTCTGGAATTAAGGTACAACTTTGGACAGCGAGACATTTAGTGCTGAGTGGTACAGCCCTTCATAGGGTGGGAGTCTATCACACAAAATTCTCCTAGCTTTGGAAAAGTATGAGACCACTAGCAGTTTTCTTTGCTTTTAATTGAATTGTGGACATGACATGCTAGTCAGTTTTACATTGTAGCAAACTCTTTTTTATAACATTTAAAGTTAAGCTTTCCTTGGTTGATGTTTCCTATACCAAGTGATAAATAAGATGATAGGTGGATGAACAGATAACCTTTATATACAGCTAAATTTGCACATAGTCAGGTAAGGACAGCACTTTCAAAACTTACTCCTATGCCTAGGGGATAAGTTTCCTTTGACATAGTTGTAACAAGCATGGATTTCAGAATTTGCTGAAATTTATAAAACTTGTATCTTAGAATCCAGGAAATATGGTTTTGGCTAATTGATTGGCTAATCTCTAGGAAAGCCAACTGTTTTGGCAATAGAGTTCTCTCATTTACATATTCAGTAGTAGTGTGTTTTTCTATTAAGGATATCAAAAGCCCCTCCCTTCCCAATAGGGCTCTTCATATTACAGAAAGACTTGAAGAAGCAAAGCTTTAAAAAAAAGTAGCCTGAAAAGTAAATATTCAGAACTTAAACTTTTACTCAGTTTCTTAGATTTAATTGATCAGTTGATTTTAGTGTTTAACCTTATAAATTTTATAATGAAATCTCATATTTTGAAGATACTATTTATTAAAAAGCAATTCTCTTTTTAAAGATAGAACATCAGACTTTCAGATGTTTACTATGAAAATCTGGATTGTCTGTATCCATTTCAGAAATAATACCTTTAAAAGTGTTTTGAAAAATATAAAGTATAAGTATAAAGTGGATATAGTAATTAATATAAATCTATCTCTTATAAAATGGTTTTAACTAGGAAATACAAGTAGATTGTGAATATTTTCTTTTAATATTTAGACCACTATCAGTATCTTGATCATGTCATTGGTATCTTAATCATATAATTATAGAAAACCATGTTTTTATACCATTTTACTTATCAGCCAGTTCTGTCTTATCCAAGATAAGCTTTTGCCATCTATTTATTTTATTATCTCAACATGTCCTAGCATTCTATGCTACTTAATCTATCCTTTGAAGTTGCTAATTCCTTGTCGTCTGTTTTTTGCTGATGTACCCCTGTACATTTGCTGTCACTTCACATCCACTCCTGTTTGCAGTTCTTGGCCTTAGGAAATTGCATGCAGAATAAGAAGCTGAAGATGAGTTATGAATGCATGAGATGAGCTATAAATGATCAATGTGAGGAGAAAAATAATAGAATGTGCAACAATGAACCCTTATTGACTTGGACATTTTTTTATAGCTAATAAGTTTTGTCTGCCATTTATTTCAAAATTTCATTTATGTAACTTCTTTTTAACTCTAGTCATCTCAGCTTAACAATCCCCAGTTTGTATGGGTGGTGCCAGCTTTGCGTCAGCTCCATGAAATCACCCGTTCATTCATAAAACAAACCTATCAAAAGCAAGACAAGGTAAGAGTATAGTATAGCTAGATTTGATTATCATACAGTTGTTTACATAACCTTTTATAATAACAAAGCATGAATAAGATTTCTGAGTCTTGTCACTATTTTACATTTTATGGTTATTAATGTAATTCATTTGTATTATTTAATAATTTTGAGTTTACACATCATTCTACTTTCATTTCTATGGAGCTTTTCTTTCTATGTATTCTTAACTCATTTTTATTTCCTGTAAATTAAAATCATTATGCCAGTTTTTAAAAGTTAAAGTGGTATTTTAGAAATTTGTTTGAAATGGCTCAAAAGGTTTATTTTATATTACAAAAAGATTAGTAGTGTGATTATGGAGCTAGAACTTCCTCACTGTGATAGACTTGAGAAGAAAAATCTGGATAGTTTTGTTGAAAGAGTTTTTTATTTAAAAATATATATATATTTTAGGAAGCAAAATTTAGCAGAGAAGTTTATTAATTCCATAGTAAATGTACATACCAGATTGATTTTATTTACTTTTCTGTAAGGAATGTGAGTGAAGAAAACATGTTTGCTATCACCTAGTATTACTTGCTAACAGAAATTTGTATTAAAATGACCAAATAACTAAATTTTCATGCCATTTTTGTTTTTGCCAAGAGCATTATTCAAGATTTGAAGAAAAATTTTGAAATAGTGAAATTGGTAACGGGAAGTTTGATCGCTTGTCATCGACTTGCAGCAGCCATGGCTGGACCTGGAGGCCTGACTGGTTCAACACTAGTGGATGGCCGATACACTTACCGGGAGGTAGGTATTGGCACTGTGCTTTTATTTCATGATTTCCAACGTTCATTTGGACTTTTTGCACTAACTGCATTATGATAAAGTAATAAAAAGACATATTTTCTTTGACTTTGATATGAAATACTAATTGTCAATTCTGTGGATAGTTGTTTTTGTTTTCAAATCAATTAATTAGTAGTAGTATTTTTTTTTTAATTAGTGGAAAAAAATCTTAACTGACTGGTTGTGAGTTTATGGTGTGTTACTTTTTGAGATTGTCAAAATCATATTTTATTATTATCTAAAGTCAACTGAATTTTTAATAGACTTGAAGTAGCTTCTACTACATTGTACTATCAGCCTATAAACAGATTTCTCACATTGACCATAAATTATATGAAAACGCATTAGATAGAACTGTTTGTTAAAGTCTTATTTTCTTTTTTAAATTTTGCTTTTAGGTATGAATACCTGGAGTTAAATAATTACACACACACACACACACACACACACCCTTTTTTTTTCTTTTCAGTATTTAGAAGCCCATCTAAAATTTCTAGCATTTTTCTTGCAAGAAGCTACTCTGTATTTGGGTTGGAATCGTGCCAAGGAAATCTGGGAGTGTCTTGTGACTGGCCAGGATGTTTGTGAATTAGACAGAGAGGTAAGAAAATGGTATTGTGGGCAAGTTACATCTTTTAGTGTGTTTTTGTTCCTATCACATGAGACTAATTTTAAGTTATCAATAGAAAACTGAGTTCCTGAAATGACATTGCACCCCAGAAACATCAAAGAAGATTGAAGACCTAGACAGATTTTTGGAATTGTAATTAAACAGTGGAAAATAGATTAAACCAGGAGCTCAACACTTGTTTTGACATTTACTAGCAGTGAATTGCTGTTTCTTCTCCTCATTTTATAGAATAATATTAACTACTTGATAGGATTGTTGAAAAAACTTAATATGTGATAGTGCCTTGCACAATGCCTGGCTTCTTATAATAAATTTTTGTGGAAAAAATCAAGCATAAAATTCAAAGAAAAGTGGCAATATATACTTTATCTGTGGGAAAGATTGCTAGTAACTTAATGCTTTATTTAGTCTAGAGTTCTAAGCATTTCCATTTTGAGTGGTATTTGGGCAATATAAGTTTTGAAGATTTACAACAAATTTATCTTTACTGTCCTAATTTGGAATAATGTCCCAATTATTTTCCTGGAATGGATTTTAGTTGTAGGGTAATATTTGTCTTGATCCACAGATGTGTTTTGAATGGTTTACAAAAGGGCAACATGACCTTGAGAGTGATGTTCAGCAGCAGCTCTTCAAGGAGAAGATTCTTAAATTGGAATCATATGAAATCACTATGAATGGTAGGAAAAAACTTAAAGTCATTTTTTCAGTTCTTTAAAAAATTATATTCTTTTCTTTCCTTCTAAGCCAACTTTTCAGAAGTAACCAAGCAGTATGGAATATGTTTTTGATATTTATACAGGGTGCCCCACAAAAGTGTATACACACTTAGATGTTTGTACATATTTTGAAAATGAAATGTATTTTAATAAGCACTGCCTTTATAATTATTCTGTTTGTATATAATTTTGTTCCTGTCACATGATAAATTCTTTTCTTTATAAATGTTATTTTATAATTAGTTTTTTAAATTATATGGGCTGATAACTCAAATTGCCAAAATGTCTTTTCATGAGGTTACTTAGTACAAAAGGGATTCATTTATAGTCAAAATTTCTCAAAGTATAGAAATCTTCCTTTTAGGTGCTTAGTATTTTAACTGAAATTTTTTATTAATATATAATTCACATATCATAAAGTTAACTTTTTAAAAGTGTAATATCAGTGGCTTGTAGTATATTCACAAAGTTGTGCAACCTTCACCACCTTTTAATCCCAAAACATTTTCATCACGAAAAGAAATCCTGTACAATTTAGTAATCACTCCCCATTCTCCTCTACCCACAGTCTCTAACCCAGTTTCTTTATGGATTAGCCTAATCTAAACATTTCATATAAGTGGAATTGTATAATATGTATCTGATATTTTTCATTATGTTGAGGCATGATAATTTCAAGGTTCACCCCAGGTTAGTTGTAGCATGTACTTCATTCCACTTAGGCCAAATAATATTCTATTGTTAGATTATACCACATTTTGTTCATCCATTCTTCAGTTGATGAACATTTGGGTTATTAACACTTTCTGGCTATTAATCATGTTGCTACAAATATTCATGTATAAGCTTTGTGTGGACAGTGGTTTTTATTTGAGGAACTACCAAACTTTTGTGATGTGGCTGCACTATTTTATAATCCTACCAGCGATGTATGAGAATTTCAGTTTCTCTACTTCCTCACCAGTACTTGTTAATGTCTATATTTTTTATTTTAGCCATCCTAGTGGGTGTGAAGTGGTATCGCATGGTATTGATTTGCATTTCTCTGAAGACTAATGAAATTGACTCTTCATGTGTTTATCAGCCATTTGTATATATTTGGAGAAATACCTATTTAAATCTTTTGCTCATTTCTTAATTAAGTTATTTGTCTTTTTTTGCTGTTGAGTTATAAGAGTTCCTTATATATTCTGCATATTAGCTCCTTGTCAGAAGTATGATTTTAAATTTTTTTGTCCCAGTCTTTTCACTCTCTTGACAGTACAAAAGTTTTTAATTTCGATTTAGTCCAATATATCTATTTTTTCTTTTGTTACTTGTACTTTGGGCATCATCTAAGAACCATTGTCTAATCCAAGGTCTTAAAAATTTGCCCCTGTGTTTTGTCCTGAGTATTTTAGTTTCAGTTCTTGATATGCTTTGAGTCTTTTAGTCTATGCTTACAGTTTCGGAATTTATTTGACATTCTCTAATTTCAGGTTTTAACTTATTTAAGACTTTTTTTGAAAATGTGAATCTCTGTGATCATCGATTGAAAAGACAAGGAGCTCAGTTGGTAAGTACATTATTCTCAAATCTGAATAATTTAGATAATCTAGTAAAATTTGATATTCAGCAAAAACATGTTATAATCATAGTGAAACAATAAGTTTTGTAAAAGACTGGATATCCTTGGTCTGCTGTTTTCTGCATTGATGACAGCTGACCTCTCAGATCCCTCTGCTTCTTATTGGCCCAGGGCTGCCAGTGGCTTCTTGAGGCTAGGTCAGTGGAGAGTAGGTTAGTTCCATGTCCATTTCCAACTCCGCAGAGCCATCAACCCAGATATTCCTAACAAAGTAACAGAGTCTTCAGTTCCAAGATGCAGTGGCAAGGATTTGGGGAGAAAAATTTAGGGGCAGACAATGAAGCAGGAAAATGATCTCTAGAATGTGTACAGATGTTTTTATATATGTGCACCTTAAAAAAAACAAAAGGCAAAAAATAACTCTAATACTGTTTCATGATCTCGTTTCCTGGGTGCTAAGAATTTTTACAAAGCCTTTTAATCCCTTGGGAAGACCGAATTGAGCTCCAAGGAGTATTAACTACTAGCTTGACTTCATTTTCTTCTGACACTTTGCTAGTTCTGCATCAATAATTCAACTGGGTAGATGTCTAGTATGGGTGTAGATGTATGTGAAAAAAAAATCTTCACATCTATTCTGATTCCCTTAGACATGGCTCATTGTTTCTGTGCTTAGTTGTCTTTTGTTTCAAGGTCCATATTGGTACAGTAGTGTTCTCATATAGTTAGGTTTTTACAGCCTTAATTCATATTGAACTAAAGAGGTGTGAACTTACAATGTAACAGAAAATTTCTTTTTCTTTTGAACAGTATGTAGAAAAGCTGGAACTGATAGGAATGGATTTCATTTGGAAAATAGCCATGGAATCACCTGATGAAGAAATTGCAAATGAAGCTATTCAATTAATCATAAATTATAGTTACATTAATCTAAATCCTAGGTTAAAGAAGGTAGGTATCTACAGGAAGAAGGTAGTAAACTCAAAAGGGCAGAAGATTGTATATATTTTTATTTATATGTTAGCATGCTTAAAAATTGACTTCTTTATTTTGACATTTATCCTTAATGATTATAGCAAATTGCCAGACTAAGTTTAATTTCCATTATCCTCTTACTTTTAGGATTCTGTATCATTGCATAAGAAATTCATTGCTGATTGCTATACAAGATTAGAAGTGAGTAGCAAATTTTACTTAACCTGTTTTTTAAATAAATGCTTTCTTTTTCTTTGCTTTTATAATTTTATATTTTGAGTTCATGTATATAGTTGCTATTTGTGGCTGAATCCTGTTAAAGAATCTGTGAACCAACCATATTGTAATGCAATATTGTTTGCAAAGATGTTTGCCTTGATGCTTCCACATACAAGTGTATAGAGGACATTGTTTCTTCTCCCTCCACCACTCTCTTCCCTGCTTTTCCCACCTCCCTTTGAGGCTATAGGAACCTGTTTTCTGTTCCCAGCTCTACTCCACTCCACATTTCCAATGGATTCTTCTCCTTTTTACTTTTTGGTTCAGGAATTTTATACAGGCACCTGGTTCTTTTTCCTGCTTCCCATGTTTTACCTAGTTTATATTATAAATGCTATTAAAGGCCATACCAGGACACTCACTAGTAGGTGTTGTTGGTTGTCTTTGTCCCTTAGAAACTGGCTGTGTAATACATCTCACATATAATGCCTTATTTCCAGCTTGATAGTTAAAGCATTGAACATTCATTTTCTTTTCTTAATTTGTGCTTTTTTTTTTTTTTATATCTAACAAAGAGTATTCCAGAAATACAAAGTGCTACTGGCCCCAAATGTTAATAAGTTAAACATTTTGGTGATGAGTATGTGCTAGGATATGTGGAGGATTTCCCAAGTCATGACTTCCATCTAGATAGGTCATCATAAAAAACATTTAACCCGGCCGGTGTGACTCAGTGGTTGTGTCAACCTATGAACCAGAGGTCATGGTTCAATTCCCGGTTAGGGCTCATGCCTAAGTTGGGGGCTTAATCCCTGTGGGGGGTGAGCAGGAGTGATTCTCATCATTAATGTTTCTCTCTCTCCCCATCTCCCTTCTCTGAAATTAATAAAAATATATTTTTAAAAAACTATTTAAAATAATCAAGTACCTCTAAATGAGGTACCATGCGTTAACAGACTAGGTACCATGCATTAACAGACGGAGAATAGTAGTTCTCAACTGGGAATTATTTTGCCTCCCACTGTTCATGTGGCAATGTCAGGAGACCTTTTTAGTTGTGACAGTTTGAGGAGTCCTACTGGATCCCTGGTAGAGGTCAGGGATGCTGCTAAATATCCTACAATGCCTGAGAGTCTTCCACAACAGAGAAGTTTCCAGCCCCAAATGCCAATTGATCTGAGGTTGAGAAACCCTGATATAGAATGATTATTTCTTATTTCATAGGCAGCCAGCTCAGCACTTGGTGGCCCCACTCTAACACATGCTGTGACCAGAGCAACAAAAATGCTTACAGCAACTGCCATGCCAACTGTAGCAACATCAGTTCAGTCTCCATATAGGTAAGTGATTGCAGAAGTTACAACAAATACGCAAATAAAAAAATAATTGATATATTTTTCCCCTCCTATAGCAATCTCTCAGTTGTTGATTTCTTCATTTTATTTCAAAACTTAGTATTGTCCTGGGAGATTATGTTTTCCTTTATCCATCCCCAAATTTGTATCTCTTGAAGATTTGTAGGTCATTATCATAACCACCCAAGTATTACACTGCTTCTGTTCGTCTACCTACTAGACAAGGTTTCTTTGTGGGGTTTTGTTTCTTTTATTCATTCAACTTTTTAAAACTGTGTAATGAGTAATTTCTCTGTTATGATGTAATAAAGTTTCATTAATTAAATGAAGAGTAATTTTTTAAAGTTTTAAATATTTACTTAGGCATCTTTTTTTATCCATTTTTTTATTAAGGTATTATATGTGTACATATTTTCCCATTGCACCCCACCACTCTCATACGTGCTCTCACCCCCCCCAAATTTTCTCCTTGAATAATCAAATTCAAAGCACTAATAGAATAAGCAAAATGAAGTAGAAGATAATTAACTAAAAGTGTACATCATAATATATTCACAGTTAAAATACTATTTACTTAAAACATTTTTTTAAAATAATTTTTATGGGAACTTCATCCCCAAATATTTGTATTAAAATGGAACTGACATTGTCTCTTAATCACATTGATGTGTTTAAAGATTTCATTCAGTGAAATCTTAATTCAGTATTTGTTCCAGTTTTTTGATATAGTAAGTGGAATAGATAAATATTTAGAAACATGAGATTGAAGCAACTAGAACATTTTTGTAAGGCTTTATGAGTTTTCCATTACTGGTAAGCAGCACCACGTCAATGACTCCCAGGAAACTTTGGCAGGTACTCATGGAAGGTCTCTGCATCTCACTCTGCTGCTCTCTAGTGATAGATACTCATTTGTTCTCTCTCAACTCTTAGAATGACTTTATGAATGTGTGTATGTATTTTTATTTACAGTTGGATATATTTCTTTTCTTTTTATTTAGAAACTAGTGGCCCAATGCACGAAATTCGTGCATGGGGGGGGCGTTTCCTCAGCCTAACCTGCGCCCTCTCCAATTGGGGACCCCTTGGGGGATGTCCAACTGCCTGTTTAGGCCCAATGCCTGTGCCAGCAGTTGAACATCCCTCACATAATCTGGGACCACTGGCTCCTAACCGTTCACCTGCCTGATTGCCCCTAACTGCCTCTTCCTGCCTGATGGCCCCTAATCCCTATGCCTGCCTACCTAATTGCCCCTAATGGTCCTCCCCTGCTGGCATGATCTTGCACCTAACTGCTCTCCCCTGTCTGCCTGATTACCCCTAACTGCCTCTGCCTGCCTAATTGCCCCTAACTGCTCTCCCCTGTAGTCCTGATCTCACCCCCAACTTCTCTCGCTTGCTGGCCTGATCTTGCCCAGAATGGCCCTCCCCTGCCGGCCCAATTGCACCCCCAACTGCCCTCTCCTGCCGTCCCAATCTCGCCTTCAGTGGCCCACCTCTGTCGCCTGATCTCACCCCTAACTGCTCTCCCTTGCCAGCCTGATGTCGCCCCCAAGTGCCCTCCCTGTTGGCCTGATGTTGCCCCCCAACTGCCCTCCCCTGCCAGCCTGATCTTGCCCTCAGCACCCTCCCCTGCTGGCCTGATTGTTTCTAACTGCCTCTGCCTCAGCCCCACCACCATAGCTTTGTCTGGAGTGAAGTTGGATGTCTGGAAGATGGCTGGTCGACCCGGTCTAATTAGCATATTATCCTTTTATAAGTATAGATAGGTTATATAGGATATGATTGCTTAAATTGGGTGGGGAACCTTTTTCAGCAGGTGGAGTTGCACTTGGCAGACAAAAACACATAATCCCTATAGCCAGCCACATGCGCTATACTGCCAAACCAGTCATTAAAAAATTAAACCACTTTCTTACACCTTACACCAAACAAGAAAGAAAAGAACAGGAAAGGAAATGTGGGGAGGGTAAGTCTTCTCCTCCCTTACGCCATCTGTGTACTGCAGCTGTGGCCCGCTTGCATTACCTCCTCCTAGGGTGAAAGGGAAGTTAAATCTTTGCAAATTTTAGTCTTTGATGAGTGACTGTTACCTATTGATTGGGGTTTTGGTGAAACAGAATGGAATTGAGCTCAAATCAACAATTCATTTCAAATATGTTTAATTTTTTTTTTAAATCTGTAGATCCACTAAGCTTGTAATCATTGAGAGATTACTGCTTTTGGCAGAACGCTATGTGATCACTATAGAGGTAAGCCTCTTTTTCTAAAGCAATTGAATCATCCCATTATTAGACTCAATGTGTTAGGTATGTATTTTTGAGATGTTTAACAGTGGCACTGTGAATCTAACTTGTTTGATTTACTATCTTTTTCAAGGATTTTTACTCTGTTCTACGAACTATTCTACCTCATGGTGCCTCATTTCATGGACATCTTCTAACACTTAATGTTACTTATGAGTCTACCAAAGATACCTTTACTGTAGAGGTAGGTTTACATTAGCTTTGTGGCCATTTTCGTATTGTCTTACTTTCACAACACTGTTGATAAAAATGTATGAGTGATGGCAGTTTGGAGCAAATCACAGGCTGTCTGCATGTCAGGAGTGGCCCAGCAACACAGCTCAGCAGCCATGGAGGAGCCTGGGTCAATCACGGAGACAAACCAACCTTCTCTGGGAAGACTTCAGAGAAGCATCATGCCCCAAACTTTAGCAAAGAAGAGACAACTGGTTGTAGCCATGAGCAAGCGGAGACGTCAGGAAAGGACTGAACATCCAAGGAGGCTCACCAGCTGCATTTTTAAAAGTCCAGTCTCCAAGGTCACTGCCCATCCTAACAACGAGGTCTGGCGCAGGCGGCAGGAGAGGAACATGGAGAAGCTGCAGCAGAGGAGTGCCTACAGGAGGCTGCAGGGGCTTCAGGCCTGCAGCAGTGAAGGGGAACCTATAAATACTGTGGATATGACAGATGTGATGAGAATAAGTGCACCAACAACGAAGGGTGAACCCCTGGGCCGGGCTGGGCCTGGCTCTCTCCACAGCAGCCCCCAGCCCAGCGCAGCACAGTTGTTAAATTGGGCAAAGATGATCCCAGGACCAGGCCTCTGTGGCCCACAGCTCTGGGCATCCAACCGGCCACCCGTGGAGACATCCAGAAACAGAATAACAGAGTGAAAAGAGCAAGAGAGAGACTGGCTGCGGCTTTGAGGAAAGACAAGCTGGCCAGGGAGGCAGAGAATGTTTTGATTTCATACAAATCTGATTTCATTGAACTTGCTATTATATCTCATTCTAACATAAAATATATCTATGTTTTAATTTATTATTCTTGTTATTTTGGTCAAACCTCAGCTGAAGATATTTTTTATTTTGGCCAAATTCTAATTTATACTTAAGACATCTACACTAAAAAAAGAGAAAAATGCTAATTGACCATACCTTCACTATGCCCGCAGCCAATCATGAGTGATATACAAATTAAGTCAACAAAGGTAGAGGACAATTTGCATATTCAGGCGGGAAGGGCTGTGTCTGACACTGCTGCAGGGTTCAGTCCACCATGGGGACTGAGCAGGCCAGACGGGCAGCTCCTAATACCACCAGCTGGGTCAAGGTCGCCATTGGTAACCAGGCAGGCAGGGATGGGGGTTGGAGGCAGCACCTGACACCACCTTCAGGGTGCAGGCCAGGTAGGTTGAGCCTGGGTCAGGCCACCATTGGGGGCCCAGGTAGGCAGGGTTAGCCAGGGTCTCTGGGATCAGTCTGCCCTGGGCCGCCTGTGGACACCAGTGGAGCAAATTGGGGTTGAACTTTTTAATGAAAATGGGATGCCTGTGTCCCAGCCCACCAGGCCCAGACCATGGCGAGGAGGGGGCAGTGGGCAGTTAGTAGGCACCAGGGCTTGGAGGGGACTGGCAGCAACCTGCAGGCATGCTGCCAAGAAGAGCTGAACCATGATGATGCAGAGGGCTGGCTGATAGAGGTGTGAAAAGGTGCAGACGAAGCGGCTCTTACTGGCTCTGAGCTGGACAGCCTGATGGACCAAATCGCCTTTCTGAAGAAGGTGCATGAAGAGGAGATCGCTGAGCTGCAGGCACAGATCCAGTATGCTCAGATCTCTTGGAATGTTCTCCAAGTCTAACCTCTCTGCAGCACTCAAGGACATTAACGTCCAGTAAGAGAAGCTGGCTGCCAAGGACATGCAGAATGTAGAAGAATGGTACAAGAGCTGCTCACCATGCTGACCAAGAGCACTGCCAAGAATACCTACGGGGTGTGCGCTGCCCAGAGATCAAAGCATGCCGGCGCATGAACTAAGCTCTGGGAATATAACATTCTGAGGTGACTCAGGCTGGACATTAAATATTGTGCTATGACTTTTCTCCTTATGCAGAGTATCTGTTTGCTTGCAGAATGGATTCCTGGCTTGCTGCCAGCCTGGGCATGGTACATGCTTATGAGTTCAAGATCTATGACAATGTGAATAATTCAGATGTTTACAATAAAAACACATGAATACATGAAAAAAAAATGTATGAGTGATATTCTAAAAGCTATTATAATAAACAAATTTAGAATAAAGACCTGAAATGAAAGGAAACTGATGGGGTATAAACAGACATATAGACAAATACATAATACATTAACAGGTGTTGGTGAGTATCATCTATACTAATAAAAGCCTAGATGGCCCTGTGCAACACCTTCATGTCATCACAAGATGGCCACCACAAGATGGCTGGCAGGGGAGGGCAGCTGTGGACAATTGGGATAGCAGGGGAGGGCGGTTGGGTGCAATCAGTCCTGCAGGGTAGGGCAGCTGGGGATGAAGACCGGCCTGGGAGGGCAGTTGGAGGCAATCAGGCCGGCAGGGAAGCAGTTAGGCGTCAATCAGGCCGGCAAGGGAGTGGTTAGGGGCAATCAGGCAGGCAGGCAGGCAGGCAGGCAGGTGAGCAGTTGGGAGCCAGCAGTTCTAGATTGTGAGAGGGATGTCTGGTTTTGTGCCAAATTTTGTGCAACGGGCCTCTAGTTAAGAATAAAGGAGAATAAGCTGGTAGAGGTGATGGTTATTGCAGAACGCTGTGAGGTCACTGTAGAGGTAATCACATTTTATATAGAGATGGGCATTGGATGTCTGAGGCTGTGGCATCTGAACATAGAATTGGATGAGGTGACAGAGCCAGCCTTTTCTGGAGAAGGACAGTCCAAACAAAGGGCAGCAGGTACACAGGCCCTGAGATGGGTGTTTGCTTGGCTTGTTCATGACAAGCAAGGTGGCTGGAATGACAGTGAGAAGGAAAGAATGGAAAACCTGCTGTGGAAGAAGGGCTTGAGTTTTTATTCCATGTGATGAGGAGGGTTGGAGGAGGGAATAGAACTTCTACTTATAGCAGTAGGGAAGCCTCGCAAGGGCAGGAATTCTTGTCTTTGTTTTGCTGTTCTCGGCTTCTAGAACAGTGCCCAGTACACAATAGATGCTCACTATCAGTTGTTTTAATGAAGGAATAACTGTGTTACAGCAGTGTTTAATTTTATTTTACAGGCTCACAGTAATGAAACCATAGGGAGTGTCCGGTGGAAGATAGCCAAGCAGTTGTGCTGTCCTGTGGATAACATCCAGATATTTACAAATGATAGTCTGGTAGGTTTAAATAAACTGTGGCTCTTTAGCCTGATACTAATCCCATCCTCTTCCTTTTCCTCTCAGTAATTAAGAAACCTCTTTTTGCAGCTGACAGTGAATAAAGATCAGAAGCTACTCCACCAGCTGGGCTTTTCTGATGAGCAGATCCTTACGGTGAAGACTTCCGGCAGTGGGACCCCATCTGGGAGCTCCGCAGATTCCTCCACCAGCTCCAGCAGCAGCAGCAGTGGGGTTTTCAGTTCATCATATGCCATGGAGCAGGTATTGAGTGATAAATCTTAATCTTTTTGTCATCAGTCCATATAGATTTGGATGATTGTGTCCTTTCCTCTCAGACAAATCTTGACTCTTCAGAAATGTATCCCTGGGAAGCACTGGGCATCAATTGGGAGAAGATATACAATTTATCAATCTTCTGGACCACAGACTCTTCTGAGTCCTAAATCATTCTGCCTGGCCACTGCTGCTGCTCCTCTCACCCACCTCTGCATTGAGTCATTGATTTTCCCATTAGCAGTCATACATGCGGTGTTATTTCTATCATCTTTTAAAAAAGCCTTCTTTTCCCCCAGTTTCACCTTCACTTCCTGCCCTATTCTCTCCTTGCCACATCAGCAAAGTCCTCTTTTTATGCTCTTTTCAAGGTTATCTCTTACTTCGGCCTCTCAATCCTCATCTTCTCAACCTTTCATCAGAGTTGGTACATGTGATCACTTCCCCCTGAAACATTTCCTTCACTTGGCTTTCAGGTCTTTGGGTGACTGTAGGCTTTTAACTTAGCATAATCTTGCTATAGGTGATGTCAAATGATCCTTCAGGGTTAGTATTAGTATTGTAGATTTTTAAAAATAACTAGACAGTACTTATATATAGCAATAATTTAAGAAAGAAATTTCATTCAGAAATGGTATTATGACAGTTAATTAGCAACATAAACAGTATATGTAGCATCTTCAAGTTTAATATGTTTATACTATTTCATATTTATTCTGAATTTATTAAAAATCTTATCTATGTAGCAAGAAACCGGTTTGGCTCAGCGGTAGAGCGTCGGTCTGCGGACTGAAAGGTCCCAGGTTCGATTCCGGTCAGGGGCATGTATATTGGTTGCGGGCACATCCCCGGTAGGGGATGTGCAAGAGGCAGCTGGTCGATGTTTCTCTCTCATCGATGTTTCTAGCTCTCTATCTCTCTCCCTTCCTCTCTGTAAAAAATCAATAAAATATATATTTTTAAAAAAATCTATCTATATAGCTGAAACCGGTTTGGCTCAGTGGATAGAGTGTCGGCCTACGGACTGAAAGGTCCCAGGTTCGATTCCGGTGAAGGGCATGTACCTTGGTTGCGGGCACATCCCCAGTGGGGGGTGTGCAAGAGACAGCTGGTCGATGTATCTCTCTCATCGACGTTTCTAACTCTCTATCCTTCTCAATTGCTCTCTGTGTAAAATCAATAAAACATATTAAGAAAAATCTATATAAATATATTTTTGGGATATCTAGTTTCTTATTCCTTCTAACTAGAAAATAGTACTTTAATCACATCTGAGTCCCTTCTATGCATTTATATTCCTTTCCTACCTTTAGAAAAATCACTTAGATTGCATCTATATCTATGTATGGTGTATGATGGTTGATATATATGTGTGTGTGTGTGTGTGTGTGTGTGTGTGTGTGTGTGTGTATATATATATATATATATATATATATATGTATATGTATGTATGACTCTCATTTTGCTTTTAAGTCATTCATTGCCTTGTTTCCTGATGAGCTCAGGTCAGCTTTCAGTGGTGCCCACTCTCCATTCTAGTAATTACACCCATCTTTGTTTTATCTCTCTTCTTCTGCCTACCATTGGGCACCTGAGCCCCCACCAGCAGGTGGGTATGAGAGGAGAGCCCAGGTAGTAAGCACACTAGAAGTTGGGAGATCCCCGACTGTTCACATGTGTGCTTCATGCAGATGAGCACTGTGCTCCCCTCCAGTTTCACAGTGACCAGGTTTCAGAACTAATATTTGTATCGTATGTTTGATTAAAAAAGAAAATTATTTTGTGAATTTGTATTTATACTTGCCTTCTTTCCCTCAGGAGAAATCCCTTCCTGGTGTTGTGATGGCACTTGTGTGTAATGTATTTGACATGCTTTACCAGCTTGCCAATCTAGAGGAGCCAAGGTAAATATAAATATAGGGAACCAAGAAACTTTTCCCTTGAAATGTATTTTCTTTTTTTTCTTTTTTCTTTTTAATTTAAAATATATTTTATTGATTTTTTACAGAGAGGAAGGGAGAGAGATAGAGAGCTAGAAACGTCGATGAGAGAGAAACATCGACCAGCTGCCTCTTGCACACCCCCTACCGGGGATGTGCCCGCAACCAAGGTACATGCCCTTGACCGGAATTGAACCTGGGACCTTTCAGTCCGCAGACCGATGCTCTACCACTGAGCCAAACCGGTTTCGGCTGAAATGTATTTTCTTTACATCTCATACTAAATGACTCTGTTATTGAAATTGTGACTTATCTGAAAAAATTTCAAATTTGAAAAATTTCAGGATAACTCTACGAGTACGAAAGCTTCTGCTCCTGATACCCACTGATCCAGCCATTCAGGAAGCCCTTGACCAACTGGATTCTTTAGGAAGAAAGGTATGGGTTTCTAGGGGGGTTAGTTAACTGGCATGGAATTTTATATCATGATTCAGTGAAAATACAACACCAAATCACACTACAATCATTTGATATCTTTTTCTTAATGATTTTTCTTCTTTTGAAAAATACTTGCTCTGTAAATGGAAATCAGGGCTTCATGTTGTCTTTTAAAGTAGATGGAGTGAAAAATTATGTCAGATTTTAAAACTAGAAGAGTCTTTAATGTCATCTACTTCACCTTCATGATATATGTTAAACCAAAGCCCAGAGAGAATGGAGTATCTTGGCCAGAACTAGACTCTGGCTCTGATTCTCCTCTCATGATGCCTCTCTGATTGTGATTGGGTTATCTTTTCAGTTTCTCACTGTTGATATATAAAATTCATTTTATTTAGTTTTTAGGATATCGTTCCTTTATGTATATATTAGAGGCCTGGTGCACCAAATTTGTGCATGGGAGGGAGTGTGTCCCTCAGCCCAGCCTGCACCCTCTCCAATCTGGGACCCCTCGAGGGATGTCCGACTGCCCATTGATGGGATCAGGCCTAAATGGGCAGTCAGACATCCCTCTCACAATCCAGGACTGCCTTCCTGATTGCCCCTAACCGCTTCTGCTTGCCAGCCTGATCACCCCCTAATCACTTCCCTGCCAGCCTGATTAATGCCTAACTGCTCCTCTGCCAGCCTAATTGCCCCTAACTGCCCTCCACTGCAGGCCTGGTCCCCCCCCAACTACCCTTCCCTGCAGGGCCAGTCGCCTTCAACTTTCCTCCTCTGCCAGCCTGGTCACCCCTAACTGCCCTCCCTGCAGGCTTGATTGACCACAACTGCCCTCCCTTGCAGGCCTGGTCCCTCCCATCTATGGCAGCCATCTTGTGTGCACGTGGAGGCAGCTATCTTTGACCACATGGGGGCAGCCATCTTGTGTGTTGGAATGATGGTCACTTTGCATATTACTTTTTTATTCTATAGGACTAAAATTGTGTTTAATCCATAACATTGTTTATGTTCTCAGAATAAATTAATTTATTACAAAGTTGTTAGAAGTAAGTTATGAATTTTATATTTCAGTGATTGACATTTAGATCAACTTAATTTTGTCATATTTGGCTTATCTATCAGCTTGAGGGAGGAGAGAACTAATGTAATAAAACATATCACTAGTACTAGTTCAAAAAATTCTCAAAACTACCATTTTTGCAATCTTATAATTTCATTATCAGTATTTAGAGGTACAAGTTTTAAAAACACAAAAACAAATGAAGATGACTTTTTTTTTGTTGTTTAAAATAGGATTGTCATGCTGTTGAACATGTAGTTTGTGAGAGAGATTTTGGTGTCTTGTTAGTAACTATAGAGTGATGTGGTTTTATGAGATTAAATTTTAGAAAATGTTGTTGGTATTGATTATATTTAAAAGGAAAAGACTATCAGAATATGTAAATATCTATTTTTAATTTGTGCTTTTAAGACATACATTCTCTTTTTCATTCTCTTAACTTAGAAAACATTGCTGTCTGAAACAAGCTCTCAGTCTTCAAAATCTCCATCCCTCTCTTCAAAGCAGCAGCACCAGCCAAGCGCCAGCTCAATTCTAGAGAGTCTCTTTCGATCTTTTGCTCCAGGAATGTCCACCTTCAGAGTGCTTTACAACTTAGAAGTAAGAAACTTATTTCTTTTCACTTTGTTTTGGTTTGTAGAATCATGCTTTCCGATGAGAGAAATACGTTGACAGGTTTGCTCTGTTAAAACTTAGTTTTTAAAAAGTACAAAATAGAATATAAATTGAATTTTGGATTTTGCCTTTGTAAATGCTCAATTTTTTCTCAATTCATATCCATGTGCATTGTTGTACTTTCAAAATAGTTTCTAAATAAATAATTAGGAAGCCTTTTTTATTAATCTTTATCATTATCTTCCTCTATTACAATTGGGTTTTTTTAAAATAAAAAATAGAAGTTCTGTAATTATGTATAATGTCAGTTATTAATCTTGAGCCTTCTTGTTATTAAATGCATTTTTACAATAAAAAAACTCAATTGTAATTGTTGACATTAATGCAATTTTATGAGGAATTTGTCAGAAGACATGTTAACATTATTCTTTCAAGGTTAAAGAAAAAGCCATTGAAAGAATTTGAGCAAAATAATATTTTTATTACCCTCCTCCAAAGTAGCTTTAAACAAGTAGATTTAGTGCAGTAAACATTTACTAATTATTTACCATCTACACGTTATTGTGATAGTTAGGAGGTCAGAGTTGGAAAGACAACATATCTGCTCTCAGGTGTTAGGAGTAAGACATAGGAAGAGACTGGATATGCTGAGACTTGAAAGCCAAGCATTAACAAAGCAATGTGGGAGAGTGACTAGATGGAAACAGTCTTGCTCTTAGAGGGTCTGGGAATGGAGAAAATAAAGCCCTAGGCGATCTTGCTTTGACCTAGGAAATTATATCCAGGTAGTTCCTTATTCAAGAATCCATAGCAATACCTAAGCAGCCTTAATTATCAAATTAATATCATATTGAGTAGATTCTGAGTGATGATAAAGCATAATTACTAATGGGTGCCTGGTTGGACATTTTCTCCAGGTTTTATTTCATCTGACAATCTAATTTGGATTATATAATTACATTCATTCATTTTATGGTCTACTTGTTGCTTGTGTGTCCAAACAGTGCTAACATTTCACATTTGCCTTAAAATAATTACTCTTGTCAAAAGATGTGTTGGATTTAAAAGTAGAAAATACTTTGTGTATATTTTAAAAATAAAGAATATCTTTATTTGATGTGGACTTTTAAAATAGGTAGACTACCCCAAAACAGAAAATTGCTTAGAAATTCTTGGCCAATTTAAGCTTATAAATTTTAAACTTTCCACTGCTGCCAGATTTGTTTTCTGCTTTTGAATGATTGTCTCAAAAAAGTTAGGATATAAATCTTAACACCCACATTTTAGAGCACCTAGAAAATCAAAATGGTCCAACAATGGGTCTAGCTTGTCATCAGTTATCTAGATGGCATTATTGTAAAACCAAAGGACTCAGCATTAAAATGCCTCCAGTACAATTTAGGATTCCTGTTAGCTGGGAATTTTTTTGGTAGGTTTTCTTTTGTTTTAGACAATACAAAACATTTAGTAAACATAACATTCCCAAAAGCACTTACTTTTACTATTACTTGAAAGATTCAATTCCTCCCATTTTCACCTTTAATTTATGTTTGCCTACTAAGAAACATCTAACTGGATTTTCCAAATACCCATTGCTTTGGAGAAACATTTTGTTTTCACTGAATTATTGTCCATTAAGCATGGGGAGTGTGTTCATGTGGCTGTTAGCACTCACTCATAGAGGCATTAGAGTCACAGAAAATTTTCATTTTCCTATGTAAGGCTCATGAATTAGGGCTGATGAAACTGTTTCCCAAAGAGCAAATCAGGAGAAAAGTATTTTAAATTTAAAAATCTCACATTAAAAATCTAAGCTCATAGAACCCCATAGGTTCATAGGAGCTGATTATTCTTATTATTTTTTTTTAGAATAGAAAAGGATCTTGAATTACATCTAGTTTAAAACCTTAAAAATTTGAGAAAATGGTCTTTATTTTAAAATTTTAAATTATAATAACTAAATAAGCCAGCTCTTTATGCTTTGTGCCTTGTGCTTATGCTAAGCATCTTAAGCTTGCATTATCTTATTTAATCCAAACAATCCTCTGGTAAAGGTAATTATTATCCCAGTTTAGCTGACGAGAAAACAGTGACAAAAGGAAAACTTACATGCCTGAGATTATTCCTGTGAAATAAGTCTCTTGTCATAGCAAAATATTCAGTTATGTTTTCTTTAGGTAGATATAGGAGTGTTATAAAAGTGAGATACATCTGGATTTAAATTCTAACCATGTGACCTTGAATGGGAGGTCACTAAACTTTTCAGGTCACAGTCTTTACCTATAAAGTTAAATACTGTACATATGCCATGCATAGTGAGATGAGATAATGCATGTTAAATACCTCAGCATGTACCTAGATGCTCAATAAGTAGGAAGAAGTTAGAATCATTAGTGGGGACTCATCTAGCACTTTTAGTAAATGGGCTGTTTTATAAAACTTAACATACTTTTTTAAAACATATAATTTTTTAAAATTAATTTTAGAGAGAAAGGAAGAGGGAGAGAGAGATAGAAACATCAATGATGAGAGACAGTCATTGATTGGTTGCCATACTGGGGATTGAGCCCACAACCCAGGCATGTGCCCTGATCCGGAATTGAACCCATGACCTCCCGGTTCATAGGTCAATGCTCAACTACTGAACTATACCAGCCAGGCTTAATTTACATACTTTTTAAAGACCATATCTAGCATATCATCTGTTCTTATCTAAGCCTGAGAGACAGAAGCACTCACATTTGTTGATTTCTTGCTAAGTAAATAGAACTTGGAAAATGTGATTATTTATTTGTGAAACATCAGCCTCCTTATGCTTCTAAGTGGAAAATGGCATTCAGCATTTAAAGAGATCATGACTTGAGTTGCCTGATTATTTTATTTAGTAAAGGAATTATTTCTGCTGGAAAAGTTGGGATAATTAATTGTGCTCATCTGTTTCCAAGGTTCTAAGCTCCAAACTCATGCCAACAGCTGATGATGATATGGCAAGAAACTGTGCAAAATCCTTCTGTGAGAACTTCCTCAAAGCAGGAGGTTTGAGGTTAGTGTCCCAATATAATGTTACATGAATTGCAGAAAATGATTCTATTATTTTGATTAACTTCTCTTGCCAAGCCTGGCTTATTCCTACAAGGTATTATGTGAAGCATTGTAGTAATATTTATAATAAGAAGGAATGATATGTCAGCCTTTAGAGTATTTTAATTTATTTTATGACTTTTGATTATTTGGAAAACTTAGAGAAGCATGTCTCTTTCTGCTCTAGTAGTGGGGAATTCTTAGGAAGAGGAGAGAAGAGGCTAAATCAGTTTCTGTTAATTCCCACATTCGTTTATACTGAGGTGAATTTGATCCCCAGTAGTCCATGTTGTGGAAGGCATTAGTTCTGAGGATGCAAAGATAAATTAAGTATTATTTCTGCCCTTAAGAGGCTCATGGTTTAATAGTTATTATTAAACCATGAATACAGAAGCTTATAAAAATCAGTTTGGTGGAGTGGAGGTTAGGAAAGAAATTAGTTGTTAAATTGGTTATATTTGGTTGGGGTCCTAAGATTAGGAAATGCTTCACTGAAAGTGACATTCGAGCTGGGAGTTGTGAAACAAGTAGTCAGATAGTCATTTCCTAGAGAAACAAGGAGGGCAGGAGCACTCTGAGCCAGAGGTGGGGGGCAGGGAATGAATGAAGCACTACAGTACATGGCCCCTCTTGGGAATATAGTTGCCAGGTGAGGCTAGTGCCAAGGATAAGGAAGAGAAATATGTAAAGAAGGGTCACATTGAGGAATCCCAACATTGTACTGTAGACCATGGAAAAACAGGAAGTTTATAAGCCAGGAATTACCTATAACAGTTACTCTGCCTGCACTGGAGAAGAATGGAAGTAGGAAAAACCAAGTTCAGTGAGAACTGTTCAGAGTTGTGACAGTGCTTGAGAGAAGAGACAGCAGGTTCTAAATTTAGGGCGGTGGTAGATTGACATTTATGTGGTATAAGAGGTAAGTCTTTATGACTAGATATATGACTACAGTAGGAACATTTTTAGAATGACTTATGATTGTTGCTTGAGAAACAGGATAAATGGTGACTCTCTAGTCCTTATGGGAAGTAAACATGGAAGGAGATGGGGGAAACAAAGGAAGTCAAGAGAAGTTAATTTGATTGCATATGAAATCCCTGTGAGTCATGTGAAATGGGTGGTTTGGATAGGATGCTCTCGAGAGAAGTGGAGAATGGCACTAGAGATTTGGGGGAGCCATCAGTGTGTAATTGCAGCCATTGGGGCATAAGCAGTTGGCAGAGCTAAGTGGCAGGGATAAGTCTAGGAAGTAGAATCTGTAAGTGGATGTCTCTGCTTTATCATAAGTGACCTAACAGGGGTTACAGTACTTTGATGGGAAGGATAAGATAAAAGTTGACTTTTTTTGTTTTTGTTTTAACTTGTAGAAAATTTGATTCTCTTTGTAGGCAGACCTGGTGAAAAAGAGAAGAATAAAGATGAAAAGGGGATGATCAGTTGAGGGGCTGTGTTCTGCATTTGAAAGGAGATTTGCGTTAGGAAGAAGTAGGCATGCCATTTCTTCCAGGAGTTAAAACCAACTTGAAGATAGTTAAAGAAAATTCTGTTCAGAGGGAAGAGGAATTGGGTGAAACCATGGAGAGATAAAATGGTGGAGAACTAGAGAGAGCTGAAGGAATTCCCAAGCATGTGGAAGGCCAATTGCACACATAGTTTTATTCTTCAATATTGTAGAGATGTTCTTGCAACAGCTTAATTCAGTTTATTTGGCCAATTACAGAGCTATGGTATTAAAGGAAGTTTACTTCCGCTTTATTCTTGTATGCCAGTTAATTTATGTGCCAGGCATTTTTCTAAGCAATGAACAGAGCGGCAAATAGATTAGATCAAAACCCATATCCTCATGAAGCTTACTGTCCAGAGGGGGAAACAGACCATAAAGGCAGAAGCAAAGTAACGGTGTATGTCAGGTGGTTATAAGAGCTGTAGAGAAAAGTAAGACCAGAAGGGATGGAGGGAATGGTCTGGGAAAGCTTTACTTGACAGGGTGACATTTTACAGACATGATGGAGGCATAGAGCAAGACCGTGATCTACTGGGGAAAGCTGTCTACAAAGCAGCCACTGCCCTTAGTGGGACCCACCTGATGTCTGCAGAGACCAGCAGGAGGCCAGTGTATTTGGGGCAGAGTGAGGCAGGCAGCAGAGAGGACATGAGATTACAGACATAGGTCGGGTTATGTAGGATTTTATAGGCTACTGTGAAAATTGCCTTTTTTCTCTGTAGGAAATAGGAAGCCATTGGAGGACTTGTACAGAGGAGTGTCATGGTCTGACTTAATCTTTAAAGAATATCTTTTGAGACTTGATTTTGGAGGTGGAGCATTAAGAATGGAAGCAGGAAGAACAGTTGAGAAGCTTCTGTAGTAATATAGGTTGGAGTGGCCATGAAAAAAACAAGTTTATTCAATACACCAATTCTGGGTATATTTTTTAATTGTTAGTTCACATTAGTGAACTCAGGCAGTTTAGCAAGAAGTGAACTATGCAAACACTCCATGTTGGAGGTCCTTCTTTGATTTTAACTAGTCTAATTCTAAATGGATGAGAAGGCTTGTAGGTATCATAAGAAGTCATTGGGATAGATATATGTATAGTTCATTTTATATGTAAAGATCTTGTAGAAATTTTGAGTGATGGATAACATTTATTAGCAATTGAATTACAGAAATTTTCTTATGAAAAAAATAGAAGTCTTTAATATCCTGTCTTTCTGTTTTTTGAAGTTTGGTTGTAAATGTCATGCAGAGGGATTCCATCCCATCAGAAGTCGACTATGAAACAAGGCAGGGAGTTTATTCTATCTGTCTACAACTCGCAAGGTATGTCAGTATGTTAGTCTCACAAGGCAATACTTTACTTTTCTCACTGATTCAATCATTTTAAGTAGTATGAAGTGAGTTTGAATAAGTCTATCTTTCTATTTCCTTTTAAGATTTTTACTTGTTGGACAAACAATGCCCACTTTATTAGATGAAGACATCGCCAAAGATGGTATAGAGGCACTTTCTTCTCGCCCATTCCGAAATGTTAGCAGGCAGACCAGCAGGCAGATATCCCTATGTGGTACCCCAGAAAAGTCATCCTACCGACAGTTGTCAGTGTCTGATAGGTCTTCTATTAGAGTGGAGGAAATCATCCCTGCTGCACGAGTTGCAATACAAGTAAGTGATTTGTGTGTTCAGGAACTATTAAGTACCTCCTGTTTAGAAACAACTGGTTGAGGGAAAGGACCATTCGGATATCCTATATAATAAAAGGGTAATATGCAAATTGACGAACGGTGGAATGTCAGGTCACTATGACGTGCATTGACTGCAGGAAATGGGCCTAAGCTGTCAATCAGACATCCCCCAAGAGCTCCCAGACTGGATGAACTGAACCCTCTCACCCTCTCTCCTCCCCCCCCTCCCCCCCCTCCCCCCGTGCACAAATGTCATGCACCATGCCTCTAGTATTGAATATTGACATGAATATTAGCTTAAAGGAATTTATGGTAAGAAAGAGACCACTCATGTGGAAATGCTGTAATTCAAGGTGGAAAATGTCAAGTGTTATAAGAAAACTACAAAAGCAGAACATTCTATGGGCCTTCAGAGGAAGTGGAATAATTGCCTTTACCTCTGGCCATCATGTATGATTTTATGTAGGAGGTGGCATTTAAAGTAGGCCTTGAAGAATAGATTAGGATTAGATATGTAGAGCAAAGTATGGAGAGTTGGAGAGAGGAGAGTCGTTCAAGAAAAAAAGAAGGGCGTGAGCAAAGTTAGAGAAAACCAGAGCCTTATGGGAAGTGGGGGAGAGAGGTCACATGGCAGTTCACACAGGCCAGAATGCGTTGAGGGGTAGGGGGGAAATGGTGAAAACCAAACTGTTACCAGGTAATTTAAAGGCAGAGCGTGGAGATCATAGTCCTTGTTTACAGGGAGCAGAGAGAGATTGAAAGTCTTTGAACAGCATGGAAGCATTAAAACGGTGGTTCTCTAGGTGATCTTGGGGGGAAAGAATCTCACAAACTGAGACCAATGAGGTCCTAGAAGCTAATGAAATGTGTTCCAGTATTGCCTTTTCTCACAACAAACGCTCTTTCCATATTTCTTTAGACAATGGAAGTAAATGATTTCACTTCCACTGTGGCTTGTTTCATGAGACTGTCCTGGGCTGCTGCTGCAGGACGACTTGACCTCGTTGGGAGTAGCCAACCAATAAAAGAAAGTAATTCTCTGTTTCCTGCTGGAATTCGAAACAGGCTCAGCAGTTCAGGTACTAATTAAAAAGGATACAGTAATTAGAGCATGGGCAAGAAATAGCTGTAAGAATCATCTCTGTATAGCTTGCACATTCCTAATGTATGTCATACTTCATTTAAGAAAAATAATAAACACAGAGTTAGTGGAGACACAAAATCAAACAGTTTTTATCTTGCTCAGTGTAAAATGTCAGGAGGCCAGTAACTGTATCTGTAATAAAAATTTATCTAGGAATCCTACATCGAAAAGTCATTTTCTTGGTTCAGCCACTTATTTCTACTAGACCTTTATAAGTAGCTTTATTTTTCAGCTTCATTTGGTTTCCCTTTTCAATCTATGAATTTCTGTATACCCATGTATTGAAAAAAATTTAAGAGGTGTGACATACATATAATAAAGTGCAGAAATGTTAACAGGATTTTTACATATTGTAACCCATCTACATCACATAAGGAGCATTTTTAACATCCCAGGAAGACTTCCACATGGCTCCAATATTGCACTATTTTATTATCTGAAATTAGTTTGCCCCATAAACTATGTATAAAGCAGTCAGGGCCACATAAAGTGATTAAGTCTCTCTTATTTCTTAGACCAAAGTGTCTTCTTGAACTATTTAATTTCACTTGAGGATTCTGAGGAACACATTAAAAGACTGTTAGCAGATCCCCTGGTCCTGTAGGACCATAGTAACCTTCTGCTTGCCCCTCTCCAGGAAGCAACTGCAGCTCTGGAAGTGAAGGAGAGCCAGTCGCCCTGCACGCAGGCATCTGTGTGCGCCAGCAGTCCGTGTCCACCAAAGACTCCCTGATTGCTGGAGAGGCTCTGTCTCTCCTGGTTACCTGCCTACAGCTTCGGAGCCAACAACTGAGTATGCAGGAGGCTTGCTTGTGATTCCTCTTCTTTAGGGAAAGGCCAGGCTTCTGTTGGGAATTATTTACATGCTTTATAGGTATAAGGTCATGTTATAGAAATGAAGAGGGGGCACATTGGCATGTGGAATAGGCAAGAATAGTGCTAAAGTAGGGAGATTTTGAGCAAGCATTTATTGAGCTTCTTCTATATATAAGGTTCCATAGAGAATGTTATAAAGAGCAGTATGTTTGCCCTCCAGGAGCTTACTGTCAAGTTGGGGAATCAAAACAACACAAATTATAGTTCATAAACTATAGAATTAGAACTGTATGTCAATAATGACTTCACTTAAAAATTATGAAATTTAAGATTTGCCCTTTTAACTTTATTATTGGCTCTAGCAAGTGGGGCTGTTATGAATTATACTTTTTGTGTTAGAATATTCCAAGGTTCGGTCCTACATCACTGTGGGCTCATCCATTTTCACAGCTTTCAATTTCTACTATATTCTGGTACCTAAATTTGGGTCTCCAGCCTGGACTACACCCCTGACATTTCCACTTGGAACTCAAATAGGCTTTCCAGACTTAGCATGTCCTGAACTGAACTATCGATCTGGCCCATATCAGCCGAGAGTTTTCCCAACTTAATTATTTAGCAGTTTTGCTCTGGCCAAAACCTTGGAGTCATCCTCAATTTTTTTTTTTTCACACCCCACTTCTAAGCTGTCCGCACATCCTCCTTTAAACTATATCTCCATTCTACTTCTTCACTGTTATTACCCTCTTATCTGCCATCATCTCTCACTTGGATCACAGCCATTGTGCCCTAACTAATCTCCCTGCTTCTACCCTTGCAGTTCATTCTCCACACAGTAAGCAGAGTGGACCTTCTTAAATGTAAGTTAGATCCTATCACTCCTCTGTTTAAAACCTTGCAATGGCTTCTCAGTTCATCCTGAGTAAGGCCTTCAAGGCCAGACACAATCTACCTCCTTGATACCTGTGTGTCTTCAGCTTCTCCAACTCTCCTCCTCACTGACTGTGACTGCTTCAACCACCCTGGCATGTTCCTGCCTCAGGGCCCTTGCACTGGCTGCTCCTCCTTCCTGGTATCTTCTTCGGCTATCTATCTACATCACTCTCTCTTCCTCATTTCCTACAAGTCTTACTTAATGTTACTTTTTTAATGAGACATTCTCTGACCACCTTTTAGAGAAATCACAACACTCCCCTCAAACTCCAGCACTAAAAACCCTCATCTTATTTTTTGCTGTGAGAGTTATCATTTTATAACAAATAATACTGTTGATTCACTTGTCATGTTGTCCTCACCTCCTCTGCAACTAGGCTGTAAGCTCCATCAGGACAGATTCATGTCCATTTTATTCTCTATTGAATCTCCAGCACCCAAACACTTCCCAGTGCATAGTAGGCCCTCAATAACTATTTACTTATTCAGGGATAAAGTCTCAAAGTTTCACTCTTAAACATTGTACCAATACATAGGGGCTCTATTCTTCACTGTTATTACTGATTCAGGCTGCCAGTTATATAGATGTGATCATTAGTATTTACTGTACCACCTAAGTTCATTATATAAGGTAAACATATAGAAAAGGTTATAGATTTGTCACATTGCAATAGTATTCAAAAGTATTTACTTTGACAAGAATGCTTTCGAAGGTTTATATATGAGAAGTGTGAATCATGACATACTTTTGAAGATAGGCCATAGAACTTAGTTCAATTTTCCTACAGTTCTTTAATTTTAGAGGTACCCTAATATACAATATATAAAAACCCAAGGTTCGTCACCACCGACCAAACACTGGAAATCAGTCCTGCAGTCAGTGCTGGGTTGCCATGGTGACCACCCAGCACTGACTGCCAAGGGGGGCTGCAGATGGTGCCAGAGAGAGGCCTGGACAGAGAGGCAGGGTCTATTCCACAGCCTCTGTGGCAGCTGTTGATCAGCTGTTGCCTCTCTCTTTCTCTCTGGGCTTTGCCAGCAGTCATGCCTCTGTTTCTCTCCAGGCCTCTGTGGGGGATGCTGATTAGCCCCGCCTCTCTGATCAGGTCCAGAGATGTTGACATAAAAACTGACCAATCAGAACCAAATCTGGGTGAACTGTGAGGAGTCACTGGCTGCCTAGGAGGCGGAGCTTTTGATACTGATTGGCATAGAAACCGACAATTCCAAACCAAATCTGGGTGAACTGTGAGGAGACAATGACTGCCTAGGAGGCAGAGCTTTTAACACTGACTGAAATAGAAGCTGACCAATTGGAACTAAATTAGCCAGCAGAGGAAGGCAGTTAGGGGTGATCAGGCAGGCAAGGGAAGGCAGTTGGGAGCAAGAGCAGACAGGCAGGGAAGGGCCTTTGGGGGCAAGATCAGGCTGGCAGGGGAGGGCAGTTGGGGGAGATCAAGCAGGCAGAGGCAGTTGGGGGCGAAATCAGGCTGGCAGGGAGAGCAGTTGGGGGCAAGATCAGACCCTCAGGGGAGGGCAGTCAGGGATAAGCAGGCAGAGGCAATTAGGGGTGTTCAGGCAGGAAAGCAGTCAGATGCAGTTAGGGGCAAGCAGGCAGGCAGGCAGGTGAGCAGTTAGGAGCCAGCGGTCCCAGATGGCAAGGGTGATCGATGCCTGATTGGAGCAAGTGCAGGCTGGGCTGAGGAAACCCCCTCCCCCTCCGTGCACAAATTTCATGCACCGGGCCACTAATTTTCAAAGATATATATATAACTTCTCTTCTTTATCATTTAAGTTTGTGGTGGGTATATTTTATAGTTCACAAGTATTGCTAGTTTTTCAACACAAGACATATTTATTCTGTGGCTGGTATATGCAAGGCATTGTACTAAAATGTGAAGGTACAAAAATGACCAAGATGATCCTGCTCACAGGCATTTGAGGCAGTTGTCCAAGAATCAGAATTTGATTCCATGTAGAAGAGGTGAATTTCTGTTACAGTTAAGCTTAAATTATTCAGAATTTATGAAATTGTGGGAATATATTTCCTAATTTAATGTTCTCCTTGCCCCCAATTCTCCTTATTCTTATCATTAGCATCTTTCTATAACTTGCCCTGTGTTGCTGATTTTATCATCGATATTCTGCTTGGATCGCCAAGTGCTGAGGTAAGGATTGTTTACATTATTTCATAAAAAAGCCCTTTGTCGTCTTCTGTCTTTGGCTCTCTGGGTACCTTTAACATCATAGAGAATACAGAAGGAACAACCTTTTGTCCTCTCAGAGAGTCATACAAAGTGACCGTTTGAACTGACTGCCCTCCTTTCTATTTCATATCCCTAAAAAAGTTAAGAGACTAGGCCTAAAATTAATTTTTGTTTATTACAAACAACATTACAGCCAATGTTCAACACCCATAGCTGGCAAAGACAGCTGGCATTAAGCGTCAACATGTTGGTCACAATCAAGACCAACTTCAAGCCATGAACTTTCACTAGATTTTATAATTCTGATTGTCTTACATGACCTTGAAAATTAACTTTTCTTATTTTCATTTATATTAAGTTATAAATCTATTGATTAGAATAGAATAATGGAATGGTTTGGGAAATCAGTTCCCAGAACACCCTTGTTTTTAATCCTGGTTTAATTAATGTAAACTCTACTATCAATGATTGAAATATTTGGACTCTTAGAGTATCCTTCAAAGCATAGACTTTGAAGGAGAATCATTTTTGAGGCAATCTTTAAGTGTTGGATGATGGGTGTTCTTTGCCACTAATTAATTCCAGATTCGCCGTGTTGCCTGTGATCAACTGTATACTCTTAGTCAGACAGATACTTCAACTCATCCAGATGTACAGAAGCCAAATCAGTTTCTTCTAGGCGTGATTCTCACAGCTCAGCTGCCTCTCTGGTCTCCAACTAGTATTATGAGAGGAATCAATCAAAGGTACGTGATAAAGATGAGAAAGCTCACATTATATAGAAAGAATAATGAGTTAGGTGCTGCTCCCATAAAGCCCACTGTGCATAATTGAGATGACAGAAGAATCTCTCCTCTCCTCTTCTAGCATTTGTGTCTGAAAGAGGGCATTTCAGTGTTTTTCCCATTCAGGATTGGAGAGTTAGAATAACACCAGGCTTTCTTCTCCTCTGACGCCCCCAGTTCCCACCTCCACCTCCCACCTCCACCTTACCTGGTTGGTAAGAACCTGAAACAATTCAAGCCCGATCACTGTGTAAAGGTCCCACTGCTCATGTCCTCTTGAGTGTCACATTCTCTGCTCAGCATACTTCACAACTCCTATGTGTATCTGTATTGGTAAAATCATTGGTGTGCTTCTTGCTAAAATATTGAAGTTGAATTAATGTAAAAGTAGTTATTTTATTCTAGGAAAAGTCTCATTCATTTGTTTTTATGAACTTCTTATAATAAGAAAAATTATTTTTTATTTTGAAATCAGCCTCTTTTTAATAATTGAAATCTGTTTTTTAGACTATTATCTCAGTGTATGGAGTATTTTGATCTGAGGTGCCAATTACTAGATGATCTGACAAGTAAGTAAATGTCTAACTTTGATTTGTATGGGGGGAATAGATTCAAGGGGGTAAGAAGGAAAAAAGAAAACCAAATGGACATTTTTAATTCTGACAATGTATCTAGATATATTGAGATTATAATTATCATTTGAAGTTGAATTTTATTTTCCTGAAAATAGCATATAAACCCCATGTGCCAGTATTCTATTAAGTATCCAACTATTATATGCTGAGAAAATCTGTTGATTTTAAAAATTGTCAAAGGCACTTATACTTTAATTATACTGATATGGAGCTATTAAGACTTTCTAGTATAGTCCATTCTGATCATTTTTCAAAAGTTGATTATTGAAAGAAAGAGGGAATGTCTGTTGAGATGTGTTGATACTAGTATTAGAAGTGAGTGACAGAAGTAGACAGGATTCGTATCTGGTGCCAGTCCAGCTCTGGCTGACCCTGAAGTATCCCTTTTTACCTCCTCATCCGGGACCCTCCTTGCTTGTGGCTTATAGTGCAGGGAAAGTAGAGCATAATCACTCCTCCTCTCCTACCCAACCCCTACTTCCAATATGTTTTAAATCCTTGTTTGGAGGGGAAGTGAAATATGCTTCATATGAGCAGTTCTCTGGAGTTTGGCGCATTGTTTGGAATCCTGAACTCAGCTTTTATGCTGTTGACCTCTCTCCTTTGCAGAACTCTGCCCCCTATAGACGTAGGTAACACTGTGGGAGCATTGGCTCTCCTCATACCCTTCCAACCCTCCTTCCCACCAAACCAGGAGCTTCTTTTCAAGAAGGATTGTCTCTTTCATCTTAAATCCCCAGCTTGTAGCGTAGTGACCCACACAGAGGAAGCACTCAACATATGTTTGGTTTATGACTGAGAGTGAGTGAAGGAAGAACAAATATACATGAGCTGTCATAGTCCTGTGGGTAGTAGCTATAGCCTGCCATTTATTAATGACAGGGCTTGTTTGTTTTTTTGAGTTTGATGAACTGAAAGATTGGGACGTTTTGCTTGCTTTAATTCAGGATTTTGACTCCATGAACGGAAATAATTCTCTCTAAGAAATTAATTTTTTTTTTTTTTTTCTTAGCTTCAGAAATGGAACAGTTAAGAATCAGCCCGGCTACCATGCTTGAAGATGAGATTACTTGGCTGGATAACTTTGAACCTAATCGCACAGCTGAATGTGAGACCAGTGAAGCAGACAACATTTTACTGGCAGGACACTTACGGCTCATTAAGACCCTTCTTTCACTCTGTGGGGCAGAAAAAGAAATGCTTGGTAATTATTGCTTCATCTTGTCATGTGACAGAATACCTCATTTTCAGTTCCTGCCATAGTTTTGTGTGTAATTGGGAAAATAAGATAGGTCCCAAGTGTTGCATAGAAAACTGGCCCTTCAGGCAATAAGACTTTGTCTGGCTTAATGCCTAACAAATTTAAGGTATATTTTATGTGTGTCACTAAACTACATAGGGAATTTTATAGTGTTCAAAAGAGTTTGATCACATAACTTCTTAATACCAACTAAAAATTATAATTCAAAGTAGATTTTTTTTAATATATTTTATTGATATTTTACAGAGAGGAGGAAGGGAGAGAGATAGAGAGCTAGAAACGTCAATGAGAGAGAAACATCGACCAGCTGCTTCTTGCACGCCCCCTATCGAGGATGTGCCCGAAACCAATGTACATGCCCTTGACCGAATCGAACCTGGGACCCTTCAGTCCGCAGACCGACGCTCTACCACTGAGCCAAACCGGTTTCGGCTCAAAGTAGATTTTTCTCTTTTTACTGTTAGGTACTTTATAAAATATAATCTGTTGTATACTTTACTTCTTTTAAGAGTAATTTTCTTCTAGGGAAGCAGTTCTCAACTACTATCCCTAGAAGATGGATGAGTCTCCTGAGCTACATATGTAATTTGTACAAACATACTAAATATTATAATTATATTCAGGAAACAAATCAAAAGATTAATTTTCATATTTATCACACAAACTAAGCTCTATAAAAAAAATCTTTTTAACTACTGGAAATACATAGAAAAGAGTGATTCTAAACCAGGTTGAGAAAGGCAAATTATTTTTACCTAATGAAGGCAAGATTTTAAAAAAGTTTCAAAACCCTTTAAGGGGATTTCCTGTGCCCAAAGTCAGAATTATTTACTCAAACCATCTACCTTGTGGTGTACTTGGCATTTGTGTGTTTCTAAAGTGAAAGTTTGACTCCTTTCACTCTGTTGTAAGTTCATAAAGGAAAGTACCCTCACTTGTCTCTCTCTATATCCTGTACCCAGACCCTACCAGCCATCCCCACCTCTCTACCCCAAGAGCTTTGCCAAAAATTAAGCATGAAACTAAACTGAATGCCCTGCTATTGGGTGGCTTAGGTGCCTTTGCCTTTGATATGAAGTGCAAGATAGGATCTTTGAATTAAAATATGTGTTCATCCTCAACATGAATATTATGCTCTATTTCAGGTTCATCACTCATTAAACCATTGTTAGATGACTTCCTTTTCCGAGCTTCTAGAATTATCTTAAATAGTCATTCTCCAGCTGGCAGTGCCGCCATCAGTCAACAGGACTTTCATCCAAAGTATGGAAAATGCACGTTGTGTTCAGTTTGGGTAAAAATTCTAATTCAAAACATTAGTCCAAAAAGATTTTCTTAACTTGGAGTTTGTCTTCTATCTTGTGAGTGTGCATAGCTTATAAGATATTATCCACTATACAAAGAAATGCATGTAAAGAGACTTAGGATAAAGCCTGCCTGTCACATAGTACATGCTGAGCAAGTATGCTGGTACCATTATTTTCATCGGAAGAGAGTAAGTAATAACGTGGTTAATTTGGTCAGTATCACATTCCAAGATGAACTGAATTTGTCAGAATTTAGTCCAAAATGAAAGTCTTGCATAAGTTCTGAGTCTTGAGGGTTTCTTGGATAAGAAAAGTACAGGTGCTTTAGTGCATGAACCTTGAGGTTTGCTGAGTAGTGATTGTTCCTGATAATTAAAACTGTTAGTGACTGATTACAGTGGTGATTTTAGAATCAACTTTTGTATTATTTTCTGTGAGTAGAAATGTGGAAGATCCTTTTGTAATGTTAACCCTATGTGGGTGATGATTATACTCTTAAAGATGGGAGGTTATTTGCTCTGAATCTAACTTTGTTCTGTTCTCATGAAAACAGAGTTAATTGAGTAATCCTGAGGAAAAGATTTGGCATTTAACCAGTGGGAAAAATTCTCACATAATTCAGTGGTTTAATGAAATGGGCAGGGCATAATCAATATTTTATGGAATCCTTAAGGAATCTTATGTGGGAATATTTCTCTACTTAGAGATCCCTTATTAGCATAATGTGTTTTAGGTAAGAAGCCTTCATTATGACTCTTGGAGTGTCTCTCAGGATTGAGTGACTCCAATCTTTAGGCCTGCCCAACCTGTGTTAGAAGATTTGGTGCTAATTCCATGGGTGTCTTTTATTAAAGCAATAGAAATATATGAGTACATTAATTTCTAGTGAACAGAGGAAATAAATTTTCAATTTTATAGAAATTTTTATTCACGAATTCTTCACTTTATCTTTATTAAAAGTAAAACCTTCATCCACAAGGAGTTATTTTTTAAATCATATATAGTGCCTTGAATAGAAAAGGAAACATTTTGTTTCATCTTCCCTCAGTGCACCGAATGGTGTTCATTTATCACAATCACTCCCAGCGTTTTCCCACCTTTCCATAAAGCCCGGAAGAGATTTAAAATACACAGAAACCCTTTTCACAGTAATGCCATTTTCATATCACACTAACAGCAAAAGAGCTTCTTAATATTTAGGCTGTGTATGTGGTACCTCTTATTCATTCTTTACTTGTCCTGTGCAACCCAGAAGTCCATGGCCATTGTCCTCAGTGGCTGGCTCAGTGCTGATCTGAAAGCCTCACAGCTCCCTCTTGAGCACATCGTCTACACTCCCCTTCCTAAGTGTTTCTTTCAGAGGTTGGGTGTCCTCTTTTCTGTGTATCCTTCCTAACCTTTGATCATAGTATTGCAAAGTTGGCATAGGTGAGTGTGAGAAATTACTATTTATCCCCAAAGTTATAATCATTAAAGGTGAGCAGTTTAAACCTATTGGTTGAGCAAATTATGTATTTTTGTCTCCGTTTTTTCTGCTAAATGGAAAGTTGATTAGTTGATATTTTAGCTATAGACACACATAAAATGTTTATGGCATCTGTTCTGATTTGCATAGCTTTCTTTTTCTGCCCTTTAGATATTTGAATTTCAGAGTGATATCTTGCTGTCTACTTTAATTGAAAGAGTTATTTCCATGTTGTGATTTTGGTAAAAATTTTCAGACTGTCCTCTGTTTTTACTGATATATCCCATAGATAAGAATACTCAGGAATCATACGTGACAGATTTTGCTACTTTATCATCAGGCCATGAAGATATTTAGTCCTAAAACAATATTCATCCCTCCAGTAGTTCATGGTCTTCCTTTGTTAAGTCAGCACTACCCACTAGATTCACTAGAGTTCTGCCTGCAGACCTGACTTAACCTAACTCTTTAGGGAATTGCAGCTCTTGTACTTTCATTGCAAAACTTGACTAGGACTAACGGACTTGTGTCTTTTATTTTTATTTTTAGGTGTAGTACAGTGAATAGCCGATTAGCAGCCTATGAAGTCCTTGTAATGTTGGCGGATAGCTCACCTTCAAATCTTCAAATTATTACAAAAGAACTACTTTCTATGCATCATCAGCCAGACCCTGCTCTTACCAAGGAGTTTGATGTACGTTTTCTAGACCTTGGTGTATTTAATTTTTTTAAGAGTGTTCTCCTAAACATAGAATTTTTAAAACTATATTTTCATTTTTCTAATCACAAAGAAAGTCAGTATTATGCTTTTACTTATCATGTTTATATACTCAAGTCAACTATCATCTATGATGTATTATTAAATGGTACCCTTTTAGTTAATTAAAGAGGATACATTTTCAAGTCAGTTCATAATTACTCTTAGTAAAAAGTAGCATTTCAACCTATTTCTTGAGTACATTTATGCTTGGCAAGACACTAGAGATAAATAAGCATTGGCTCTGTCACACTGCAGTCTTTGTTCTGTTAAATTCAACTAAGATTGATTGAGTTTCCTATTTGCTAAGAGGTGTGTTGGGCTTTTGGAGCTCAAAACTAAAGATTGATCCCAGCCCTCAAGGGCAGTGTATAATGGAAGAGACAGACCCATAAGCAGGTAATTTCAGTATAATGGGATCAAATTTAAGATAGAGGTATGTTTGGAGCACTCTACTAACAGAGAGACACTTTACCACCAGCTGGCGGTGTTTTGGAGGACTTTTAGAAAACGTGAAATGTAAAATAGAGCCCTAAAGACTGTGAGTCCATTGAAGCAAGGTAGCAAGATCAGTCCAGCTGTGGGCAAACCTGTGGAGCCCTGGAGCATCACATTTTATGTTGGGATTGCAAGAGGGAAGCAAGTTGGGGTGCCCTGGAGTACCAGACCAGGCGTGGGAGGGCACTTGTACAGCTGCTTGTACATTCTCCACTAGCGTCACAGTCATTTGAGCTGAGTGTTATGAAACATACAGTGTAGGCAGGAAAGGAAGTTGGAAGAGGAGTTCCAAATAGAGAAAATAGTACTTGCAGAGTAAAATGTGATGCATAGTTTCACATGTATTTAATCAAATTAAAATGAAAACTTTATTATTTTCATAAATCAAGAATTATAGCAGCTTAATGAAGAATGTCATTTATAAATATTTGTATTTTTAGTACTGTTATAAACTAGTTTTTCTTATTTTTTAACATTCTTTTTTTTTTTTTTTTTTTTTTTTAACTATGCTTTGGACTACAAGTAAATTTCAGTGGTAATTAGGTCTTAGAAATCACCCTGCTCTAACTGTATGTTGAATGTTAATAAAACGTATGTAATATGTTCCTTTCCATTCAAAAGATCAACAGGGTCTTGTCAGTTGGTTAGGTATTACATGGATACAGATACTTGTATTGGCAGATAACGTGGCTCTGGTCATGGCATTAGAATCGATAGACTCTGCTATGAGAGTATTTGAGAAAATGTAATTATAATACCTTTCCTCTTGGAGAAGTGCCATGTTGAACTTCATCCAAGATGCCCTTTCTTGATTATTTGTGCATAGAAAAGCACTGCACTGGGATCTACATTATTACAAACATCTCTACGTGAAATGCTGAGGCATTTACGTATTTATTTAATTGTGTGATTATTAGAGGAAGTTGAGTAGCAGAGTGCTCACTTCTCAGAGAAGAAGAGAAGGAATATGTGCTTTCCTTGACCATCTAGACGGGCATGATCAGGATTCTTGCAGAGTAAACACTTCATAGAACCCTAATCCTTTTTTCTTCTTTTTCAGAGTATCGCCTCAGTTTTATTATATTAATAAAAATGTATTAGTGTATTTACTTGATCAATACCTATTTACCATACTAGATTGAGAATTCCTTTGAGATCAGGGTACATTTGAGCTCTCTTTCTCGAATCCTGGCATAGTTTCTGGCTTATATTCTGTGTACTTTATGAACCAAAAAGAAACATTGAGATGATAGTATATTTATAATTGCATCAGCGTCTGCAGAGCTACTTCATGAATACAGGCTTTGCTAGCTTGACTCACAGTACGCTGGATGGATAATCTGAGTATATCTCTTTCCCCCTTACATTAGAGCTATGAGGACATGTGCTGATGCAGACACTAATTCTCTTCTGTTTCTCTTCTCCTTCCTAGTACCTCCCCCCAGTGGACAGCAGGTCCAGTGCAGGGTTTGTGGGTCTGAGGAATGGTGGCGCCACATGTTACATGAACGCCGTCTTCCAGCAGCTGTACATGCAGCCCGGTCTCCCTGAGGTGATTTCCTTCCTCTTTCCTGTTTGTTGTGATAAGTAATGTGTGCATTGCCTGAGAATTGTTCCACATTCATATAGTGTGATTAGGGGTTTAATAAAATTAGGATATTTAAGGATTCTTCAGTGGCTCCTGAATTAATAATGCTAGAGTAGTCACACATTTTTATACATCTGTTGCAGTAATACATTGCCTGTTTGACAGATGGATTTGACCAATTGTGATATTTGAACTTCTTAGTTATTTAAGTTGCTAACATTGTAGTATTTTATAAATATTTTTACAGTCAGATTCAAACACGTAGCATCTAAAAGAACAATGTATGGACTCGCACGTATGTAAATCAAGGTTATCTGTAAAACAGTAAATATTTCTAACTTTCTACTTTGTGTCTTTTCAGGCATTACTTTCAGTGGATGACGACACTGACAATCCAGATGATAGTGTATTCTACCAAGTGCAGTCTCTGTTTGGGCATTTGATGGAAAGCAAGCTGCAGTATTATGTACCTGAGAACTTTTGGAAGGTATTTCACCAGTAACTCTTGATTTAAAGATGTTGACTATTTGGAGCTTGGCTACATTCTTTCTCTAGTGCTAGTTGTCTCTTGTCTTTATTAATTCTATTGTAGATTAATCCCATTGCCAAAACCTACAGAAGTGTTGTCTATACCCATGGTCGGTAAACTGCAGCTCGCGAGCCACATGCGGCTCTTTGGCCCCTTGAGTGTGGCTCTTCCACAGAATACCATGGCCTGGGCGAGTTTATTTTTAAGAAGTGGCATTAGAATAAGTTTAAGTTTAAAAAATTTGGCTCTTAAAAGAAATTTCAATCGTTGTACTGTTGATATTTGGCTCTGTTAACTAATGAGTTTGCCGACCACTGGTCTATACCATTCTGGAAATTGGTCCTTGGTTTCAAGTTATTAGAATGTTCAAATAGTCATTTGTAATTTCTAGGGATTTGCTAACCTTAATTACTTTAGATATTTCTCATGATTCTTATTTTAGCTGTTTGAAGTATTTGTTCAACTCATTCCTCTGCACCTATGCCAATTTCACTAATGCCTCTAAATAAAGAACATGCTTTTTGTGTTTCACGGAAGGAGTAGCTTGTACTTTCCCCCACATGGCTCTCGTCCTGTGGTTTCATAGACTTGCTAGGATTGCAAAGGGACCAGAGAGAAGCATGAGTGGTTGAACACAATCTCATTTCACTTCAATAAAAACGTTTGCATCCTAATCGTGAACTTAGTTTTTAGAAGCATTAAATGCTCTTTTACATCCTTTTTTCAGAAGTTGCTACTTTTCCTTTAATGACATTTAATTCTTGTTACATAGATTTTCAAAATGTGGAACAAAGAACTTTATGTGAGAGAACAACAGGATGCATATGAGTTCTTCACTAGCCTCATTGATCAGATGGATGAATATCTCAAGGTAGACAAAGTTTTATTTTCCCTAAAACCCCTCAAAGTAGTATAAGCGCAGCGGTTTAGGATTGGGACTGCTGTGAAACTGACAAATCAGAAATTGGTCATCTTGCATACCATTTCTTCTGAGTTTGAACATCAAAACATATATAATGATCACTAAAATATATAGATTTCTTCTTAATTCATTTAACACTTGATAAAATATGTGATTCCCAGTCTGCACTCCATAATAATAGTCATTTGTATCTGCCTACTTTTACCTGTATGCATTAAAGTAACCTCAGAGAAGTGCTGTAAGCACTGGTGGCCCCATGCAGAGCTGTCTTGTTTTGGCAACATGTACGAAAGGACTAGATTAAAAGTGGGTTGTGGTGATGTTTAAACCCAAAGCTTAAACATATGGCAAAGTTCCTAAATGGTACTGCCTTCTAAGTTACAGGCAGCCTCTCATTACTGCCAGCGTGTGTCTCTCTTCTCAGCGGGAGGCACGTTTTTCAAATAACTTATAAATTTATAGCATTGTCTGCAAGGAAAAAAAAGATTGTGGAGAGTCGGAACTGCCTTGGTGTGTGGGGAAAAGGTATCGGTCTGGAGAGTGCTGTCCTGTCAGCAACTCTGACTGGCCTCTCTCCTCCACCTTTTCTCATACTCCTAACAGTGGGCCTAATGGGTTAGAATCCTTTCCATTAGTTCCCAGATTAAACTGCCAAGATGACTTCTTTTATTTTGGTGGTTGCATTGACATCTGTGCTTTAACTTAGTTAGTTCTAAATAAAATTTTGTGTAAACAACCTATAAATTTTAGGTGTGTCAACTGAAAATTTATTAACTTTTAATTATTCCAACAGAAAATGGGGAGAGACCAAATTTTTAAGAATACTTTTCAAGGCATCTATTCTGATCAGAAAATCTGTAAAGACTGTCCTCACAGGTTAGTGAAGATATCATTAACATTAAAAATGATTATTATAATTAAGTGGTTCTCCTAGTAGGTTATGAACTTTGTATTTGTTGAGAGACTTGCAGATATCTCTGTTAGTGAATCTATAAGTGTTTATTGAATTACATTTCTTTGCTTTCAATTTCTAAATTTTTTTGTTGAAATTCATAATTTTAAGAAGTTCTGAATTGTCAAATTGATTATTTTAATTTGGTAGTGTACTTTTTAAAAAAAAAAATTTATTGATTTCAGAGAGGAAGTGAGAGGGAGAGAGATATAGAAACATCAATGTTGAGAGAGAATCATTGATTGGCTGCCTTCTGCATGCCCCACACTGAGGATTGAGCCTGCAACCCAGGCATGTGCCCTTGACTGGATTCGAACCTGCGACCCCTTGGTCAGCAGGCCAACGCTTTATCCACTGAGCCAAACCAGCTAGCGCTGGTATTGTGCTTTTTAAAGGATGAGGAAAGTTATTGTTAATTTCACTGATTGTGGAATTTAATCTCAGGTATTATGATACTTTAAAGCTTTTCAAATTCCATTGTTGATCATGGTTTTTCTGTTATTTCCTAATCAGATATGAGCGAGAGGAAGCTTTCATGGCTCTCAATCTAGGAGTTACTTCCTGTCAGAGTTTGGAAATTTCATTGGACCAGTTTGTTAGAGGAGAAGTTCTAGAGGGAAGTAATGCCTATTACTGTGAAAAGTGTAAAGAAAAGGTATTTCACGTGCCCTTTTATTCCATGTACTTTGTGTTTAATGTAAGATCAGTTTTAAGCTCTATTGTTACTTCCGTTAGATTGTGTCACCCCTTGTGTTTACATGGTGGTGAGGCCTAGAGAAACCTATGACCTTTGTATTAATTACTTGGCTGTTTTATTTTCTCCAAGGAGCTAACTGCATTTTTCTTTTCTTTAGAGAATAACAGTCAAAAGGACCTGTATTAAGTCTTTACCTAGTGTCTTGGTCATTCACCTAATGAGATTCGGATTTGACTGGGAAAGTGGACGCTCCATTAAATATGATGAACAGATAAAGGTAACTTTTTTCCTCCTGAAAGTTTTTATAATAACCATTACTGCCTCACTCACTTTTTATTATTTTCTTGTAATATTTTCAAATTTCATGTGAAGTGTGAAAGGCTATAGTCTCAGCATTCCGAGGGGAACATAGCCCCTTGTCCCGAGCAGCTGCTGCCAGTGGAACTGTGTTATCGTGAACAGTTACCCACGTTTGCAGAAGGCACTTAGCGTCAGCTGTGAAGTCAGATGCTTTCCTTAATGCTCAAGGAGAGATCACTTGTGCTTTCCCAGACTTGTGAGCCGTTTGGAGATTTTGTACTTAAATTGGAAACACACATCCCTCTTCTTTGTGTCTGGCTTCACTGGGTATGGCAGCTTGTGTTACTAATCAACACTCATGTGCTCCTTTGCGTTTCAGTTTCCCTGGATGTTAAACATGGAGCCGTACACAGTTTCAGGAATGGCTCGCCAAGATTCGTCTTCTGAAGTTGGTGAAAATGGACGAAGTATGGATCAGGGAGGTGGAGGGTCTCCACGGAAGAAAGTTGCCCTCACAGAAAACTATGAACTTGTCGGTGTCATCGTACACAGTGGGCAGGCACATGCGGGTCACTACTATTCCTTCATTAAGGATAGGCGGTAAGGGGTTCTACCAGAAGTCCCTCTCTGCCCTTCCAGTGGCTCTCCTCCACTCCCCCACCCTCCTGTACATCTGTCCTCCACTCCCCCCCGCCCCCCTGTATATCTGCCCTCCACTCCCCCGCCCCCCTGTATATCTGCCCTCCACTCCCCCGCCCTCCTGTATATCTGCCCTCCACTCCCTCACCCTCCTGTATATCTGTCCCTCCCACCCCCTGTACATCTGTCCTCCACTCCCCCCCGCCCCCCTGTATATCTGCCCTCCACTCCCCCGCCCCCCTGTATATCTGCCCTCCACTCCCCCGCCCTCCTATATATTAGGTCTAGTAATAATTAATGTCGTTTTCTAATACTTTTTAAAATCGAATTTATTTAAACAATACAACAAAATTTAATCAACAATATAGTTGCCGTTGTTTTCTACTACTTGTGCCCAACGCTCAGGAAGCATTTTAATCCCTCTGTTGTAAAATTCTTGTGATTTTGATGCAAAAAATTCGGTCAATGCATTTTTGAGGCATTCTTCATTATTCAATTTTTTTACAAGAAGAAAGTTTTGCAAAGAACGAAACAAATGGTAATCGGAAGGGGCAATATCAGGAGAATATGCAGGTTGAGGGAGAACTTTCCATTCCAACTGGCGCAGTTTTTCAGCAGTGATTCTTGCAGTATGCGGTCGTGCGTTATCGTGGTGAAGAATTACGCCCTTCCGATTAATCAGTGCGGGTTCTTTTTCTCTTAAAGCTTGGGATAACCTTTCCAATTGGGCACTATACACTGCACTTGTAATGGTTTGGTTAGATGGTGAAAGTTCATAATGAAGAATTCCTTTAAAATTCCACCAAACACACAACATCACTTTTTTCGCATGCATGTCAGGTTTTGGCGTGGGCTGCGGAGCCTCACTTTTGTCCAACCATTGAGGCCGCCTTTTCAAATTAACATACAGCACGCATTTTTCATCTCCGGTAACAATTTGCTCTAAAAACGGCAAACGGTTTTGACGAGAGAGGAGCGAACTGCAAATTGTGACTCTTTGATTACGGTTGTTGTCGGTCAACTCATGAGGAACCCATTTTCCAAACTTTTGGACTTTGCCAAGTGCACGCAATTGATTGGAAATTGTTTTTTGTGAACAATTTAAAGTTGTCGCAAGTTCTTGTTGGGTAATTTGAGGATTTTGCACCAAAAGAGCTTGAAGAGCTTCTTGATCAAAATTGGACACACGGCCTCGACCACTCTTATCATCTAACGAAAATTTCCCTCGCGAAATTTCTCAAACCAACGCTGGCATTTTCTGGCGCTAACTGCATCTTGACCAAGAGCACTACAGATGTTTTTTGCAGCCTCACTTGCTTTTCTTCCTAATTGGAACTCGTAAAGCATGCAGTGCCGAATATGCTCTTCATCCGCCATCTTCTTAGCCCTAGTTTTGCAACAAAAACCAAACCAAACACAAACTTTTTCAAGCAAAACTTGTTAATTGCACTTCACATGTTCTGTAGATACCACGTGTTTGAAGGTTATGTCAATACAAGTCAACGCCAAGCAAGATTTTAAACGAATGTTTAAAAACGACATTAATTATTACTAGATCCGATATCTGCCCTCCACTCCCCCGCCCTCCTGTATATCTGCCCTCCACTCCCCCGCCCTCCTGTATATCTGCCCTCCACTCCCCTGCCCTCCACTTCTCTATCCTCCTTTATCACCCACACTTAACCATTATAATGCAGAGAAGCTTTGCATTGTTACTTGGTCTTATTTAATACTGCATTTTTTAAATTGTAACTGTCTTTATGCCTTCAATTTGCAAAATTGTTTTAGGAATTACAATAACTATTGCTATATTTTTCTTAGCTATTTTCAGATGGTAATCACCTGCTGTATTTATAGACAATACAAAGAAATAAATACTGGAGATGGGATTTTTGTGTTTTATTATAATGTTTGTTTTATCTGTGGGCTCTAGGGGATGTGGAAAAGGAAAGTGGTATAAATTTAATGACACAGTTATAGAAGAATTTGACCTAAATGATGAGACCCTGGAATATGAATGCTTTGGAGGAGAATACAGACCAAAAGTTTATGATCAAAGTAAGTATTTGCAAATGGATATTTTCCGTTAGTTAGTTCGTTTCTTTCTTTCTTTCTTTCTTTCTTTCTTTCTTTCTTTCTTTCTTTCTTTCTTTCTTTCTTTCTTTCTTTCTTTCTTTTCAAGTTAGGATTTTTCTATCAAGTTGGAAACAGTTTTCTTTACATGAAAATAGAAGAGATTTTTATTCTTTTTACACACCACTACTTTATATAGGTCCATGAACTATGTGATAGCCAGAGTAAAAATGTTCAAGCTGCTTATAAAAAAATTTTTTTAAATAATTTCTTAAAGCAGCCTTGGAGAAATATAGGTAGATGGCAGAGAGGTGTAAGTGAAATGAATATCAAAGAGAATTCCAACCTTAAAAAAATAGTTTCAAAAGAAGTGGTTATCCACTAAAATTTTCAGGTTTCTGCCCTAGCCGGTTTGGCTCAGTGGATAGAGCTTCAGCCTTCGAACTGAGAGTCCCAGGTTTGATTCTGGTCACAGGCATATGCCCAGGTTGTGGCTCAATCTCCAATAGAGGATGTGCAAGAGGCAGCCAATCAATGATTCTTTCTCATCATTGATGTTTCTATCTCTCCCTCTCCCTTCTCTGAAATCAATAAAAATATATTTTAAAATAAATAAGTAAAAATATAGTAATTTTAACATTAAAAATAAAAACTTCCTGGCGGAGTTTGGGAATTTCTTTGGATCAGTTTCAGGTTTCCTTTTCACTTCTATAGAGGTGTGATTAATTAAAGGCGATGTTTCTAGCAACTGTGTTTTTAAAAACCACACTTAATATGCAAAGAAGTGTTTCTACACCCCACCCTTAGAAAATGTATGAGCCAAAATATGTCACAAAATTCAGTCAGAATTTACTATTTAAAGAAAAAAACATTTTTGCAGAGACCTTAGCATTTCTGAAATCTGATTTTGAAATATTCTGGGAGTGTTTTAAAATTTCTACTTATTATTCACTATATTAGATACCATACCATGGTAGTTCTGCATCTAATGTCGGTAACCTTTAATGGTTGAATATACTATCTTAGCAAAAATTACGTGGAGTCTACTTGGGAAAGCTCTCTGTTTCTTTCTACCCAGAACAATAGACTTCATGTGATGGTTTTCCTAAATTTTCCAAAAGGATTTAGTTTAATGAATAACTGGTTTGGCTCAGTGAATAGAGCGTTGGCCTGTGGACTCAGGGTCCTGGGTTCGATTCCGAGGGTGTGCAAGAAGCAGCTGATTGATGTTTCTCTCTCGATGTTTCTGGCTCTCTTATTCTCCCTCTCTGTAAAAAAAATCAATTAAAAAGAAAAAAAACTTACATAGATTTGACTGTTCTATATACATAAGTGATTAAGCAAGGCCAGTTATAATCCCATTCTATGCAACAGAACTTATTTTTTAAATGTTACTTGCTTTTTTATTAAATTTAGACTTGCCTGGAATATTTACCTTCTTTCCCTTACTGTGTTACCATACAACTCCCTTACTCCCTGCCCCTCTATATCACCCTCCAAGTAATTCTAAACAGTACTCTAAAAAGACACATTTTACCATACTTCCCATTTAACAAATTTAGTAAGTAGTTACTTACTGGATTTATGGGTCCTTTGTTTTAGATTGTTAAGACAAGAAAACTTTTTATTTACAAAGACTTCTTTCTTCATGTCTTGTTACAAAGCAAATCCATATACTGATGTTCGCCGAAGATACTGGAATGCCTATATGCTCTTCTACCAACGGGTATCTGATCAGAACTCCCCAGTCTTACCAAAGAAAAGTCGAGTCAGCGTTGTGAGACAGGAAGCTGAGGATCTCTCTCTGTGAGTTTCTTTTCTGTGTAATTGGCTGTGTGATTTCAGTAGGGGATATTGTGATCTTTAGTATATTGTTCGGTATTTAAATATAATTTGCTAAGCAAGAGAGAAATTCTAAAAATAAAATAAACTGCTCTATGTTTTCTTTTATTGTTATGTGATCATTGTTTCTTTGGCAAAAAGTTATTTTGTATTTAGAAAAATGTGTATAAATCATTTTATTCTAGAATTGAGATTATTTTCATCCCAGCATGTTATTGAATAAACTTTATGTTCAAAGCATAGTAAGCACTATTTCAACATTCAGAAAGTTTTTTCTTATCGTATTCTCTGTGAATCTGAGTTTCAGTGACTGAATTAAGAAGTATACAATTTATTTTTAAATCCAATATCCAGATTATGTAGGTTTGTTAGGTTTTAGGAACTACTAAAACAATAGATACTTTAGTTCGTTTTCTGATTCTGTCTTTTAGATCAGCACCTTCTTCACCAGAAATTTCACCTCAGTCATCCCCTAGGCCCCATAGGCCTAACAATGACCGGCTCTCTATTCTAACCAAACTGGTTAAAAAGGGAGAAAAGAAAGGACTATTTGTGGAGAAAATGCCTGTTCGAATATATCAGGTAAGAACTGTATAATTCTTAGGGAAAAAATGCAGGTAGTATTAAAATCCGTCTCTTAGGTCCAGAAGAACTCCAGCTGGTCATCTTGTAGACTTAGCTGTATCTCTAGTGCAACATCTTCTTACCCAAATCTTTCATATGAGGTCATTGAGGTGGCTACAAATTCAAGATTGACCCCACCATCACCATTTCTATGTAACTATAGGATGCCAAAGATAAATAAATAGAAGGCATAGGCAAAACAACAAACAAAAAAAGCCAACACAGAGCTAAAATTAACGTATTGTATCTGGAGAGGAAAATAAGTTAAAGTTTATAACTTTTTTTGGGGTAAAACTAATATGTCAGTGATGACCATTAATTATTGAATACCTACTCTATGCTACACACTTTTTTTTAAAAATATATATTTTATTGATTTTTTACAGAGAGGAAGGGAGAGAGATAGAGAGCTAGAAACGTCGATGAGAGAGAAACATCGACCAGTTGCCTCCTGCACACCCGCTACCGGGGATGTGCCCGCAACCAATGTACATACCCTTGACCGGAATTGAACCTGGGACCTCTCAGCCCGCAGACCAACACTCTACCACTGAGCCAAACTGGTTTCAGCAATGCTACACACTTTAAATAAATCCACAATTCTTAAAACACTCTTGTGGGATGGAAGGTTTTCTTCCCATTTCTCTGATGGGAAAAAAAAATGGGCTCAGAGAAGGCAAAATGACCTGCTAGTGTCTCAGAGATAGGATTAAAATTCAGAATTGTCTAACTACCAGTTCAGATTTTCTAAACTAAGTAAACAAGCTGAGTAGCCAAAGCAGGGAATTTAAGAAGAATATGGAGTCTACTTGGGAAAGCTCTCTCTGTTCCTTCCTACCTAGAATAATAGGTTAGACTTCACTTGTCCTTCACATGGTGGTTTTCCTAAATTTTCCAAAAGGATTTAGTTTAATGAATAATAATTCACCTTTTTACAACTTCTTATATATTGAAATGAAGATTTTTCTCCCTTTAAAAAAATTCAGAGCTTTAGAGTTACAAATCCTTCTTACCTAACATATCAATAAAAATGTCTTTTACATGTTGAATATTTTACCATTTCTTGAAAACAATTGCTAATTTTCTTTTGTAGATGGTGAGAGATGAAAACCTCAAGTTTATGAAGAATAGAGATGTGTACAGTAGTGATTATTTCAGTTTTGTGTTGTCTTTAGCATCATTGAATGCTGTAAGTACTGGCTGGATTGTTACTAAAGTAGGAAAGAATTATAATTAAACATCTTTCAGCTAAAGTATTCAGTGACTCATGTTCACTCTCAGTTGTTAACCTTCAGAAGGAATGCAAAAAAATTCTCACAAATGTGTAACTTATTGAGTTATTTTAAAATATAGAGAGTATTTATAATATATCATGCAAGTTGTAGAGGGGTGTGGGTTTCCACAAACTGGCTTTTTAAAGTGCTATTTAAATTTTATGATGAGCCTGGTAGCCATTAGGTGATATCATTGGATATTTGGCTTTGTGGAGTTTAATTTTTCCTAATTTGTAATTAGACATGATTTTAATTTGCTAATAGGAAGAAAACTTTCTCAGTCTTTTGATAGATTACTTAACATCTTGTGGTCTAAAGACTATTTTGCCCAACTGGTATGGGTCAGTGGTTGAGTGTCAACCTATGAAACAGGAGGTAATGATTCAATTCCTGGTCAAGGTACATGCCTTGTTTGAAGGCCCCATCTCCAGTAAGAGGCATGTGGGGATGCAGCTGATCAATGATTCTCTCATTATTAATATTTCTATCTCCCACTCTCTTCCTCTTGAAATTAAAAAAATATATATATATATTTTAATATATTTTTATTGAATTTTTGCAGAGAGGAAGAGAGAGGGATAGAAAGCTAGAAACATTGATGAGAGAGAAACATCGATCAGCTGCCTCTTGCACACCCCCCACCGGGGATATGCCCCCAACCAAGGTACATGGCCTTGACCGTAATCGAACCTGGGACCTTTCAGTCCTCAGGCCAACACTCTATCCACCAAAACCGGTTTCAGCAAAAAAATTTTTTTTTAAATATAAAAACTATTTTGAGAGGACTTAATAAAAAAAAAAAAAATGAAGGTGTCTTAAACTCTTAAAGCTTAACTGGAACATTTTCTATAATGGCTGGCTAGATTTTCTTAATAGTATTGAATTTTATTATTTAGTTCGTGTGTTATTTAGTTCTCTGTTTTCCTCCTCTTCTCAGACTAAATTGAAGCATCCATACTATCCTTGCATGGCAAAGGTAAGCTTACAGCTTGCCATTCAATTCCTTTTTCAAACTTATCTACGGACAAAGAAAAAACTCAGGTAAGAAGTGATATGTTTTGATTGTCATGGCAAATAGCACTAATTAAATCAATTACCGTATTTTTCGGACCATAAGACGCACTTTTTTTCCCCCAGAAGTGGGGGGGAAAAGTCCCTGCGTCTTATGGTCCAAATATAGCCTACACATATACTTTAAAAAAAAAAGTTTTTTTACTTGCCCGGCTCTGTGTGGTCTCTGTGTGCTTGCCCGGCTCTAAAATGGTTCTAAATGCTGCTGTTTACTTTACAGGGTTGATTACATGTGTTTATGACTGTGATGTTGGGTTTTAATGCACATAAAATATTTTAGGACACTATTTGTTTCAGAATCTTTTTTTCTTCATTTCCCTCCTCTAAAAACTGGTGCGTCTTTTGGTCCGGAGCGTCTTATGGTCCGAAAAATATGGTAAAGCTGAATTTCTGAATTCAGCTTTTTAAAACATTGTTTTAGATACAGGCAATCCTTGGGTTATGTTGGACTCTACCACATCATTTTGTGGTTACGTCACCATCTCCCATTTATATATATTTTAAAAGTTCCGTCATTTCAACATATGTACATATGTACTTTATGTTTTTTATTATTTATTTACCACAAGTAAAGGTCAGGAATTGTTATCTTTCTTTTATTTTATTTTTTTATTATTTATTTAATTTTATTGTTTCACTTCATTATTGCTGTGCATGTGCTCTATGCACATGTGAGTGACGTAGGTGCTTATCTAGATAGGTTCCGACTTACGGCAAAATCACATTACGTCGTGCTGTAGGAATGGGTTTACAGTGTAGCCCGAGGGCCTACTGTAGTTGGAAACTACCAACTGTTCTCAGATGATTAATGGCTCCTATCTATATGGAATTTCTAATCCAGTAGAAAAAATAGATTCAACAGAGCAGTAACTTGTGATACAAGGCATAAATGCTATACAACTTTGGAAATTGGGCAGAATCATACCCAGATGTGGGATGGGGTTGGTATTAAAGACATTTGTGTTCTCAGATGATTTTGAAAGGCAAAAGCATGGAGACAGTTACTATTCTCAGAGGGAGGGGAAAACTTGAGTAATAGATAAGACTTGCTTAAAGAACTATGAGTGACTAGTGTTTTACTTGTACATTTAAGGAGCTCGTCGAGGTGAGCCGGAATGTTGGGTTTGGCTTAGCTCACTGAGTGCCAGACAAGGGAGGCGTCTTTGTTCAGTGGGTGAGCAGGGAGGGCTCCTAAACAGGCTCAATGTGTTCAGAGTCACTATGATTCCATGTTAGTCTCATTGGTTTTATCTTTAGCACCTGGTAAGATGCTGGACACCTTATAGACTCTGGGTATATTGTGGTTGTGAGTAACTGAAGGATGAAAAGTAGTTGGGTTAGTGTGTAGGATATATCTGGAGCAAGAAGGGGAGGCTCAGAGTGGGGAAACCAGTGAACAGAAGACCATGGAAATTCTTAAACTCCTCTCTAACACAAATATGGAGAGGTTTTTATTGATAGAAAGATTTTGCAATCAAGAAACTCTTGAGATGATAACAAATCTAATGACATTTCATTTTTATGTGTAATAATAAAAGATATATTAAATAGCAGGCTTTATTATTTTATTGAAAAAGAATTGTTTCTTGTCATATCTGGCATAGGATTGGCTAAGGAAATTGTTTGGTTACTTAACATATAAAACTATAGAATGTAGGCATTTTGTAAATGTCAATTAAGCAGAACAAAATGTTCAGACCTTTTTTTTTTGCAATTGAAGTTTTTTGAAGAAGATGCAGATAGTTTCTTTACACTTTTTTCTTTTAATGAGTGGGGGTTGCAGGCAGGGTGAGTCGCACAAGTACCAGAGACTGCTAAGCACTGGCTTCTGGGGTGATGGAGCCACGTTAGTTACATTCACAGAGTCTTTAACTTCTCACTCCAAAAAAGTTTTCAAGAATGTTACAATGGAGTGATACTCCATGAGGTTATTTGGGGGGCTGTACTCCTAATATTATTTGCATTTTTTAAAGGGTTGACACTGAAGAATGGATTGCCACTATTGAAGCATTACTTTCAAAAAGTTTTGATGCTTGTCAATGGCTAGTTGAATACTTTATTGGTTCTGAAGGACGAGAATTGATAAAGTAAGTGTCAAGATTTTTAATTAAAAGGAATTTGTGTTTCTTCCAGTGATTGGGAGCTGACATTTCTTGTAGCTCTTTATTTCAACTTGAAATTATATCTCTGATTGAAATCGATTTTAAACTGTCTTCACCAATGAAGCATTGAGGAAATTATTTCAGTCACTTCAAAATCCTTCTTTCCAAATCATCTGTTAGACTAGACTCAGGTTGTTCAGTGAATGCAAGGAAAGTATGTGTGCAGGTGGCCAGGTATTCACAGGCAACCACATCCTAAAACCAAAAATACAAGTCCCTTTCTTCAGGTTGTTTCAGGGGTGCTGTCTTGGCTCAGAGTTTTTTTGTTTGTTTTTAATATATTTTATTGATTTTTTACAGAGAGGAATAGAGAGGGATAGAGAGTTAGAAACATCTATGAGAGAGAATCACCGATCAGCTGTCTCTTGCACCACCCCTACTGGGGATGTGCCCGCAACCAAGGTACATGCCCTTGACCAGAATCGAACCCGGGACCTTTCAGTCCGCAGGCCGATGCTCTATCCACTGAGCCAAACCGGTCTCGGCTTGGCTCAGAGTTTTAACGAGTATTTCATTCTGGGAAACTGAAGGGGTTCCAGGAGAGCTGCTCCTGGATGAACAGAATTCATAAAATTTTAGATTACTTGCTCTATGTTCTCTTTATATTTATATACATACTCATCTGGGGGGAAGAGAGGAGAGGAAGGAAGGGCTTCACTTCTCTGTGTTCAGGGGTCTTGTTTTCCTGTTCGGCCTTCCTCCTCCACAGTGGCCACGAGCTGTACCAAAGCTCTCAGAAGCCCAAACTAACATCTTGGAGTAATTTTGTTTCTTGGGAAGGTTGACTTATAGAATTCTGTTTTGCTTTTTACACCACACTTTTGTATTTTAGGATATTCTTGCTGGAGTGCAATGTGAGAGAAGTGCGAGTCGCTGTGGCCACCATTCTGGAGAAAACCCTGGACAGTGCCTTGTTTTATCAGGACAAGGTCAGCCTCATGTTTAAATTTCTATGTATACATTCTGTTTTTACCAAAAGTATAAAATGGCCATAATAAGAAAAAGACCTAGGATTGCAACCTGGAATTTTGCCACATAAAATGTACTCTCTGTGAACCAACTTTCTGATGAATGTCAAGTAGAAGGCATTCTGATTTTCCCTCTTCATACCCCAAAAGCCAAGGTAGGCCAGGAATTGAGGTCTGCTTTGGTCTGCTTTAGAACTTTCTCTCTAGAACACTCCCTTTTCAAAGTCTTCTCTCAATAGTTGGTATTTTATCTCTGCCCTGAGACTAACCTGAGTCTAGAGGCTCTAGTCTAGATCCTTAGACATTTTGAGCCACCCCTGGCTTTGTCTTTCCTCATGAGCTATTTTTATGGCCTACACCTGCAAATGGCAACCAAACCAAATACTGCCATTCGCTCAGGGGCATTGGCCAAAATATTTCCTTCATTGGTTTTCATTATTCCCTAATCTGTTCTGTCCCTCTGAATTTCTTCTTTTTCTAACCCGACTTTCTGTAACATATTTTCTAGTTCAAAATTCTACACATGCCAAAACAAGCCAGGGTATCTATTACATCCTCAATCCCCAAAGATTTTAAGACGTAGGGAAATAAATGACATATATTGTAAGTCTGATTATTCAGTCTGTTAAGTACTAGCAAATACAGCAGTTCCTTCCCAAGTTTGCTGTTTCAAACAGCTGACACTACATGGAAAACTTTGAAAAATGTTATTTTCAAAACCAATTGGCTCCTTAAACATTGGCTGGAGGCAGTGTGTCTCAATGAACTAAATGCAAATTTTAAAAATTGCTGCTTCAAATACAGTTGTTAACTTTGTGATGCAACCTTGAGCGTGTTCTGTAAGGGAGATGTTTAATCCAGATACAGTGCCTGGCACCCAAGCACTTAGTTCCTTCAACATTGCCTGACCCGGGGAGCTCTGCTCAGTCCAGAGTGAACTAAGAGGTTGAATATGCCCCTTAGGAAGGACCCAGAAGACTCTCTCAATTCAGGATTTATAAGGAAGTTGAGGTTTACTCTATGGCAGTGGTTTTCAATCAGCTTGAACAGCAGAACCATTTTCCAAACAAAACCTTACCTGAGTGTAAAAGATCTAGAAGAGGTCATTGGGAGTTGCTTAGGACAGTTTGGAGACCATTGCTCTGAAATACTCTGCGGAAGTTGTGTAGGACATTTAGCATGAGGGCCTTCTCATTCTCCTCCTTCCTCCCATGCACCAACCTAGACAAAAGATAATGGTAGAGTTAGTGCAGTCTCCCTACCAATGGGGTCAGGCCACACATCATTCCAGTGACCTCTGAAGGCAGGACTGCAGGTGGTAGGAAGGGAAGGAGAGTGGTGCAGGGTGTAAACCTGGAAGTGTTTACCTCAGTAAATTCTACTTACTATCCAGAGCCACCTGATGCACTTTATGTCAGGTTTTCCCTCATAATGGAAGTGGTGCCTCTTTCCACCCACGCAGTATTGTAAAGTATTTTAAAAGTTAAGTGCTATATAAATGCTGGATGTTGCTGTATTTATACTGATGTGACAGGATGGATGGGAGTATTTTAAAAGTCTGTGGACACCATCTTCAGAGGAAATAAATCAACAGGAGTAGTAAGCTTGCTCTTCATTCTCAGATCACAGATGAATTTCTAGGAACTTGTCCAAAAGCAGTTGGGTGGGAGGGGAAGAAGAAGCAATGTGATAACCAAAATGGTTTCTAAATAAATAAAATGTTTTTCAAAGCTTTCCATGAGGCGTCAGCGGGCTTCCAAGTAAGTTCCTAGTTGAGTGGATATTGCCGTTGTCATCCTGTCAGGCTGTGCTCTCCATCTGCTCCATCGGCTTGGTTTCTAGCCCCTATGCCTGTGTCTGTGTTTTTATTCTTTGCATCTGTGATTATGTAAAGAAAAAGCATAGTGGAGGGAGGGACTCAGAAATAGGTTTCCTCTAAGCACCCCCACCCTTTTTCTAAGAGACAGAGAAGTTGGATCTACAGAAAATGTGCCCCTTAGGCAGTAGAATCATGTCCTTGACTCTGAAATCTAGGAAACAAAACTAGGTGTTCCTTTGAAGTATTTCTCTAGCACCAATCTTCACCTAGCAGGTAAAATTGAGTCATTCTGTTTTTGCTCTCCAAAGCATAAATCCATCTGAATCTGAAACTGGATTGTATCAACCAGATTTTCCTTTTGTTCTTCTGGTGACTTACTTCAAATTAATCCTGTTGAAAATGTCTGTCTTAGTGGTTTTTCTTTATGTAATCTCATCTTTCCTCTGACCAGTTAAAAAGCCTTCACCAGTTACTGGAGGTACTACTTGCTCTGTTGGATAAAGACGTCCCAGAAAATTGTAAAAACTGTGCTCAGTACTTTTTCCTGTTCAACACTTTTGTACAAAAGGTAAATTATTTTTTCTAATATATTATCATAAAACAAAATTTATAGACTAAAGGAATTTTATACATGGAAAAACATAGACTGGTCAATATTTAACTTATATGATACGGTTTTATGGCTATTCTTTAAAATCTTAATCCAGGGATTATATTATTTGCAGGAAGTTGGATACAGGTAGGTGTATATTCGTTGACAGCAAAAGTTTGCATTAAAACTAGTATCTAATTATGTGTTCTGTAGCCTTTGTGAAGCAATGTGAGGCTGTTGGAACACAAAAGAGTTTTTTTAATTATATTTTTAACAAATATTTGTATATGTAAACTAGAGGCCTGATGTACGAAATTAGTGCAAGAGTAGGCCTTCCTTCCCCCAGCTACCAGCACTTGCTTCCCTCTGGCACCAGGGATCCGGGCTTCCCTCACAGACCCAGCTTTGTCCAGAGGATGTCTGGTCTAATCAGCATATTATGCTTTTATTATTATAGACTAGCAGCCCAGTGCATGAAATTCGTGCACGGGGTAAAGGGGGACAGGATGTTCCTCAGCCCAGCCTGCACCCTCTCCAATCTGGGATCCCTTGAGGAATGTCCGACTGCCATCTCACAATCCAGGACTGCTGGTTCCCAACCACTTGCCTACCTGATTGCCTCTAACCTAAGGTGACCAGACATCCCGCGTCCCACAGCGTTTTAAAAAAGTTTTGAATTTTTTCAAAAATCAGGACTTTTTTAAAATACCGATGGATGCCAGACAAATTGTTAAAAATCGGGACTGTCCCGCCAAAAGCGGGATGTCTGGTCACCTTACCCTAACCACTCCCCTGCCAGCCTGATCGACACCTAACTGCTGGCCCAATCATCCTTAACTTCCCTCCCTTACCAGCCTGTTTACCCCTACTGGCTCGATTGCCCCTAACTGCCCTCCCCTACAGGCCCAGTTTCCCCAACTGCCCTCCTCTACAAGCCTGGTTCCCCCCAACTGCCTCACCTATAGGCCTAGTCATCCCCAACTGACCTCCCCTGCAGGCCTAGTTCCCTCCAACTGCCCTTCCCTGCAGGCCTTGTTGTCCCCAACTGCCCTCCCTGCAGGCCTAGTTCCCCCCCAACTGCCCTTCCCTGCAGGCCTGGTTGTCCCCAACTGCCCTCCCTGCAGGCCTGGTCCCCCCAACTGCCATCCCCTGCAGGCATAGTTCCCCCAACTGCCTCCCTTGCAGGTCTGATTGTCCACAACTGCCCTTCCATGCTGACCATCTTGTGGCAACCATCCTATGTCCACATGGGGGTGGCCATCTTGTGTGTTGGAGTGATGGTCAATTTGCATATTACCTCTTTATTATATAGGATTATAGCATTTAAAAACTTACTGCTTAAAACTTCTCATTTAACTTTTTAAAACTGATTTTTGTCTGGGTAGGAATATAATTTGTCATTCTCACTATCTTGTGACAGCAAGGTATTAGGGCTGGAGACCTCCTCCTGCGGCATTCAGCTCTGCGACACATGATCAGCTTTCTCCTGGGGGCCAGTCGCCAGAACAATCAGGTAATGCTGCTTGCCAGCCCATAGGTAGCCATCGTTTTGTAGACACTTTATTTCTCTGTGTAGGTAATAAATATTTTTAATCTCATAAGAGTCCAGGTAATAATACTACACAGAATTTAAAATTCTTTATGGTTCAATTATTTTTACAGTTTTCCTCAGAATTTCCTAATAATAACAATCCATGGAAATGACTGACTAGAATATCAGTTAAAATGTGAAGTATCATAGCAGTAAAGATGGGTCCTGATGGAGGGATTCAAAACCCTGCAAGGCTGGCGCTGCCAGCAAGGCTGTTCAGGTGGCAGTCACTTCTGGAATGCTGATAACAAGGCCAGAATTCAAATGTGAAATTGCAGTGTTATACACGGGAAGGTTTACTGCTGCTGCAGGTTTACTGCTGCTCATATTCAGAAAATGGAGGGAGCTTGCTTTGTAATAATAGAGTTAGGTATATCTGGAAAATGGCTCTCCTTTTGAAGTTTCTATATTGGTGTGTTTCTCCCACCCATTGTATTTCTTTTGTTTGATAGATTTAAAATACATGTGATGTGAAGGTGCAGCAATGATAAATGCTATTCATAGAGCTCCTGTTATGTGCTAGGCCAGTGGTCAGCAAACTCATTCGTTAATAAAGCCAAATATCAACAGTACAACCATTGAAATTACTTTTGAGAGCCAAATTTTTTAAGCTTAAACTTCTTCTAATGCCACTTCTTCAAAATAGACTCACCCAGGCCATGGTATTTTGTGGAAGAGCCACACTCAAGGGGCCAAAGAGCCGAATGTGGCTCTCGAGCCGCAGTTTGCCAACCACGGTGCTAGACACAACTGGTCATTTGCTATGCCACACCACTGATACAGTTAATAAACTAGGCAATTTTATCCCCATTCTCAGGTGAGAACTACAGACAAGTTCAGTGACTTGTTCAAGGTCACAGAGCTAAAGTGTTGTGGGGTGGGATTCTGCCCAGCTCCAGTGTCTGAACCGCATAGGAGCTTTCGTTCCTTTATAAGGGGGTTCCTCCTCAGGTTCCTATCTGCACCGTGCTTCTTCCACTCGTCAGTATTAACAAGCAAGCTCTGGCTCCTTGTGTACTCAGTGTAAGGATACCATGTTGAGATTTAAAATCTCTGTCTTTCACTCAAGCTCTTCTGCTTCAGGGACTCCTGTTGTTTTGCATTTATGGAGCCCATAGCATTGAAAACATTTTCACTTTTAAGGTTTCATTTGTTTTTCACAACCATGAAATGGCCAGAGCGGGTACGTTATATCCAACATTATACCAAGAGGTTGGGCAGTGTTACCATAACCGCCCACACCCACACAGTGAGTGGGAGGGAATGGGAGCAAAATTGCCTGGCACATAGTGAGCACTCAATACCTAACTTGGAATTCACGAATGGATTCTTTTCAGAATGTGAGTTAGTGTGTCTGAGGAGAAAACACTGTTAAGCTAGCTCAAAACATGGCTTTTTGTGCTTTGACCTCTTTTGCTATCAAATATTGATAAATAATTGTGGTCCAAATTATCATGAACCAGCAGGTCCTTGGCCTTTCTCGCCATGTTATTTGTAATCAAAACACAAACGTCCTCTTCATGTTCTCTGACCACAGATTCGGCGATGGAGTTCCGCACAAGCACGAGAATTTGGGAATCTTCACAACACAGTGGCGTTGCTTGTTTTGTATTCAGATGTCTCTTCCCAGAGGAATGTTGGTGAGCTTAACGTATCTTTAGAACATCCAAAAAGTGAAGTGATACTGAATTTGTCAATGGTGCATGGAGGGTAATGTTAGCAATTAAATGGATATTACTTATTCCTCATTTGGCTATGTGATATTGTTTTGATTCCTGTTAAACTTCACTTTATTTTACTAGATTGTCAGAAGGGAAAGTAAATCATTTGCGGGGAGGGGTATGTAAGTTTTAAAAAACCTCTAGAATTAAAAGACCAATTCGGAGATTATTCATTACCATAATTATCACAACTAATTTAGTGGTAAAATTGCCTTTGTGTGCGTTAGTTTCCTAGCTGTCTGAACTTGCCCAGGCCACCTGGCCCTCTGATTCTCAGTACAAAATGGAAATACTAAAAACATAACCAATAGTTCAGTCCTTATTTAATAGAGCAGAGACACAATTGTCCTATATAGTTATTCAAAGCCACTGGAAAATATTCATTGTTTGCTGTGTGCTGTGCCTGACCATAATCCTTTTAGTTTATCGATTGTGTTTGTGATCCCCTCAGCAAACCTGTGAGAGGGATATTACCCCCTTCTGTAAATGAGGAAACTGAGATATGGGAGGTGTAGTAACTGCACAAGTCCACAGCTAGTAAGTGACATAGCAGCCAGTGTGTGAATGCAAGTCTCTGACCCAGAGGCCATGATTGGCTTTCAGTGTTGTATGACCAGTAAGATCTGAACACCAGAAACCAGATAAAAATCACAGTGCGTCACTCTGATCCAGCAATGCTTATTGATCTTCCAAAGGGACTTGAGGAGCACTTGGATGAATCTGACTCATTCATCTAAAAAGACAAAGTTGCCTAAACTTGAGTTGAGATAGGTTTATAGAAGAGGATAGTGTGAGTTCTTATTTTTCTAGCAAAAGAAGTAACCCCTTCCACATGGGTTAATTCTGCTTAGCATAGGAGGTGTTTGAGGAACACAAGGGTCTCGTCCATTCAGAGTCACATTGGGCATTTTTTCCACATACGATTTATATTTTTACTTCTTTGAAACATTGTTCAGAGATCTTAATAATCACATCTACAACTTAGGCAGACATTGAAATAAGTAGGTAAACATTATCTTCTGTCTCCAAGTCTGGCTTCCTCCCTGGACTGGGAGAGCATGTTGTGAGTACTCGGCAGTTGTGTGTGTGAAGCTTGAGAGAATGGATGGCTTTGCGTTGTAGATGTCTATTTTATGAAATAGCATCAGTGAGACAGGCTTTGTTTCTCTGGTCTCCTGAAGCTCCTGGTGTATTTAAACAACGGCCACCCATCAGCATTGCTCCTTCAAGCCCGCTGCTGCCCCTCCATGAGGAAGTAGAAGCCTTGTTGTTCTTGTCTGAAGGGAAGCCTTACCTGTTAGAGGTATGTCCGTGTTCTTCTAAAGCATTTCTCTTTATTTCTCCTATTGAGAACTACCTTTTGTTGTTTGTTATTAGTTATATTTTACATGTTATTCTGATAAGGGTATTGTTAGGAGAAATTATTCTTTCACAATAATTTTTCTTCCTATGTATATGTCAGAAGGAAATAACCAGTTGAAGAGAATTATTAGTCCTCTCTTCAACCAACAAATGGACTTGGACCTCTAGGTTTGGCCCAGCTAACTACCTTTCTAGGTCCCAGTGGGTAAATGGTACCTCACCAATCACAAATACTCAGTTTATTATCACAGGTTTTGTTCCCAGTCTTTTTGTGTCCCCAATCCTGAAATAATACAACTCGGAGGCACACGTGTTTTTTAAACCTCGGGACTATGGAAGTGGGGTGCTCACAGCATTCTGTGTGGCCTGCCTGCAGTCCCGTCACTTCCCCTTCCACCCAGACCTGCCCCTTCTTGAGAATTTAATCTTCCAGTCTTTCCATAACTTGATTTACATAGATATGAATTCATGCATCATAATGGTTTTGTAACTACATTAATAGTGCTATGCTACATATCTTTTTTAAGCTGCACATTGTGTATTTTGGGGATCTATCAGTAATTATTTTAATTGGGGGGGGGCATTTACCTTTGAAAATCTGATGAAAGTGACTCAGGAAAAAGGTGCACATTTGCATAAAATTGTGTTAAATGTCAGGTAGCTTTAAACACGCTGAAATCTATGCATGGAGCTCTAGCACTGAAAGCAGCCCTATTTTGAGGCAGTGTTGATGATGTTAAATCTGAGTCTGTGTCAGTCAAAGCCAGAAACAACCTGTGGAAAGCTGACAGGAGTACTTCTCCTTTCACCCCTCGCACCAGGTGATGTTTGCTCTGCGCGAGCTGACGGGTTCACTCCTGGCGCTCATGGAGATGGTGGTGTACTGCTGCTTCTGCAATGAGCACTTCTCCTTCACAATGCTGCACTTCATTAAGGTAGGCTCCGCTGGCCTGCCGGTGACCGGTGGCCTTTGCTCCCAGCTAGCATGCTGCCTCTAATACCTTCGTTGGTTTTCCTCATCATAAAAATAATGTAGGTTTGTTTAAGAAAACAACTCAACCCTGACCAGTTTGTTCAGTGGTTAGAACATCGGCCCTCAGACCTTCAGGTTCACAGGTTTGTACCTCCATTGCAGGCTGGATCCCCAGCCCCAGTCGGGGTGAGTGAGGGATGCAGCCAATCAATCTGTCTCTCACATCAATGTTTTTCTCTGTCTCTCCTCCCTTCTACATTCTCTAAAAATCAGTGGGGGAAAAATCCCTCCAGGGAGAACTTAAAAAGAAGAAAAGAACTCAATATCCCATCATTCACTGACAATCACCAATGAACATCCTCTTGTATTTCCCTTTTGTTTTCTACACATGTATTTTAACAAAACTGGGATTTTATTGTCTATGATTTTGTGGGGTTTTTTTCACTTAACATTATAAATATTTTCCATATTGTTAAAATGTATCTGTAAGTATAATATTTCATCCTCTCATTACCATGATTTACTTGAGCATTCTCTTACCAGCAACACGTTTCCTTTTGGTTCAGTTTTTAACTGTTAAGAATAATACTTTATAGTTCATGCTGTGTGACCATTACTTTGTAAAATGTTTTCCAATTTCATATTTCCCTCTGGCAACATTTTAAAAGTCAAAAGTAGGGTTTTCTCACCTAAAAAGGCGATACAGTTCCTTATGAAGCTTTGGTCAGTATGCTAATTACCTCTACTTCTGTGGCACTTACTGGATGCCAAAGCACTGTCCAAGCAGATACATATTTAGGTCACTTAATGCTCAAGTAGTCCTGTCAGGCAGATGCTATTGTCAGCATTTTATAGCTCCAGAAACTGAGGCACGGAGTAAATAACGTGTCCAGGGTCTCAGCTAGTAAGTGGCAGAGTGGGAATTTGAACGTGGGCAGTCTGGCTCCAGGGCTATGCTCTTCACCATATTATTTACTGCCTTTCTAAGGATTACTAGAAAAACCTTTAAGCCTACACAGATCATTTTTGTTAGTTTTTAATCTTTAAAAACATGGATAATACATGAATGCATTCCCTGACAACACCAACCAGTTTTGCCCCCACCCCTCCCCACCCCGGGGGCAGATACCGCCACATTGGTGTGGGTCCTTCCAGGCTTCTTTCTGTAAATTCACACCATGTGTATTCGTTTCTGCACACAAAATCTCCGCAACACTCCTTCCCTGCACCAGGATTTATAATGGGGGTCCTGAGAAGTAGCAGGTGATGAGCGGGTTATGTCTTCAGACTCTTATTAAATGTTTTGCCCTCAGCCTGTTCTGTGCAGACCTATGTCAGAGGTGACTGAGTTCCTCCCTTTACTGTTTACTGACTGTGACTTCAGGAGTTGTCCTCTCCCAGTGGGAGGGAGTGGGACTTGACCTCACAGGTGGTGGGGAGTCCGTGAGGTGTGGGGAGAGAAATGCTCGCTTGGTGCCAGCCCTGACCCTGGGAAGTGTGGTGGTGGTGCAGGGTCCTCGGATCCATCCATGTATCCGTGTGAGGCTGTTAAAATGCACACAGGAATGAGTCTTCTGAGCCTTGTTTTCTTCACAGGTGTGTCTTGGCGGGTTTTTCTGTTTCATAAACCAAATTTTCTTTCATACTCCACTCAGCATACTTATCTCAGAGCATACTCTTTTACATTCACACAGCAACAGCAGCGTATTCTGGAAAACACGATAGGATAATGTATGGATGAAATTAAAATGTGACCTCTTCAGTGACTTCACATTCTCTTCTTTCTGCCCTTCCTCCTCCCTCCTTCCTAACCATGGAGAGTTGCAGCTGGGAGGACCGCAAAGGTGGTTTGTTTCAGTCCCCAGACTTAGCACTTGGGGAAACTGAGGCCCCCAAAGAGAAGAATTGACTTGGCCAAGGTTAGCCAGATAATGAGGAAACTAGGGTTTGAATCTGACATTGTTGACTGATATGCCAATGTGCTTTCCGCTGAAGACTTACTGGAATTTTCTTTTTAAAACCATTTCAGAACCAACTAGAAACAGCTCCACCACACGAGTTAAAGAATACCTTCCAACTGCTTCATGAGATATTGGTGAGTCATCCATGTTCTGATTCACTTGTATTTAGGCATGTGTTAGTTAGCCAGCATTGTTTATAAATTAAGAGTTGCCTTTCCTTATATTGTTTTTCCATTCATTATCCTGCACTTACTAAATCCTCCTCATATCAGCCTTTTTTTGTGTGCAACACTGATTTACAGGTGAGCAGTAATAAAACCTTACCTTGTAGGGGCTTGTGGTTTAGTGAGGGAGCTAGACAAGCACACAAGCAGTTGTCGTACAGAGAGCAAAGGAGCAGCGGGGGTCTGTGCTGTGGCTAGGGGCTGTGCTAAGCACAGTATCACCTTGTGTAAGCCTCACGGTAACCTCAGGTAAATTGCTGGCTCTATCATTCACTCGTATCTGAGGTACCCTTGATTGTCTTTCTACTATTAGAAATATTTTTATAAGCATGAAACTGAAATGTAACTGACTATAGGATGCATCTCAATTTTGGAAATATAAAAAATGGGGTAAATTCAGTTATAATCAGCAAAGCACAGTATCAATTAGAGATTAGAACTTAGAGAAGTGGAGTGATTTGCCTAAGACCAATCTCTAATAAATCACAAAGCCAGGATCTGAGCCATGCCCCCCACCAGACAGACCCCCGGACTGATTGCTCAGTGAGCTGGAAGGAGGGGTGTGGCTAGAAGGAGTGGAGCAGAGTGGGGCGTGGGAAAGAAGCCCAAACCGGAGCATGCCAGCTCAGGGACAGTGAGGGGACCTCTCCCTATAGGACAGTGGCTGCACACTGCAGCCTGGGAGCACATCCTGCCAAGTGCCTGTTTTATTTGGCCCACGTGGTTTTGTTTTCTGATTTCTAGATCTAGCCTATCTGGAGAAAGCAGCTAACCTGGCCACACTGGCCCCGTGTCCTGAGGCCAGTCACCTAGAGCAGCAGCGGCCTGTCCCCTTTGCTGGGGCATATGACCTCCAGCTCCCTGCTGCCCTCACTGCTCCTTATTGGCTCTTACTTTGCCCATTTCTTGTCATCCTAGCCTCTAGATTGACATTTGCAACCTCTGCTGTCAGTGATGGGCGCCCTGGAAAGGTTTTAAGCAGGAAAGTTCTGTGGCCTTATTTATGTTTTAGAAAGATGGCCCTGGCGGTTGTTGGAAGGATGGACTGAAGGAGGAAGCAGGGTCAGTGTTGGAAGACTTACACAGAAGTGTGTGGCATTAATCTGAGGGAAAGAACAAGGCCTGTGCTGAGGCAAGACCAGCGTCCAAGGGGACAAGAGATGTTTTGGAAAGAAAATCAATAGAATTTGGTGACTGCTTGTGAGCTAGTGAGAAAGACTAGCCCAGAAGCTCCTTAAAGAGAGGGAGCAGGGTCTGGGTTCCCTTTAGGTCCCTGAGACTTGGTATAGGCCTACAGGCCTTGGCACAGGGTAGGCATTTAATCAGTGCTTCCAAAGAAGGCATTACACAATGATGCCGTTCATAGAAAGCATGTCTTTCTGGCCTTTCGCCTCCCTTCAGTCGTGGTGCTTTTACAAACTTTGGAAGATGTGCTCCTCAATCAGAGCTGCATATTGTTCATCTGCTCAGCAACAAACATGTCGAGTCGGCTCACTGCGCAGTTGGGTGTGAGGCACTAGACTACATGTGTCAAACACAAGGCCCTCGGGCCAAATCCGTCCCGCCAGGCCTTGCATTGTGGCCCACACCGCGCTGTCATCACTGCACTCCGCTGCGTTTCCAGCACAATGACAGTTTATGACTGTTCAGTAAACCATTCGACCCGCGATTTAGGCTGGATTTTAGATTTTGGCCCCTTCTCTGATTGAGTTCGACACCCCTACACTAGACGCACAGTGAGCATAAGACAGTTCCCGCCTGTGGACTGTGGAGCCTGTGTTGTAACAAAACTGGTCTGGTTTGGTAAACAGGTTAAACTGTAAGCCTCTCACCCTCAGGACCGTGACATATCCATCCTTATAACCCACAGAGAACTGTAGGTGTCGGTCAGAGCACAATGATAGAAAATAAATGAATCTTCAGATACTACTCAGTCGTTTTTCATCCTTAGTTTAAAATGTAAGATGTTGAGATACATGGCAGTGACATGATATTTGTATTAGGTTTTGTTAAGTTAGAACCTATGGAATTTATTTATTTATTTTTTTTAAAGAGGCACCAATGGCTATAACCTAACTTCTTCTTTCATTTACCAACCTGTTTCCTTTCTCTCACAGGTCATTGAAGATCCCATACAAGTAGAGCGAGTCAAGTTTGTGTTTGAGACGGAAAATGGACTACTAGGTAAGTATGCCTTAATGGGAAGTGTCAGCAGTGAATGGGCAGGTAGCCAGTCTCCTCCCTGAGGGGTCTGCCTCCCGCCTCCCCAGTCCATCTCCCACCCCGTCCCGCATCCCTGGCTTACATCAGGGAGAGATCCAACAGAAGTCTGATTAGGGCGTTGGGTTCCCTCATTTTGGTCATAAGAATTAAAACCAACGGCCTGATCGTCCTGGACACTCCTACCTTTAGTCGATAAAATGCAACTTGGGGTCCTGACAGGATTAGGAGGGAGTCAGGGGTGCTGTGACTTTTCAACAAGCGAAAGGCACTTTCTAAGGAAGAAACTTCATTCCGCTCTGTAGCCATCAGGGAGGAAACGAAAACTAAGCTCAGGATGTTGTCAAACTCAGGAAATGTGGTGTTTTTGTTTTTGGAGTTTTTTTGCCTGTAGTATAAATGCATCCAAATTTGTTGTCTGTTCATAAAAAGTTTTTGGCAAAGTTTTTCTTTTCAGAAGGCTGAAGTGGCTTTAGTGAGCAATTTCTTAGAAAAGTTTGGTTAAAAATAGTCTTCTCCAACTCCCACCATCCACCTGTATTTCCAGTTAATCGGAGTCTTTTCACATTCTGGTTGTGTATTAAGAAAATATTTAGGACCTCCTATATTTCAGAACAGAAACTTAAGTTTAAAAAGTTATATAGCCGCAACGCTCTAGACCACCCCTTGGATGGTGGACGCTACTCAGAACTCCCACCCAGGCTCTGGAACCCCCAGACCAGGGGTACACTCCCCAGGAGCGGGAAACGTATTTGTCATCTTTCAACCCAGAGCCCAGAGCAGGGAATCTGGTGAACTGAACTAAGACCATAAGTTTCCATTTGTCGCGCTAACAGAGCTCTAACTACTCCCTGTCAGCAGTGTGGAGGGCGGGAAAGCTTGGCGGTCTCTAGGTGAATAATCGGCCAATATAAATGTTAGCCCCTTCTGTTTCTCCTAAAAGTCAAACTCGCACCACCACGTATGTTTCTTGAATACTACTTAGTATTTCTGCCCTTTAGAATTTACGGGATTTTCTTGAGTCAACACCATGCTTTTAATTTAATTCTTCATCTGTTTGTCAGAGTGGTTTGTTGTAAGTTTTTAGAACAGGAGACCCATTTTCATTTTAGTGCTTTATTGTTCAGGTTTTCTCTTTTCTCCCTTCAGCTCTGATGCACCACAGTAATCACGTGGACAGCAGTCGCTGCTACCAATGTGTCAAATTTCTGGTAACTCTTGCTCAAAAGTAAGTATTGATTCAAAACTGAAGGGAGGAAATGGTTACAAGTCAAATAAGACCAGAAAAAACCTGCTTTGTGTTAGTTTCTGGAGAGAGTGCCTCAGTCAGGGCGTGATTGCTGGGATGGCACAGAAACCTGTGCAGGTCACCTCAGCTGTGAAGGGAAGTGTTAAAAGAGTGACAGACCTTACAGAACCCGAGAAACAAGCTAACCCACCAGGCTTTGTGCAGGAAGGGTGGGGACCAAGATGGGGTGCCTCCACTCGAGAGGCCTTCATGGTACAGCTACAGCTCTTTCAGCTCTAGGTCCCACTTTCTTTTTTTTTTTTTAATATATTTTATTGATTTTTTTACAGAGAGGAAGAGAGAGGGATAGAGAGTTAGAACGATGAGAGAGAATCATCCATCAGCTGCCTCCTGCACACCCCCCACTGGGGATGCGCCCGCAACCAAGGTACATGCCCTTGACCGGAATCGAACCTGAGACGTTTCAGTCCGCAGGCTGACGCTCTATCCACTGAGCCAAACCGGTTTTGGCTAGGTCCCCACTTTCATAACAGACTATCAAAGTTGCTTACACTTAATGCAGACACCGTGCTAAATACTTGGCTTGTGTTCTCATTTAGTCTTTGCAGTAGCTGTGAGGTCACGGACTGTGATATGTCCCACGTCACAGGTGCAGTCAGAGCTAGACTGTCTGGTTTCAAGCAAAGGTTCTTTTTGCTTTAGTTGTGGTAAAATGTACATAACATAAAAGTTACCATTTTAACCATTTTTAGTGTAAGTTCAATGGCATTAAGTACATTCACATTGTTGTGCAACGAACACCACTATCCCGTCTTCCGAACTTTTTAATCTTCCTTCCCAAATGGAAACTCGATACCCATTAAACATTAAACAGTAGCCGAAACCGGTTTGGCTCAGTGGATAGAGCATTGGCCTGAGGACTGAGAGGACCCGGGTTCGATTCCGGGCAAGGACATGTACATTGGTTGCGGGCATATCCTCAGTAGAGGGTGTGCAAGGGGCAGCTGATCGATGATTCTCTCTCATCGATGTTTCTAACTCTCTATCCCTCTCTCTTCCTCTCTGTAAAAAATCAATAAAATATATATATATTTTTAAAACAAACTAAAAACATTAAACAGTAACTCCCAATTCTTCCACCCTCTAGCCCCTGGAAAACATCATTCGACTTTCTCTCTCTATAAATTTGACTCCTCTGGGTACCTCATCCAGTATTTGTCATTTTGTCACTTAGCATGATGTCCTCAAGGTTTATCCATATTGTAGCATGTCAGAATTTCCCCCTTTTTAGGACTAAATAATATTTCATTGTGCGGATATACCACATTTTGCTTATCCACAAGCGAGTGTAACATCGAGTGGTTTGCTGCGTTAGTTCCCCTGCTTAGTACAAGAGCAAACAAAAGATCAGAGTAACTGCAAGATGACCCAGCATTATTGAGCAGACTGCACTACCTTCTCTGAGTCTTACCTGACGGAGCATTCTTTATAGCTTACTTTATTTTTGCTCCAGATTTTTGCTGATTCTTAGGCATGGGTATTGCTATCCCTGAACTTGTACCAAAATAAGAATGAGAAATCTGTTTGACTTAATCTGCTGTATTTGAGCATCCTAAACAGATAGTAATGAGAACCTTACTGAAATAATGCATGAACATACGTTTCCATATGATACAACATTGTGGACACGGATGGAGATCATCCTGCCACAATTGTGTGTTCATTAATTAGGTTTGATATTGGCAGCATGTTTTCATTAAGTACTTGCCTAAGAATGGCATTTCCAAGTAGTGTTGGGGCCACATAGTATATCTGCTGCCAACAGACACATAGTCCAGATTCCAATGTCTTTATACTTTCATATCCCTCACGCATCTGTTTTATATACACTCACTAGTGGCAACATCACCATCAGCGCTATCTTCAAACATGAAGGACAACTTTCCAGAAAGTCAAGTAAAAATAGAAAAATAGAGGGTGGCAATAAGATCCTGTTTAAAAATAATAAGCTTTCTTATTCAGGTCACAAACATTTAAGATTAGTTTGATTCTAGCAAGAGGTCATTTATTAAATGTACTATTAGCTGTGGGGGTTTTATTTTTCATACTTCAATTTTGAATTTTAATAATTAGAGATAGATGAGACTTTTCACTACGTGTTTACCTTTCATTGCCTTTTATATAAAGACAACTGAACGTTAGTGAAAGTAGCATTTGTATTTCAAAATAAAACAGAGTAAATAAGCACCTAATAGAAATCTCCGATGGCCAGGTGTCCCGCTGCTAAGGAGTACTTCAAGGAGAACTCCCACCACTGGAGCTGGGCCGTGCAGTGGCTGCAGAAGAAGGTAATGCGTGGTGAGCCTTCCGGTTATGACGTAGGAATGGTAGGAGCAAGTCTTGTCAGGGAAGATCTCTCAGATGTAATTTGAAACAGGCCTCAAAGTATTTTCAGTCTTCCACATTTTTTAGTACAGTTGATACCTATTTTTGTGCATTAAATTTGTATCTTAATACATCCTTGTTAACTTTATAGGTGAGAAAGTGGGGAAGATTGTGTAAAAAGTAGAATTTTACAAGCTTTTGAGAGTGGAAGTGAAATTTTCCAGCAAAGACTGCTGATGTGATAAAAGGGCTTGGTACTTTAGATGCTTTTGTATTCTGCTGTCTAAGGGTAGAAATCGAGGACTCAGGTGGGCTTGTTTGTTACCTCTCATGGCATTTCTGACCTTCTGTCTCAGATGTCAGAACATTATTGGACACCGCAAAGCAATGTCTCTAATGAAACGTCAACTGGAAAGACCTTTCAGCGGACGATTTCAGCTCAGGTGAGGGTTTCTTTGGTTTTGTGTGGCTTGAAATCCCTTAGGTAGGATTTTTAGTATGTTTCTCAGAAATGGCCACCTCGGAGAAGAGAGGTACAGGTTGAAAATGAGAAGGGGCAAAAGAAATGATTGAATTTCTATGAAAAGACAGCACATTGGAGTACAGTCCACAGATCATAGAAGAAAAGCCGTATGGGTGGGTTGGCCCAGGAGTTGCGGGTGCTCTGGGGGCTGCTTGAAGGCACCACCCTCGAGGCTCCTGGTGCCTCCAAAGGTCAGATGAAGGGTGGTCTTCCTTGGCGATGTCGCTGCCGCTGCCCACTCCCTGACGTTTCCTCTGTTTGCCTCCCTGAAGGACACGCTGGCCTATGCCACCGCTTTGCTGAATGAGAAGGAACAGTCGGGGAGCAGCAACGGGTCGGAGAGCAGCCCCGCAAACGAGAACGGAGACCGGCACCTGCAGCAGGTATGACGCGTCCCCATGGGGCAGGGCAGCGCCTGCTCTGGAATCTCACTGCGGGGCTGCGGCGATCACCTCCTGCTGCTGCTTTCACCGGCCTCCAGGAAGATAACCCTTGAGGGAAGGGGCCTCATGCCATTGAAATCTACCTGCTTATTGGGGAGTCAAAGAACAGTTTTAAGCTTACTTTAAAAACCAGCCACATTCCTAGCACTAATTACTGTAGTAAGAAAGGAATGAAATGCTTACTGAGCATCTGTGTGCAGGACAATGAGACAGTGAATGTGATGCCGTGTCTGTGTCTGCCCTCCACTCTGCCCTTCCAGAAGGGCGGTCCCCTTGCAGCTCCGTAACGGGGCGCTGCAGAGGCCTCACCAAATGAATCCTGGGGGTGTTGTAGTGTCTTTTTTCTCTCTAAGCTTTTGGATCCTCAGTGACAACCTTGTGAGGTCACTATTGCCCTGATTTTAGAGAAGGGAAGTGGAGGCTCCTGCTTTATTCACAGAGAAAAGAAAAGCTGTCAGACAGGAGCTCCTGCAGCTGCCGCTCCTAGACTCACAGCCCCTGCGAGCCCCTGTCCTCCTCTGTCACAGGGAGGGCTCCCCACCCTGCCACTTCGCCAGAAACCCTGTATTCTGTCTTTTTCCTCTGTCTTTGCTATCTTAAAACTCTCTCTACAAATCCCTCCCATGGTGTTTCGATACACTTATCTCCCATCCTTTTTAAAAAAAAAACTCTTCTTCCCTTTTATCCCTGCCTTTTTCCTCTTCTCCACAGCCTCTCTTCTCAAAAAAGTTGTCAAAACTTAACTACCGTTAATTTCTAATCTCTCACTCATTCTTCAGCCCCTTCCTGGCTGACTCCTTCCCTGCCTTCCCTCTAGCTCAGCAGCTGGGGTGACAAGTAGCCTCCATCTCCGGTCCTCATCTGAGCTGACCACTCACGGTATCTGATTCCACTCACCAGGTCTTCCTTTTTAAACCCCGCTCCTGGGCTTCCATGGCACCGCGTTCTGAGTTCTCTGCCAACTTTTCGGGTGTGTCTTTCTCAGCCTCCTGCATGTCAGCCTCTTCTGGGATTGTGTAAAAAGTAACATTTCATCAAGTAATATCCCTCCGTTGCTTCTGAGTGCACAGTTCTGCTCTTACAAGCCGGCTCCTCTGTCCACCGGGTGTCTGACAAAAGCCACCAGCAGCCTTAGGCGCAGGGTCGCACGCTGGCCTGGCTGCACGGGGCCTCCGTCATTGTCCTTTTACCCCTGCCCACAGCTGATCGATATATCCCTCGTTCTGTCCTTTTACCCCCGCCCACAGCTCTGGCCTTGGTTCTTCTGAGTGCCAAACACAAACATCCACTCCGCACCACCGCCGGTCCTTCTCGGCCTCTTCCTCACAGACAGCCCCTGCGTACCAGGGGTCGCTCACCGCAGGCATTCTCACCACCTGTCACGGACCTTTGAAAGACCTCTCATCCATCTGTTCAGTCGTGTAAGCACCTTAGACTCCTGGGTCTCCGTAAAAATCTGCCTGTCGCCACTCTTGATTCTCTCCTCCCTTCACGAAACCTTTCAGCTGTTCCCACTGCTGCTAGGGTGGAGGCCGGATCCTCAGCAGTCCTCCTTGATTTGGCCCCTGCTTTCCTCTCCCTCTCATTTTCTGAGTGGCCTTTCTGTTCATCAAATGTACTTCTTCCTTCCGCCCCTACTCACCCCTGTCTGACTCCCCCTCAGCTTACACTCCCCTTCGCAGGGAGACTCCCTGTTTCTCTCACCGCCCCCCCAGCTAGATCAGTCTCAGGACGCATACATGGTTACCATTCAGAGCCCTTAGTGTGCAGGGTGGGCAACGGCAGGTTTACAGTTCCTATGGAATATAATAATCCTGTCCTATACAATAAAACCCTAATATGCAAATCTGACTGAATGGTGGAATTACTGGTCGCTATGAACTGACCACCAGGGACAGAGACTCAACATACGAGCTGCCCCCTGGTGGTCAGTGCGCTCCTCCCAGAAGCCAGGCTCATGGCTGGCAAGTGCAGCAGTGATGGCGGGAGCCTTTGTGGCAGCACCAAGGAGCAGCGAGCTGAGTGGTAGGAAGCAGCAAGCAGGCGGGCGGAAAGGAGCAAGGGGTCCTGGACTGCCAGAGGGCCCCAGCCGGGCCGAGGGCCCCCCCCCCTGCCACCCCCCGTACATGAATTTCATGCGCCAGGCCTCTAGTAAATAATACAAGAGCAAACTTTTGCATATTCACAACTATAAACCTACTTTGCCCCACGCTGTATAAACCAAAGGCCATAGTTGGTGAGGGGCAGAATTCAGGCCTGGGCTGACCTAGAGCCATCTTTGGCCGTTAGGCACCGTTTCTGGCACGAGGATGTCGGGCTCCAGGCCTCCCCGGTTCAGCCCACAGCTCCGCAGAGTCTGACGGGAGCCGCTTGTGCCATTGGGGCAGCTTTGTGACTGGGCTGAGCACTGGCTGTCTCAGTGACCGCATGAGGACATAGAAGTTTAAGCTTTGCGTAATCTGTCAGATATAAGGTGTTACAGTTTTGTTTTATTACCCTTTGGTAAACATTACGTTGTTAAATGAGGATGTGTTTAAACTACAGAACACAGTCAGCATAAAATAACAGTTTTCTCTCACTTCTCTGTGTGAATTTCCTGCTCTTCCTCAAAGGGCTCAGAATCGCCTATGATGATTGGCGAGTTAAGAAGTGACCTTGACGACGTGGATCCCTAGAGGAGCGTGTCCAGCACACGATGGGGAGTCACGTCGCTCGGCACCCGTTTGAAACCAGAACGTCACCTAGAACCCCCTAGAGGAGCTGGAGGCGGGCGGAGAGCCTGCGCGGCCGGCCTGCGGAGGAGCGGGGGGAGCACTGGCCGGGAGCGGGCTCTGCGGTGGGGAGCGCCGGCCGTGGGCCAGCCGCCCGAGGCAACTCCACGCGTGGGCTAACGTTTCTGTGGCGATTTTACAAAACAAACCCAGTGGCAGACTTTTGTTCATGAACATGCAACAGTGAGCGAGGGTAAAGCTGCGGCTTTCTCTACGATGCTATAGGAGAAATTCTTTTGGTTTTTATTTTTATTTTTTTAAAGCAATCTGCCTTTAGAAATGTGGAGGCAAATTTTTAATCTTGTAGTAACATTGATTAGGGATATCAAACTTAAGGCTATGTAAAGATATGTGATAAAATTCCTTTCATTGTAAAATAGTAAAGAATTCAGTTTACACAGACCTTTGTATTTAATATGTCTCCCGTTTGTACAGAATTGCAGGTGGGTTTGGATGAGAGCCCGGGGCATAAACTTGAATCTTGATGAAATGTTACCAGAATTGAAAATTGGGGGGTTATTCAGCTACTCAAGGTCTTTTTCCTGATATAATTGAATGATATTCCCCAGGGCGCATTCTTGACATCAGTCACTAAAGAAATCGTAAGTTATTCCCAAGATAAAATTTAAAAACAGCAAAATAAGAAGCACTTTAAGGTATAATTTTATTGAGTTTAACTTCATGAAATCATCTTTTTAATGCTTGGAGACATATTGAATAAACTAGTCTTAAATCATGTGATCTGCAATCATTTATTTCTTTTTGATTAAAACAGTTGCTGAAACCCTTGGTACTGGTTGTATATGAAGTTAAATATTGAATTGAGGAATCATTGTGAGTTTCTAATCATTTTAATGCAGACAAGGAACTTGAAACTTTGTTTCTCTTCAACTTAAGTGATGAACACTGAAAAGATAGGAGCAGGTTTTATTTTCCCAGAAATAACCAGGAAGCAACTGACCAAGCATCCTTTAGTTGGAATTACCAAGTGTAACACGCCAGCTCCCCTCGGTCCCAGGGTGGGGTTGCATATTTAACATTCTGTGTATTTTGTACATTTTGTATTTTGAGTTGTTGCTACACAGATTTTCCAACCCTGTTTTGCCTTTAGTTACATGCTCTACCTTGCTTTCAACTCACCATGCGCAGAACTAGGGGAGCCTTGGGAAGCGCCAGGTTGCCGCTGTTAGATTTGCCAAATCCAAGAGGTGTGTCCAGCCCCAAGTGCCTTTTGGTGGCTTCTGCATCATGTGACACGTGGCAGGACATCAGCTCTTCCCTCTGCACCGTCAGCCCCGGTCACGGCACTGCGGCCAGGGGAGGCCCCGTGCAGCCAGGCCAGCGTGCCACCCTGCGCATGCCTCAGGCCGCTGCTGGCTTTTGTCAGACACCCGGTGGACGGAGGAGCCGGCTTGTAAGAGCAGAACTGTGCCCTCAGAAAAACGGACAGGGGTAGTTTTATATGGTTCTGGTGTTCTTGCAATTTTGAATGTGATGTTTTAAAACTGATTTTGAGTACATGACTATTCCATACCTACTGTCTTCCTTACCCTGCCCTCCCCCTTCTCCACCGCCATCCTCACAGAAAGACTGTGGGACGTGACATTGAAATGCCGGCGGTGAGATGTGTGGGGACATCATCGCCGGCAGCTGTACTCAGGAGCCCAAATTCAGGAGTGAAATCGCCACTTCTAGTCCCTTATTTCCTATGGAAACAACGCCTTCCGCACCCCAGCACCTGCTGTCCTCACTGCAAAGCTTCGTCGGGACCGCATCGAGACCACATCACGCGCTCTGTTCATTTTGCTCTTGTTGCTGCAATGACTGCCCCTTCCATGTAGCCAGTAACCACTTGATTGCCAACGGCTGCAGCCTGCAAACCTGCTGATGACTTTTTTAATACACAACAAAGCGACAATTGTGACAGGCTACCTTGGAAGAGTTGTCGTTTTTATTGCCAACTTTTTTGGATGAAGACGTTTTTATAAACCTTTCAAAAAGTAGGAATTGCACAACTAACTCAATGCTGTGTGTCCTCAAGAAGCTCCCCTGGCGAGGCCCACTGTCGATGCTGCGTCTGCGCACCAGAGGCACTCCGGGAGGAAAAAGAGCATCCCAGCGGGATGCCCGTGGCCTTCCTCAAGGTCCCTGGCAGCAAGGACAAGTGGCAGGACCTGAAGGCCATGCTCTGGCAATTGCCCTGTCTTGCCCCCCCGCCCGCCGCCCCCCCACCCCCACCCCCTCCGCTAACATTGAGGTGTGTGCAGTTACCTTCCGAGCTTGGAACCAGCAGACTGGAATTGTCCTCTGCTACCTCTTGTGTACAGGATCTTGTTTATAAATTTCAAAGGAAGTAGATGAACAGGGAAGAATCTTACTTGTAAGTGTGGTTTATGAGTGGCAGAGTTCTTAGCTTCTAAGGGTATAAAATAAATTTTTCAAAAACGGAGAGCTGGAGTCTCACTGGCCTCTTTGTGTGCATGTCAGAGAACAGCGCGGGGCGGGCAGGGGCCTGGTGTGAAACTGCCATGCTTCCTTCCCTGCTTCCTCCTGGCCGTGTGAGTAGATCCACTCTGGAATCCTGAGGGAGAGAAGGAATCCTGAGGGAGCCCAAGCTTGTCTAAGCCTTTGCCTCTCTCTCTGGCCAGCCTGGCCACGTTAGGGTTCTCCTGCAAAGCTTGGTGCAGCACGCTGAACTCCGGCTGAGGCTGACGGATGTCTCCCCGTAGCTTTCAGGTCTCAAGTGGTCCCAGCAGTAATGTCCTTGGTCAAGCAGGTTTCCTGCTGGACCCCACAGTCCGTCTCACTCCTAAAGCCCCGCGTTGGCACACATGTTCTCCGCTCCTGGGTGTTGGCTGGTCCAGATCTTCCTCTTCTGTGGCCATGCCCAGTGCTCCCCGATCCCTGAACACCACCTACATCTGCCATTTCCTTCTGTGATCTGAACTGTCAGGGCGTAACTACCCAGTGCCATCTGATGGGGGGCTCTTTAGACAACAGAAGGGACTACCAACACGGAGATACAGTTGTTCGATGAAGTTCTTTTCTGGCACCCAGGCCATTGGCACCTGGCAGCTCTCAAATATTTCCCACAATGTGAATTGTCAAACGAGTTGGGGGGATTTTTTCTTTGCAGGCAGATTCCTTATCATTTATGGGGGCTCTTTAGAGGTAGGCCTGTTCAAGTCAGCTTACACTCACCAACCTGCGGAGAGAGGAGGCACGGAAGGTCCCACATGGAATGAGATGATTCTCCTTTGACAACTGGAGAGTCCTGAGACTGTTCTTAATTTCTAATCATAAAAAGCGATCCTGGACATAGTACAACTCGTTACACAAGCATCAGACACTCATACAGCTAACTTACCCCATGCACACTGACGGCCAGGGGCTGGGGAGCGGAGAATGAGAAGGACACTGGGAACTCGGGGCTCAGGGGTGCATGCGGATGACGGGGCATCTAGAATGCTCCCGGGCACGTTACCAAGCATGACATCTTGGGAGCAGCTGTGGGAAGACACTAGTTTTACGTAGGACAGGCAGAGAACTCATAACTCGAGTACTCATCAAGTACTTGATTCACTCAACCATTCCACAGACTCTGATGACATGCCCAGTGTAAACAAGGCCTCGACACCCTTCACAGGAAAATTCAGGTAAGCGTCGTGACAAAGTTGCTTTCATTTTTTTAAAGTCCTATAATGCTACAAAGCCCAGAATAAATATCTTCAAGGTACCAAAGCCAAACAGAGGTCTAGAAAAGCTGCTTGCTGTAAAAAGGCAACAGAGAGCTGGTTACAATACAGACCAAGGGAATCAATACGTGCTGGTTTGTTGCTTGGTGGGCGTGGGAGCTCAAGAGGGGAAGTTGCCCTCCGCATCCAGCCCTCCGAAGGCTCTCCGCAGAGTCCCTGTGGATCTGGCCAGTGCCTGTCCCCCAGTGCTACCTCAGGGCTGTGTTCCCCCTTCCTAACCTCAATGTTATCCCTAAAGCTGGGGCGCCCAGCCTGGTGCAGTAAAAAGGTTTTATGGCCAAATCTGAGATTATATCCTGGCAGCACTTCATTCCTGGCCATGGGAGCGTGGGGGCACTCAAGTTCCCAATGTCTTCTTTACCTAACGTGGGGGTGACGATACATCTGGGCAGGGTAGGTGAGAGAAGTGGGTGAAATGGTGTGAGGACCACATGACCCTCCACTGCAAACTCACTGAATGTCAGGCGCGGGCGGGGTGACATCTCCCAGAGGCAGATGCTGGCGGACAGCGAAGCCTGGACCAGAGCAGGGGAGGGCCTCTGGGAGAAACAGATGGCCTGTGATCGCCTGGGAAACACCTCCAGCCCCTGGAGGATCTCACGTGCTTCTGCTGGGCTCCAGGGGTGGTTGGGAGAGCTAGGAATGTCATCAACAAAAGCTGTCTTCTAGGAGGCAAGTCCTCAGGGCAGGCCCAGGGCCCGTGGAGGTCACCGGCACTGATGGCAGTCTCTAGAAAAAGGAAGGGCTTGAACTGAGGTCTCTTGGCAGCTGGCATGGGCTTGTTCTTGTGGCCTCAATATTCTCATCTATCCAGCAGGCAGATCAGCCTGCCTTTGTCCAGGCTGCCCTAAAACCCAGTGACAGCGTGGGCAGAGAAGCACTTTGGACATGTTGAAATGCCAGACACTAGTTTGACGTAGAACAGGCATAGAACTCATAAAGAACTCATGGAAGCATCATCCCATCCGTGCCCACCACCCACCCTGCACCCCCAGAGGTGTGGGGAACTTCCTCTGTGAATCAGGGAGACCAGAGGGGCTTCTCCCAAATGGGCAGGAGGTGAGGGGCCATCTCCACCTTTCTCGCTCATTCCTCCTGACTGACAGGTACTGCCTGCCTGTGGGAGCCCCACTCCCTCTTCTGTGCAAGCCCAATCGGGGGCCCAAAGGTAACTCCGCCCACCAGCTTTGGCCTCTCGGGAGCAGCTGGCAGGAAGCTGAGCACAGCTGGTCCGCAGCATTAGTGGTGGGATGCATCCCGGCAGGGAGGCAGCCATTGGGGAGGGGAAGCCAGCCCCTGCAGCACTGCGGTCCTCGGCCTCCTGCTCAGCTCAGGGTTGGGAAGAGGTTGATCCAGGCTGAAATCAAGTTCTCCCGCACAGGGCGCCCCAAATCGAGTGCCAGAGCTACAGCCGCAGAAAAGTACAGGTATCCTCGGTCCCCTGGGCCCGGGCCGAGGGAGGGGAGGAGGAACCATTTTATTTATTTTTTATTTGTTTTTAAATATATTTTATTGATGTTTTACAGAGAGGAAGAGAGAGGGATAGAGAGTTAGAAACACCGATGAGAGAGAATCATCAATCAGCTGCCTCTTGCACACCCCCTACTGGGGATGTGCCCACAACCGAGGTACATGCCCTTGACCGGAATCGAACCCCGGGACCTTTCAGTCCGCAGGTTGACACTCTATTCACTGAGCCAAACTGGTTTTGGCAGGAGGAACTATTTTAAAGCTCAGCCAAAACCTGTGACCATGGCACCTGGGCCCTGACCCCTTCCCGTGCACATGACCTGGGCCAGCTGGCGGATCCCAGGGTAGAGAAGGGGCAAGCGGGGCTGTAGCTCTCTGCGCAAGTGCATCTCCTGCCAAGGCAGCAAGGGCTGCATCGGAAGTGACAAATGTAAATGGCACCTGCAAATCTCACTGCCAGGTGTACTTAATGGCTGATGTAATCCATTGCCAAGTAATGTTTTTGATGTGGGTGACAGCTGTGAATTAGACACAATCCCGGCCCCGTGCCGCCTTCCAGCTCACATGCAGCACCTGAAATGGCGGCCAGTGCTGGGGAGAAGAGAAAAAGGGGGAGGAGATGGAATGTGGACACGGAGGAGGGAGGAGGAGCACCCCAGCAAGGGAACAGCAGATGCACATGCCCAGAGACGGGGGCGGGGGAAAGGGGAGATGGGGGGAGCAGCATGGAGGGGACAGGGCCGGCTGGGCTGCAGGGCTGGGACTCAGCTCCAATAGGTGGACCATGCCGGGGACCCTGGCTTCCCTCCTGGCAGGTTTTTGATCAGAGGAGTGAAATGCTCTGCCTGCTATTTAGAAAACAGAAGGCGGGAGCAGACAAACCAGCCCGAGACTGTGAGGCAGGTGTGGCCCAGGGAGGCCAGGGCAGTGAGAGGGCCTGGATTCTGGACGAACTTTGAAAGCAGAGCCTGTGGCATCTCCTGACAATTCAGATGTGAGACAGGAGAGAAAGAGAAGGGTGGAGGTTCAAAGTTTTGTCTTAGGTAACGTGACCAGACGTCCCGCTTTTGGTGGGACAGTCCTGATTTTTAACAATTTGTCCCGCTTCCCGCAGCATTTTAATAAAGCCCCGATTTTTTTTAAGATTCTTTCCAAAAATCGGGACTTTTCCCCCCCCCAAAAAAATCGTAACTTTTTAAAAATGCCGTGGGACGCAGGACAAATTTTAAAAATCGGGACTGTCCCGCCAAAAGCGGGACGTCTGGTCACCTTAATCTTAGGTGAGTGGAAGGCAGGGGTTGCCATGTACTGAACCGGGGAGGTGTGGCCAGGAGACGCTCGGTGGACAGCTGTGGGGCTCTGGTCGCCTGTTTGAGCCAATCACCGGACCTGACGCCGCGTCATGTGACCCGAGTTCAGGGAGACGCTGGGCTGGCATGGTCAGCGTATGGATGATAATCAAAGCTGATGACCCGGAGACCCCCTCGGGAACGTGATCAGCAGGAGGAGGTAACAACTGCCCACAGGCCAAGTAAGGAGAGGGTGGAAACTGACTTGGCGGGTCCAAGGACCGGGTCGGGGATCGGATGTAGCAATGAAGAGATCACCAGAAGGGTCTGATTGATGAGGGTTCCAGAGAGAATGCAGGAGGAGGAACGGAAGATGGCCAGCAAGTCGACAGCTCTTTAGAGAAATGTTCCTATAAAGGCACAAAAATAGAGTCTCGCCACCAGAGGGAGCCTGAGGCCAAGAGAGCGTCCCCTCGGTGGGAGAGCCTGGGGCCAGCCTGGGGGTGATGGCCGCGCAGTGGGAGGGGAGAGTCTCAGAAGGTGAGGAGGGATGCTTTCTGGTGGAGGGGTTACCCTGGGGAGGGGCACAGACACTGTCCTAACAGCAGGTGGGGAGGTGAGGAGGGCGGAGTGCAGAGAGCCGTGCTGTAGGCAGTTAGACAGACGTGAGCGGGACAGGGACGATGGCCAGGCACAGACACTCACCAGGGCACCGAGCCCTGGGTGCCTAACAAGGGGCAAAACTGGGAAAACAAGCCCCGCCCCCCCACCGGGTAACCTTTCCTTCCCTAACCTCTTCCTCTGAAGATGACTCCCCTGGGCGGTGCTGCTCAGTGGCAGCCAGTGCACAGAAGGGTTGCAGCTTCAATACCGGGTCAAAGGCACATCCCTGGGTTGCAGGTTCTATCCCCGCTCCAGTGGGGGCATGTGCTGGAGGCAGCCATTCGATGTGTCTCTCTCACAATGATGTTTCTCGCTCTCTCTCCTCTTCTTCCTCCCTCTCTCCCTTCCACTCTCTCTAAAAATCAGTGGGGGAAATATCCTGGGGTGAGGATTTACTACAACAACGACGACAAAAACAGTCACACCTAGGCCTCAGTTGAAGTTCAGCTCCGGGCCCAGAAAAAACAGCAGAACCAGGCGGGCAACGCCAGGACCAGCTGCGATAACTAATGAGCCGCTGCCCTGGTGCCAACCAATCAAATCAGTGGAGACCACGGCCTGAGAGAGCACACCTGGGAGAGCACACCTGGGAAAGCTGATGAATATTCTATCGAGACCCTCCCCTAAGATTGCCACCTGCAAGAGCGAGATAAATACTCTCAGGATGAAGGGCCCACACACGCTCTCACTCCAGGGCTATTCCCGTCCCCCTCTTCCCTCAAAGGGACCCCACGAAGCTTGCAACCAGAGGAGCAATGGGCAGCAGCCGCTCGTCCCATGCTCACCCCCTGCACCTGCCTCTAAGGCGCCCTTTTCTCTGACTCCCCAGTGAGCCAGAGCAGCCCAGCCTGGTTGCTGCTCCTGCTGCTGCTGCTCCTGAGGCCTGCCTGGTTTCCCTGTCCTGAGTGTGTGTGCTGTGGCCAGCAACTTCTTGCTTGCTTCCTATGCTTTTTCTCTTGATTGAAATCTTTCCTTCAAGAGCCGAAGGCTCATCGTCACGCTGCGTGGACATGGAGGGGGAGCTGCTGGAGGCTCTTACTTCTCGAACTCACATTGAAATATGGAGTGAGGCATCCCCTGGAAGGCAGGATTGGGGGAGGTGCTAGACAGCACATGTGTCAACCACAAGGCCCGCGGGCCAAATCCGTCCCGCCAGGCCTTGCAATGTGGCCCGCACCGCGCTGTCACCACTGCACTCCGCTGCGTTTCCATCACAATGACAGTTTATGACTGTTCAGTAAACCATTCGGCCCGAGATTTAGGCTGGATTTTAGATTTTGGCCCCTTCTCTGATTGAGTTCGACACCCCTATGCTAGAGGTTTGAGGAGAAAGGAGTAGACACGAATGTGTCGTCTTTGGGGGCCAGGGGCCTGGGCTCCAGGGGCAGGTCACTCTGTCTCCTCTGTGTTTCCAGGTCCCTGTCTGTAAAATAATAAAGATTAGGCCGAGAGGAGCGATGGGCTGGGGAGAAGCTGGGTTTGCAGGACAGCCTCAGGTGACGTGGAAAGCACACGTGTTTCCCTCGTGCTGAGCGGAGCGGGCGGACAGTACGCGGCTGGGCTCCTCCCAGGGAACAGGATAACGGTGGCAGGGACTCGGGGCAGGGCGCGGAGGGGGCACCAGCTGCACCGAGGAGTCAGCTGGGTAGAGGCGAGACGTGTGGGGAGATGAAGCCACACCCTCGGTGTAGGTGTGGTAGGTGCTGGTGAAGAAGGTGGGAACGGGTTGGAAAAGGGGAAGTGGGTATTAGAAATTGCGGTTCTGGAGGAGATTCAGCTACAGGTGGCAACAGGTCAAGACTGTGATGCGTGGGGCAGGAGGGCAGTGGGGGCAGAGCGGGAGAGCGAGAAAAGTGGAGGCGAAGCCTGTGGAGGTGGAGGAAATGGGAGTGCAGAGTGCGGTGCAGAGAAAGTGGCCGCCGCTTGGCCTCCCGCTCGTAGGGGCTGTGTGGCCTGATGGCAGGAGCTTCCGCACAGAGAACATATGGAAGACAGAAGGACAGGGACCCGCAAGAGGCCCCTCGGAAGAAGTGAGCTTGGGGGACGGGAGACTTAGAGCGAGAAGGGAAGGAATATTCTGAGAGGTGTTTGAAGACAAAGGCATTTCCGACGATAGGCCGATACACCAGGACTTCGAGGGCCCAGTGAGGGCTTCGGGAAGAAAGGAAGGAACGGGGAAGGGAGGAAATGGGCCCCGGGAACAAGGCCTCTCTCCCAGGAGTTTGCAGCAGCTCAGGCACCGGGGCCATGCCCTGCTGGGCCAGCAGAGGGCGCCCAATGCACGGCATGAGAACCAGGGATCTAACCATTCAGACCATGCAGGGCCCAGCCTGCTCCGGCTCCTGGGACCTCTGAGACCCCGCGCTGTCCCTGGAGAGCAGCAGTCTTTATGTAAGGGCGGCAGTCTTTATGGTGAAGTAGGCAGAGGTGATCAGACAAGGCAGGAAGGGACAGTGCGGGGCAGCCCAGTTGCTGGGCACCGGATCCAGACAGGAAGCAGTTCCAGATTTATGGGCGACACATCCGGGAAGCAGTGAGGGCAAGAGGCTGGTTTTTGTCTCTTGAGCCCCCTCTCCCAGGTGGGGGTCCTGGGAGGCTCTGAACCAGAGAGGCATGACCAGAGCAGAGCACCAGCTTTCACCAGCCCCGCAGGCCGCACTCAGGAGTTACTCCCGTGGGCCCCACCCGCAGCCTCTCCTCCCAGGGGCCCGTGGCCTGCCCCTCATGGAGGAAGTGGAGGCCAGTGGCACCCCCCTCCAGCTCTGCCTCTCCACCAGGCACCTGCGCTCTCCCTGCGGCCTGGAGGGAGGAGAAGTCCAGCAGGCTGGGGGCCCAGCCTTCCCCAGCTTTCTCCAGGAACTGTGTGGGGTGATCTGCCCATACACACCGAAGCTCGCTGTCCCCTTCCCCGCCAGCCTCTGAGCACACTCAGATCTCTTCCACCCTGAAAACTAAGATAAGCAAAACAGAGCACAAGTCCCCCGCTGCTGTCTCCCAGGAGCTGGGACTAGACACTGAGTAACATCAAAATAAGCCAACACCTGCCCTCATGAGCCCTCACACGTGCACAGGAAAGCATAGGAACAAGTCACGTTTGCAGCATGTGAGCTGGCGACGGGAGCTGGGGAGGAAACTGAAAAGGGAAGGAGGGGGGGGTCAGTCTGGCCAGTGTGTTCAGTAGTCAGGGCATTGGCCCCAGGCACTGAGGGGTCTCAGATTTGATTCCCCAGGGAACATGCCTGGGGTGCAGTTCGTTCCCCACCCCCAGTCAGGGCACTTTCCAGAGGCAACTGTAGATGTGCCTCTCCCTCCCTCCCCTCCCTCCCCCCCTTCCACTCTCGCTGCAAAGCAATGGAAAAATATCCTCAGGGGAGGATTAAAATTTTTTTAAAGAGAAGGTGGGGCACTACTTGTCTGGGTGTGAGGGAAGGTCTAGCTCCCAAGGCTACTGCTGGGGCTCAGGCCACACACACCCCCCCCCTCAGTCCCGCTGTGTTTCTCCCAGAGTGGCCCAGGGACCCCCGCCTCGGAGCTGGCGGAGAGGGTGGGGAACCATCCTGGGAGAAGCTCAGAGGCCTCCCACTGGTCTGAAGTCCAGGAACCTGCACCTCACAAGCTCCGGGGAGGCGCTGAGGCAGACCAAAGTGGGCAACCGCAGGTTTACCCCCTGAAAAGGTAGCACTGCTTGGACCAGTCCAGATGCCCAGCTCCATCTGCAGCCACCAGCCAACCGGGTCCAAGCGCCTCACCCTTCTGAGTGCGCTTCCAGCATCTTCACCTGATAACTCCTGCACATCCTTGAAACCTGCCCCAGAGTCGTCTCCTCCAGGAAGTACTCCCAGGTCGGACAGGCCTGGAGGACCAAATGTGACGACAGGTGTGCAAATGCTTTGCGTTCTCAGAGCAGAACCAGCGGGAGAGATGCAGGCATGCAGGGAGAGGACAGACAGGGGCTGTAAGGGGTCACATACAAACACACCCAACTGTATCACCACACTGGACTTTGGGATCCAAAGACCCCAAAGGCATGCACCCAATTTGCATCCAGTGCCCTGAGGTCTCGGGTGCCAGGAAAGAATCCGGCAGCAGCCCCTGGGCCCCAGGCAAGTGTGGCTGGAGACCAGGAGGAATGTGCCCTCGGCAGCTTCCAGGGTCGCTAGGCCTCACCTCTGTCCAAATATTTCCATCACTTCCTGGTCAGGGTGTTAATGGTGCAGGGAGGGCAGGCGTCTGAGCTTGGGAGAAGGGCCAGAAGCCCTGGGACTCAGCCCAGCCACAGCCTCCTTACCCGCGTTCCCAGGCCTCACACCAGCCCTCTGAGGTGGGCAGACAGGGCTGCTGTCCCATTGTAAAGGAGAGGAAACTGAGGCGGGAGTAGAGCCCAGAAAGAATAAGGGCAAGGTCTTTCCCTAGCCTGTTTGGCTCAGTGGATAGAGCGTCGGCCTGCAGACTGAAGGGACCATTCTGGCCAAGGGCACATGCCCGGGTTGCAGGCTCAATCCCTCGGAGGGGATGTGCAGGAGGCAGCCAAGCAATGATTCTCTCGTCATTAACGTTTCTGTTTCCCTCTCCCTTCCTCTCTGAAATCAATTTTAAAAAATAAATAAAAATAAAACAGAATAAGGGCAGGGCCTGGACCCCTACCCCAGGCAGGGGAGAGCAGAGGCGCTGCCTGGGAGGAGGTGGGCGGCACTGGCTGGCAGCCTGTTATCCCGAGGCTCGGGCAGATGGCCTGGGCGCCATCATTCGGAGAGGAAGGGGGCCCAAGGGAGGAGGCGGCAGGAACGGGAGAGAGACAAGAAAACTGAGCCGCTGGGGACAGCGAGGGCCCAGACGGGTCTCCCCACTCTAAAGGCACAGGAAGGGGTGACATAGCTGATCCCCAGGTCTGGTGTGACCCACGGTGATGCCCGGGCTCCCGCCCCTGAAGGGCCTTGTCCCAGTGTCGCCTCTGCCCCGCTCCTCCCCGGCATGCTCCTCTGGTCCTGTCCGGAGGCTCATCAACATCAGGTTAACGTGCCAGGGGCTAAGAACGGCTCCCGGCACCCGGGAGGGTCTGGCTGTGACGGCCTGTGTCCCATCAGCGCAGAGGCCGGGGACAGGTGCCTGGTGGAGAGGCGTCCCCGCCCTGGAGCGCGCGTCCCCTTCCGTTCCCTCTGCCTTCTCCCGGGGTCACCTTCACGGAGATAATTAATCCCGGGCTTGTGGTGAGAAGAGAGGGCAGAGCTGCTTGTTCTGAACCTGTGTTTACGGCCAATACAGGTGCTGCCCAACTGCCAGCGCCACCTGCAGACACTGGGGCTGCCCCTGTCCTGGGGCCTCCGCCCGCACCCCCTGATCCTCCCGGTGCCCACACGGCCCTTCCTCCCGGTCATCCACCCGGAGAGCCAGCGTGGAGGGCGGCTGAAGGCAGAGGACTGGAGGCCGGACCTCAGGGTGTGAGGCCCCACACATCCTGGGAGCTGAGGGACGTGCCAAGGTTGGGGGTCCGGCCTCAAAGCGCAGAGGGGGCCGGGGAGCCTTCTGGCTGCGGGGGTGGGCGGGAGGGAGAGGACCGTGGAAGGGGAGCCCAGCCCCTCAGAACAGCTCCTGGGACTCCTCTTCCGGCAGAGCCTCAAGTTTCTGGGTTTCCCTGGGACGTCTGCCCGCCTCCTCCCTCAGGCTGGACTCACAGGCTGTTCGGAGGGGACCTCGGTGAGCCAAGCCCAGTCTCCAGCGCTGTCTGAGTCTGCGCTCCTCCTGCCAGCGGCCAGCGGCTTCCCCCCGGCTCCCCGCATGGAGGGAGCTGCTTCTGGCGCCCAATATTCAGTTTATTGTTATTATTTTTTTAAATAGAAGCAGAATCATTTTTATTTTCTGAATGCAAGTAAGTTATTTTTGATTATGACTTACATGTGGACATTTCCTAAGGAAGAATCCCACCACGCAGAGCTATCGGTACGTTTCTGTGTGTGTGTCTGTGCACAGGGCCACATTCTCGTCTGCTGGGAGCCACTTAAACTAGGGGTGTCGAACTCAATCAGAGAAGGGGCCAAAATCTAAAATCCAGCCTAAATCGCGGGCCGAATGGTTTACTGAACAGTCATAAACTGTCATTGTGATGGAAACGCAGCGGAGTGCAGTGATGACAGCGCGGTGCGGGCCACATTGCAAGGCCTGGCGGGACGGATTTGGCCCGCGGGCCTTGTGTTTGACACATGTGACTTAAACAAACAGGGGCTAAATCTTCGCACGGAGCTAGAAGACCGGTGTTTGCTGGCTTTGGTTCATGAGGTCACAGGTCAGAGGATCAACTCTTGGCATTTTCCTCACGGTTCCAAGACAGCTGCAGCCGCTGAGTCTGTATTCGAGGCCAGCAGAACTAACCACTCTCGCTTTTTCTCTCAGGAGTGACCCCAACAAATTTCTCTGCAGGCCTCACTGGCCAGACTGGCCGCGGCGAGCAGGGTTGCGGTGACTGGCTTCGGGCCAGCCCTAATTTATTACCTGGGAGTGGGCCTGTCATCATCAAGGTATGAGGGAATTAACCGTGTTTGCCGCATTCTACTTTATTTATTTATTTATTATTATTTTTAAACAATTATCTTTTTTTAATTTATATTTTATTAACTTTTTTACAGAGAGGAAGGGAGAGGGATAGAGAGCTAGAAACATCAATGAAAGAGGAACATCAATCAGCTGCTTCCTGCACACCCCCCACCGGCGATGTGCCCGCGACCAATGTACATGCCCTTGACCGGAATCTAACCTGGGACCTTTCAGTCTGCAGACTGACACTTTATCCACTGAGCCAAACCGGTTTCGGCTGCATTCTACTTTACAATCCCTATTTTTATTAATTACATATCATAAGCATCTTCCCACATCAAGAAATGGGGAGAGTTGTCATGTTAATGGCCGTCTGCCACTCCCTGGCATAGAGTGGCATTTGTTAGTCAAGCTCCTATTGCTGGCAGTTTGGATTATCCCTATAGTTGAACCGTCGCAGACAAGGCCACAATACACGCCTTCTGGAAGTATATCTTGGCTGATTGTTTCCTTAGATAATTTCTACACGTGGGGGCACTAACCGCCCACTGCCGTATTACCCCCAACACTGGCATCGATTCTATTTCCCAAAGCAATATCCGACAGATCCTGCTCCTCCACAGTCTGCCTCCTGTTGCTGTCACCTTTATAGCATGTGGCCGGTGCCATGGATGAAACCTGGTTTCCGGATTTAATTTGCATTCCTTTGATTATGTCTGAGGTTGACCATGTTTTCATTTGTTTTTTGTTTGTTTTAATATTTACCCAAGGATATGTTTTCTTACTGATTTTAGAGAAAGAAAAATGGCAGGAGAGAGAGAGAGAAACATCGGTTGCCTCCTGTGCATGCTCTGACTGGGGATTGAATCGGCGACCTAAGCCATCTGGCCTGGGCTCATTTATTTCTTTTATGGGGTCACGGATCTTTTATGTGGCTGAAATGCTTTTCTTTTCCTATATGAGCCCTCTCCCCCCCCCCCCCTCTCTCTATATGTGTGTGTGTATGTATGTGTGTGTGTGTGTGTGTGTATATATATATCTCAGAATGGTGATGCTCTTTGGCTATCTCCCAGTATTACCATGTCCTCCTTTTACAGAAACCTGGGGCTCAGTCCTGTCGCCTGGCTGCCTGGCACAGTGCCTCAGCCTTGGAGGGAGAAGCGGAATCTCGTCCGCCTCCACCTAATCACAGAGAACAGAGGCTGGGACATGCCCAAGGTCGCGGCAAGCAGTCAGCAGGAACCCTCGCTCCCTGCCCAGGACCACTCTCTTGCCCAGTTAGGGCAGGGGCCATCCCTCCATGTCTCCAGGGCCTTTTCCTCCCAGAGTGGAAACTTCCAGAGTCCCTCTGACCTCCGGGGAGGGTGAAAGGGGCAGGAATTCCTGCCATGGTACACAAACCTGGAGCCTGGGGCCGGAAGCTGGAATCCCGGGGTTCACCGAGACTGCTCCTCCGGCCCTGCTGTGCCCCACCCCTCCCCCGGGGACCTGCCGGACAGGTGCCCTCTCCCCGTCCCCATTAATCCACCAGCGACAGGGGCCTGGAAGGCAGCTCGGCCAGGGGAGCAGGCACAGGCCTCAGAACTCAGGTGGTCAGAGTACAGCCCCCTGCCCCCTGCTCTTCCAACTGTCCAAAAGCCGCCCACCCTTCCTTTCTAGTGAAATGCACAGCACAGCTGCCTCCCGCCTCCTCAGTCACCAGCAGCCCCGAGCAGGGCCCGCCCAGCAGTGAGGCCGGAGGGAGCCCGCAGCCCGGAGCGGCCCTCAGAGAGGCCTTGCTGCTCTGCTGACCGCGAGCAAGTTCACAGAACGTCAGCCTCAGACGAGGCCGCTCTGGGGCCCTGACGGTCAAGGCTACGCGGCAGCCTGGCCCAGCACAGGCAGCAGGAGCGTGGTCACAGCCACCGCAGGGAGCGCCCATCCCCGTCCTGGCGGGACGAGCCGCTGCTCCCATGCCATTTACAGCTCAGCTTCGGCTCGTGCTCTCGTGCTGGACCTCCCCTCCGCGAGGAGCTGCATCACAGAACTCGCCTGCTTCAGGGCGGTACCCAATCCGAGCAGAGCCCCACTCCCTCACCCCGTCACCTCCACCAGCCCAACCCCACACGTCCTTCCCCTCTTCCCCTCCCTCCTACAGAGACGCCCCCGGTGTTCTCCCTGCACTGAGTCTCCACCCACCCACCTAGCAGCCACTGGAGAGCTCGTGGTGGGCTCCTGCAGGCATCGGCAGCCGGTTCCGTCAGACACCCCCACCGCCGAACCCCTGCCAAGCTCAGAGACAGGGGCCCACACCCCCTGTGCACACCAGGAAACAGGTCCACAAGGCAGCCGGCCCTGCCCGCCGTCACAGAGGCGGGTGCCAATGCAGCTTATCATCCAGATGGATGAGAGCGAAAGCGCCCCTCTGGTAACTACGCTGAATCACAGGACTGTCCTGGGAAGACGGGGCACGGGGTCTCCCCATCGCACAGCAAGGTGGTGGGGGAGCCGGGACTGCAGCCCAGACCAAGCCTCGCCATCTCCCTCCGCTGCTCCAAGCCCTCGGGCAATAGGATGGGGCTGTCGTCTCTCTGCTGGTCGCCTCGCTGGAGAGGCTCTGGTCTCTGGAAAGGCCTGGGGACGCCCCTCACGGCGACTCAGGGCCACGGGGACCACGGGAACCCCACAGCACCCAGCGTCCCCCTGCCGCCCGCTGTGCTGGCGTGCACTTTCCAGAGGGCGCCCACGGTGCCCTCTGGGCACCATGCCTCAGCGGCCCTGGCCGGAGGGGAGCAGGTGGCTTTACATGAAAGAATGTGCAGGTGAAGGACAGTGACCCTTCTGAACGGTGCAAGCGGTTTTATTTCAGCCGTCCGTCCGTGCCAGCTGTTTCTGAGGCGGCTCACCCGCCCCAGCTCCGTAAACAGAGCACAGAACACACACTCCACCTCGACAGCTGGGGGGAGAGGAGGTGTTGAGGGAGGCTGAGGAGGCTGTGCCCTTCTGACCCAGCACAGAGGGCATCCCTTTCCCACTGTGGGTCCCCAGCCCGGACACAGAGGCCAGGCCAGGAGGGGGTCTCCCGGTCCAGGAGGCCCGAGGGCAAGCTCTTCATCCGTGGGCCTGGTTTGAGGTAGTGCCACTGCCCCTTCCCCTGAAGCATCTGCCAGGTCCCTGTGCGGGCACTGAGGGGCGTGGCCGAGCTGAGTGCACGGATGGCATTGCTCTGTGCCATGCTGCTGCTGGGATACAGGGGCGTCGCCCGGGGCTGCTGACGCAGACTCAATAGTCCCAAGTCCCCCCGCTGCCTCTGTTGTGCCAGTGTTTCCTCCGCCCCCACCTCAGCCCCTGCTCTGCACTCTGCCCCTAACTTATGAGAAACCAAGCTCACCAGATGGTGAGTCCTCTGAGGGCAAGAACTGCTATCAGTTCATGTCTCTTCCTCCCTAAAGATCCTGGCGGAGTGTCTGGCACAGAGTGGATGCTCAGTCAACGCCACCTGCATCACATTGAATGAAGCCAGGACGTTTCCTGTCAACCCACAGCCCTAAACCAATGCCCGTGTGTTCTGCAGGGCGCGGGGCTGTTCAGGGGCTCTGAGCCTGGCTCTGGGACTCCGATGAGGCCATTGGAAGTGTGAGTGCCAGGGCGTCAAGGGCAGGAGCTAAGCGTTGGGAGAAGTCGGGGAGAGGAGGTTCTATGCAAACACTTCCTGGGCTCTGGTCAGTTCCACCTGGCTCAGGGGGTACAACGTGAGGAGAGCAAGGGCGCTGGCCTCTGCAGTCATGGCCCAGGGGCAAGCATGCACGAGGGAGCCAGGATGACGTTGTCCCCAGAGGGGTGACAGCAGGAAAGGCTTTCAGAACAGGGACATCTGTGCGAGGGTTTGAATATAAATTTGCTCGGCAGACGAGGGATCAAAGGGCTTCCTGGCAGAGAGGTGGCATGGGAGGGCATGGGTAGCAGCGCACATGTGTGCACGTGTGTGTGTGCATATGTGTGTGTGTGTGTGTGTGTGTGGTAGGACACGTGTTGGGGTTGAGGAGCAGAGGATGTGGCGTGGGCTGGAGGGGGAGTAAGTTGGGAGGTCAGCAGAGGCAGTCATGGAAGGTTTTGGATCCCATAGAACAGGAGCCACAGGAGGGACGTGGGTGGGGGACGCCCAGTTAGCCCTGGGTGAAGGCAGATCACCCGGCACACCCGGCAGACTACAAGGCTCCGCAGGAACGGCCGCCCTGAGAGGCCTTCTCAGGGACCAGAGAGCCAGCGGAGCCCCAGGAGGCGCCTGTTCAGAGGCAGCTCTGGGGGGAGGCGGAGAAGGCTCCGGAGGCCCAGCTGCTGCAGATCTAACTGAGCCACATTCCCCCTTCACAGCTCTACCCCCCGAAATAACGATGGCGTGGCCGTGATCCACGGAAATAACCGCCCCTTCCCTGCGTGTTTCTCCACAGCGCTCCGGGGGCTCCAGGACCCACCGTCTCTCGGACACTCCAGACAACCCCGAGGCTCTGGGAAATCACACAGGGCTGGTGGCTGTGCCAGGCTCGCACCCGGGGGCAGTTCCATCGAAGCCCTGGGCTTCGGGCTCAAAGCCCAGTTCCTTGTCCGGGAGGGGGTCCCCGGGGCTGTCGGGCAGCCCGTAGTACAAGTCCTCCTCCTCCTGCTCCGGCTCCTCTGCGCCTGTGTCGGAAGCCTCGTCCTCCTCTCCCGTCCGCGGGGACCGCGGCCCGCAGCTGGGGAGGGCCGCGTCCCACCACTGTCCCGCTGGCGGTGCGTCCTCCGACGCGGGGGCATCGATCAGAGCGAAGTCGTGGAAGCGGTCCAGCTGGCACCTGCAGGCCCAGGGCTCCCCCGGCGGGGGGCCAGGCTCCTCCCCCTCCGGCGGAGACGGGTTGGGGCTGCTGCCCTCACTGGAGCCCATGCCCATTTCCTCCTGGAAGGAAGCCAGAGGTGCAGGACCCCGGGGTGGGGCTGGGGAGCTGCAGGGACAAAGCCAGAGAGAGCTCGGGTGGCTTGAGTCAGATTGCCTGGGTCTAAGCCTCCGCCTTTGGCTGCAAGGCCAGGGCAGGCGAGCCCAGCTGTCTGGGCCTCAGTTTCCTCCCCTGGAAGCTGAAAGAAATAAGAATATCTGCTCCTCTGGAATCTCTGAGGTTTACAGCAGACCCTGTGTTCAAAGCACTTTGCACAAGGCCTGGCACCCAGTAGGTGCTCAAGAAACGAGCCCTTATCGCGTTATTATCCAAACCAGGCCATTCCTCCACTCCCCAATCTCTCAGCCTTCTCCTCTGGGCCCTCAGCCCCCAGCTCACGGGGTGTCACCTTCTGCTCCCTCATCGCCTCCCCCACTGGACTGGGGGCTCCTGCAGGGTGGGGGCCATCGGGCCCGGCAGGGAGCAGGTGCCCAGGAACAGTGGTAGGATGAGTAAATACATGGATAAATAAGGAACCCAATTCATAAACATCCCTGGACGGGGCGGGGTGAGGAGTGACCTGCCTGAGGTCACAAGCCCATCAGGGGCAGGGTCTGGATTTGAACTCAGGTCCTCTGGCTCCATGCCTCCCGCCCCCCGCCACACATGACAGGCATTCAGGCAGTGCAGAGGTCTATGGTATGTGACCCTTACATGCACTGTTCCATCTCCACAACACCCCTCAGAGGTGGGAGGGATGGTTCCCATGTGGGGAAACTGAGGCTCAGGACGGTGAGGGACTTGCCCAGGTTACACAGCAGTGCTGCTAGGATTTGAACCCGGACCCGTCTAAGCCCCGATTCATGCATCTGCTACACCTGCCGCCCTCTGCCTGCCCCCACCCAACCAGCCCTCATGGCCCACATCCCTCCTCCTTCACCCCAGAGTGGCAGCATCCCGCTCCTGCCCTCGGCACACGCACCTGGGACCGCTCTGCGTTGGGTTTCTTGCTCCCTCGTCCTCATCCGAGCCCCTGTGGACCACCACGGCAGCCTCCATCCGGGCCTGGGCATCACGAGGGCCATCTTCCCCGCTGTCCCCAGCTCGCAGCTGCGGCCGCCCCCGCTCAGGGGCCAGCAGGGGGCGGGGGTCCTCGCTGTAGCCCAGGACCTTCATCCGGATGTGGCTGAAGTCGGGCAGGCTCTGGTCATAGGCGGCGTCCTCCCACAGCCGGACGTAGGGGGGCTGGGTGCTAGTTGGGGGCACGGCAGACGGCAGGAGAGAGTACAGGCAGGTGGGCAAGGATTCATTCGGCAGAGAGTGCTGTCCCCTGGTCCACCTGCTCTGGCCGCCGGGTCCTCCCTGCTCTCCAGGAGGCCTCAGCGTCATCATGGACCTAGCTCACGGGTGGGGAGTCTGAGGCCCAGCGAGGCAGGGTAGGTGGCAGGGCTCAGCCCCTCAGCTCGTGTTCCCTTCGCTCCGAGTCTCCAAAGTTAACTAACCCCAGGGAGCAACCACAAAAGGAAGACCAGGCTGCTGGGCTGAGTTGGCTGGGTTCAACAGGCTATGCTACGACCTCACTGGAAAAGTGAGAATGATTATTCTGAACACCTTTACGCGGAATAATCATCCTCATTTTCCCAACGAGGACATGGCAGCAGTAATTAGACGCTCTTTGCCTGCGGGGCTCTGTCAGGCAGCTCATCCAATCCTCTCCCTCACTCTGGAAGGTACTGAGGGAAACTGAGGCACGAGACTGGCAGGCTTGGTGCTGGGGCTCAGACATCACGTTTCCTACTGCTCCCTCCAGTCCCGACAGAAAGTGAGGTGCAGGGACTAGGTCCCCTGCAGGGTCCCGCAGCTGGGAAGTGACGGGAGGAGCCCGGGACTCAGGGCAGCTCAAGCCTGGGCTGTCACAGCTGCCCTCCCCACGCAGTCCTGAGGCTGGCCCCCATGCCCATCCAGGGCCTGTCATCTCATTCCCCAGGACAACCGGTCGCTCTGTGCCAGGAACATAGAATGCCATCAGGACTTCCTTCCCCCAGCCAAGCAGAGAGCGTTCAAGAGCCCAGCCGGACCCTGGACCTGCACCAGGCCCCCTGAGTGACAGCCCCCGGGGGCCGGGAGGGGGCGGCCGGTCCCGCCTCTCCCAGGCTGGCCTGCTCCCTGCCGTGTCCTGCTGAGCCACGGTGTGCCGCCTTCAGACACAAAAGCAGGTCTCCCCGTGGGTTTGAGGCTTGTGCTTACACTTCCTGAGCCTCGGTTTCCACATCTGGATAAAAGGCGCGCCTCCCCTCCACGCCCCATCACAGGGTCTCTGGGAGGACGGAAGGAGGGAACGGGGACACATGTCTGATTCGGCCTGCGATGCGAAGGAAGCTCTTTTTACGAATGATGGCGACCACTTCTTAGGGGCCTGCCCTGCACCAGGTGCTGTTCTTAGCACTTTGCTTACATTATTCTCTCACTGAACCCCCAGGAAGAAGGTGCCATAGATTAGTGTCCCCATTTTACAGAGGGGGCAACGGGAGGCACGCCCCTGTCCCGAAGTCACACAGCAGACGGCGGCGGGGCCCTGGGCTGTGCCGGGCCATCCTCACGCCCCTGATTTACGGTAGCCGTCATCACAGCTCTTTGGGATTTAGGGTCAAACCTGACTTTGATCTTGGTCTTCCACCAGTTCATGGAAAGACAGGATAAAGCCCTGGCCCTCGGTTTTCTCACCGAAGTGATAATGCTTGCCTCACGGTATTGAGAGTTCAGAACAATCCATGACTTCTAACAGTACGCGCGCTCTCTCTCTCTCTCTCTCTCTCTCTCTCTCTCTCTCTATATATATATATATATATATATATATATATATATATATATATATATATATATATAATTGAATTTTTACAGAGAGGAAGGGAGAGGGATAGAGAGCTAGAAACGTCAACGACCAGCTGCCTCCTGCACACCTCCTACCGGGGATGTGCTAGCAACCAAGGTACATGCCCTTGACCGGAATCGAACCTGGGACCTTTCAGTCCACAGGCCGACGCTCTATCACTGAGCCAAACCAGTTTCGGCAACAGTCCGCTCTTAGTAGGGTGGGAAGGCCTGGCCAGAGCCTGGAGTAAGAGAGGGAGACACTGTCTACCCTCCACCCCACTCCCTCACTCTCCTCTGTAAGGGGAGGCTTGGCCACTGCCTCACTCGGGGGGTCACGGCTCCTCCCGCCCCCCTCCCAAGCACAGAGGGCCCAGCACCTACCTCTTCTCAGCAGTGAGTCCGTTCTCCAGCAAGCCCGGCGGCTTAGGGGACAGGACTCCTTGGAATTCAGAGTCGGCAGGGACAAAGGAGATCTGCAGGCCAAGGGGAGACGGCTTCTCTGCAGCTGCCCGCATACGCCCTTGGCCGCCGCTCCCCCAGAGCTCGACCTAACCTGCCCCCATGCCCAGGGAGAGAGGCCCACCGGGGAGGGCTTCCCCTGTCCACAGGAGAGGGGTCTGCGCAGGGCCAGCACCACTGGGTGGATGGAACCCTGGGCTCCGGCTCCCGCCTGGCTCTACCTTCAGCCAACAAGCATGTATTGAGCACCTGCTGTGTGCCAAGCACTCCTGTAGGCCCGAGGGGTCGGCAGGGAGTGAGTGGGACAAACGACCCTGCCCCAGACTTGCTCACATCTTGTCATTTACCAAGTCCTCACCCAGTTCCCAGAATGTGCCTGGCTCTTGGCCCATATCTGGCAAATGAGTGGAACATGGTTCTTGACACAAGAGGCTGTGATGGGGGACAAAGGACCGGGGCTGTGCCCACCAGTCCCTGTCCCTGTCCCTGAACTTTCAGGGACCAAGAGGTCTCTGCACCCATGGGGTGGCGGAGGGGAGTAGGTCATGAAGAGGGCAGTGGAATGAGGCAGAAGGAGCCTGCCTTTGGGGACACTGGGTGAGAATCCTCCCTGTCTTCCTCTGTAAAGCGGAGGCTAGCCTTGAAGAGCTATTTGCTGTATTCTTCATAGTAGTCAGGACGCGAAAGCAATCTAAGGGTCCCTCCTACACAGATGAATGGATAAATGAAATGTGGCCAGCCTCAAGAAGGAATGAAGTCCTGGATAAAACACGAAGAAATAAGCCAATCACAAAAAAAGATAAGTTCTGTGTGACTCCACGTGTATGAGGCATCTGGAGTAGTCAGAGTCACAGAGACAGAGAGTAGAAGGGTGGTGGCTGCCGACGGGCAGGCGGGGGACCAGGCGTTATTGTTTACGGGGTGAGGAGAAGTTGTGTAAGACGAAGAGTTCTGGGGAGCTAATGCACAACAATGTAGATGCAATTAACACTTAACATGGTTAAGATGGTAAATTTTATGTTGTGTATTTCATCACAGTTTTAAAAAGTAAGACTAGCAATGCTTGTCTCCTGGAGGTTGCTGTGAGGATTCTTTGAGATAATACATAAGGAACCCCCAGCACAATGCCTGGCACATAGTAGCTGCTCAGTAAGTAATAGTTGGATGCAACTGAAGGTGAAGTTACCTTCTGAGTCTTGCTCTCCTCAACTGAAAATTTTTTTCAACAGATATTTGATGAGACCCTCTGTGTTGTACCAGGTTCATAAATAGCAGCACCCCTTTCCCTTTCCATAGAGTGCAGGGAGTAAGAGACACTTGTCTGCATCAGAAAGGCTCCCTCCTACTGGGGAGACAGAAATGACGGATGGAGGGGTTCTTAGAACTCCTGGCAGGGGTAAGCTTCGCCCGAAATGTCTGGGTATAAGGCAGGGGCCTGGGTATCTCCCACACACACTAAGGATGCCCTGCACTTGTCAGCTGGCTCTGTACTCTGAAGAAGCTGTTCTTTCCTCTGCCTCAATATCTTATGATCCAGTCACCATCTTCCTCCTTATCATCATCACCACCATCGTCACCATCATCATCACCATCACCATTATCATTATCACCATCACCATTATCATCATGACTTTCATTAACATCATCATCATATTATTACCATCACAATCATCACCATCACCCTTACTACCATCATCACTTTCATCAACATCATCATCATATCATCACCTTCATCATCATCATCACCATCATCACCTCCATCACCTCCATCACCATCATCATCATACCATCACCATCATTATCACCATCATTATCACCTTCACCATCATCATCATCATCATCATCATCATCACCACCTTCATTGCCACTGTGAAAAGCCTTAAGGAAAAGGAAAGACTGGAGCATCTTAGAACACAAGTCCTTTTAGGAGAGGGGGACAAGCAGAGCTGAAGCCAGGGAGGGGAGATCAGACCATGAAAAGCCCAGAACAGTAGACTAAGGAGTTCAGTCTTTATCCAGCACCAATGAGAGCCCTGGAGGAGTTCTTAGCCAGAGAGTGCAGATAGGTCTGTGTTTAGACAGAGCCATCCCCAAAAGGAGGGAGCAGAGGAAAGGAGGAGGGCTGATGGAGAGGACAGATCCATCCACCACCAATCAGGGGCCTGGGCCTGGGCTCCAACTGAACAGAGGGGAGAAGGGAGGGGGACCCATGGGCTCAGGCAGAAGCTGGACAGTGAGAGGCACTGCTTTTCTGCCAGTCCCCTCCCCCTGCCTCCCCTTCTCAGCTCCCTGCCCCATCTCAGCTAACACTGCCGCACCTATAGACTTTCCCTGATTTCTCCTCCTCTCTCAACCCTGGCTGAGAAATTCAGTGCCACAGTCCAGCCACGGCAGGTACCATATACATTTGATGAAGTAGAAATGTCTTCTGAGTCCCTAGTCTTGGGTTCCAGCCTCTCCTTGGTCCAGGAGATCATCACCTCTTAGCTGGACCAGAGAAGGAGCCTCCCCATTGGTCTGGCTGCCCCTGGACCTTCCTCCCCCCATGTCAGCCTGGTAACTTCCTCACCTACAAAGCTGATCACGTCCCCTCTTGTTCCATCACCTGAAGGGTAAGGTCCACATTCATTCGCATGGCATCTCGGGCCCTGCAGAGCTGAGCCCCATTTCCTCTGCTCCTTGCCTTCCTCCATCACCCCCCCACCCCCTGTAGCCATGCTGCCTCCCCCCACCCCCCCGCCGCCGCCTTGCTCTTTCTCCTCATGCTGCTCCTTCCGCCTGGAATGTCTTTCCCATCTTCTCTCCTGGTGAACTTCTCTCCTCAGCCCACGAAGCTCAGCTCATCTTCTCTGGCAAGCCCCCTCCCTCCCCATCAGGCAGGAAAGCGTCTTCCCTGTGAGTCTCCAGCCCCTCAGAGAGGAACAGCTGAATTCATGTTGGTATTGGCCAACGCTAGTTCCATATCTTTTTTTTTTTTTAATATATTTTATTGATTTTTTACAGAGAGGAAGGGAGAGAGATAGAGAGCTAGAAATGTTGATGAGAGTGAAACATCGATCAGCTGCCTCTTGCACACCCCCTACCGGGGATGTGCCCGCAACCAAGGTACATGCCCTTGATCCTTGACCGGAATCGAACCTGGGACCTTTCAGTCCACAGACCGACGCTCTACCACTGAGCCAAACCGGTTTTGGCTAGTTCCATATCTTAATTGGCTTATTCCAGTCCCTTATATTTATATTTCTTTCCATCTAGAAATCCCCATTTTTCAGGCAAGGGGGGATCCTGAGGGAGGGTGGGCACCAGCATTTGGTGAGGGTTTTGACAGCTCAGGCACCAAGGAGCCAGTGCTGGAGACAACCCTGCTCCCCCTTAACCCCCCCGACCCCCACCCAGTGTGCCTCTCTGGTTTACATCACACTTCCCTCCCTCCCTTCATGGGCCAGATCTAACACATACACACACACACACACCTGTACACACACAGAGGCCGCCCAATGCCACAAACACCAATCCTGAGAAGAATGCATTGAACCAGCTCTGTGGCAGGTGTGGTGCTGGGTCTCCCACATACAAGACCCCACTGGCCCCTCCCCCTTAGCTCGGGAGGCAGGGAGACTCCCGCCGACAAGGTCACAGAAGTGAGGCCGAAGGAGGGAGGGGGGATTTGAATCTGGGCCTGTTGGACACTAAACCATGTTTCCAACCCCACACTGCTGCCTCTGCAGCTCAGGACCACGTGGACCTATCAACAGTTACTCATTAATACACAGTAAGATTCCCTCTCCCCCTCTCCCTCATCGGCTGCCACCCGGTCCCTGCCCACCATCCCAGAGCCAGCTCTGGTCAAGGGGAGAGGGCAGCAAGGACACTACCCTCTGTGCCCCAGCCGTCCCAGGGTCCTGCTCCTCACGGGGGGGAGGAGGATGGAGCTGGTTATGGAGGCGGCTCGGGCCCCATGTTCCTCTCCTCCCGGTGACCTGTGCTCAGGGCATTGCACAGACAGAGGCGCGTTGACTGTAAACTGCTGGAAAAATGACTGCAAACCAGCCAGGACCGCCCCAACACCAAACACTCTGACAGCCCGCCCGGGGCTGGCCCGTGGAGGGGGCAGGGCTGGGGAGAGCCAGGCCAATCCCCCAGAAGCCTCCTCCCTCCTGCCTCCTCCCCTGGACACCCCCCAGCACAGCCACCCAAGGGGGAGGTGAGGAGGGGACTGAAGGTGGTGGGGGCTGCCCGGGGCCTAAAGCCCTAGATGCCTGACCAGCAGGGCCTTAGATGCATCCCTCCCCCACCCCCATTCCTGACTCGTGTACTGTACAAATGAGGAAACTGAGGCTCCCAGGCAGTGAGAGGCAGAGGCCACGTCAGAACCCAGGCGCCTCTCCTTGTCTCCTTGGGCCTGTCTGGCCAGCTGTGTGACCTTGGAAATGCCGCACAACCTCTCTGAGCACTGAAGGCTTACACCTCCTGACATGCCCCTCCTACAGGGCTGTTGGAGGATCGATAACAGTAAAGGTTGGCAGCCATGCACCTGCATAGAAAGCCCTGCAGTTTACAGAACGTTCCTACATCCCATCTCTTCTCTGTTCATAATAACTCTGGAGCTGGGAGAAATGGGAGTGGGGGGTTGGTGCCCTTCTGCAAATGTAGGAAAATGACAGAGGTCACACAGAGAGTTTGGGACAGAGCGGGAACCAGCACCCGGGACTCCCACGCCAGTGCCCGCCCATCACTAAGTCGCTCACAGGCTGGGAGGGCACCGGAACTGAAGGCCGGGGCTCTGACCAGCCCACGGCGTCGAGGTGGTGCCGGGCCCACGGGCACTCTCAGCAGCCCTGGGCCACAGCGATAGGCCTAACCACACACACCTGGGCTCCAAAGCCTGACCCTCAGCGGTGGGACCGCACCTTCCCCCCTTGGGCTTCCGCGCCATCCAGTGCAGAATGCAGGCCCGCCGGGCCGGTGGCCATCGCTCACTCACTTTGGTTCCCAGCACATGATGGCTGTGTGCTGGGCCTCACTGTCTCCTCAGGGGCCTATTCACGGCTCCAGGTCCAGGGGGGTTTCTGATACATCCTTACGGTAAGAGAGGGATGGATGGAGGGACAGATGACGGATGAGTGGAGAGAAAAGGGAGTGCACAGCGGGTGTACGGAAAGAAGATTGAAAGACGGGCATTATGCCTGGAACAGCGGCTCAGCCGTGCCCTCTGGCCCCAGCGAGCCTGCCCTGCCCCCACCGCTGCCTACCTTGGGGTAGCACTGGCACATGCTCCAGATGACGCCCCCAATCACCATGACGCTGCCCATGGCGTAGAAGGTGCCGTAGACCTGGGGCCGGTCGTGGCTCATGAGGAAGGTGCCCAGGGCCAGCAGGAAGAGGCCCAGCACGATGAAGCCGATGCGGAAGGTCTTCTCGTCTGCCATGGCCCCCCCGCCGGGCCGCGGGCCGTCCACTGCCCGCCGAGGGGCGCCTGCGATCGATCCTGTGTGGACACCACTCTCCTCGCACCCGGAGGATGAGCCTCGGGGGTGACTGCAAACCCGGACTTAGAGCTGCAGAGGGGGCAGGTCCCTCGGGTCCCGCCGCGGCTCCTGGGCCACACGTTCTCCAGGCGACAGCTACGCTTCAGTGGGCCCGGCACCACCACCACCTTTACGCCGTCACCTTCCCTCTGGGCCCAGCTGGAGTGTGTGTGTGTGTGTGTGGCTCCGAGGGAGGGAGAAGCCAGGAGGGAGAGGGGTGGTTCCAGGAGCTGGGCCCCGGCCAGGGCTTTGACATCACCTCATTTGCCTGCGTGGGGCTGAGCTGGGTGGACGGGCGGCCCACGCCGTCCAGTCCTGGGAAGGCGGGTCCGGGGCGCGGCACAAACACATCAGAAGGCCGCTGGGAGGCTCACGATCCCACAGGCTGGCACAGCAGAATCCTGAGGCATTCCGGACTCCTCAAGGTCATGTGCCCCTCTGAGGTTCGGGAACAACAGCCCATATTTACAGAGGGTGGCTGTGTGCGTGGCACTGTCCTAAACATGTTATACTAGCACGACACCCATCTAAGGGAACCCCGTGAGGACAGACTTTATGAGGACACCAATGCCCAGACAAGTCACTTGCCAAGGTGACACAGCTAGAAAAGGCACAGCAGCCGGGATGTGGGCCCAGAGGCCATGCCCCTAGCCACCCTGGATACTCCCTAACTGTAGCAGGAAGGTTGAAAGTTCAGGATCCTTGCCCTGGCAGTTTTGACTAAGTAGATAGAGCGTCAGCCTGCGGACTGAAGGATCCCAGGTTCGATTCCAGTCATGGTTGTGGGCACATCCCCTGTAGGGGGTGTGCAAGAGGCAGCTGATAGATGTTTCTCTCTCAGTGATATTTCTAACTTTCTATCCCTCTCCCTTTCTCTCTGTAAAAAAATCAATTATATATATATATATATATATATATTTTTTTTTTTTTTTTTTTTTTTTAAAGGCACATTGCCTGGGCTTGGGATTCAGGGTCCTCTACCCTGGGGCAGTGTGACTTTGATCAAGTTACTTCCATGTGCCTCAGTTTTCCTCCTCTGTAAAATGGGGATAGTGACAGCATCTCCCAGGACAGGGCTGTCTGCCAGCCTGGCCTCCCTGGGCTCCTCTGTGAGCTGCTCCCAGAAAGGCTCCCTGAGGGTGGGAATGGCTGACAGCAACCCCCTTGCCTTCCAATCTAGGAAGAGGCCTTCTTCTAAGAAGGACATTGTAATGGTGGAATTCCAGTTCTGGAGATTGGCTGACGGGAGCATGAGGATTATAAGAAGACGTCTCTAGAAGAAAACGTTAGCTTGTCATTTGTACAGCGTGTGGGTGCTAATGTGGGATCGTTGCTTCTCTTTGGCGCCATGACTTAGTAGGCTGGAGATTTTCCCGTTTGCTGTCATCACCATCCCCCTCTCCCCAATAAGAGCCATGCTTCCAGACGCCGCACCCACAGTCACACCAGACCCTCTGCCCGCTTTTCTGCCCACACACACCGTTTCCAGCAGCGGCTTCTCTTTCATGGGCTCTGAGATCCCAGCGGGTTTGCAGTGAGGGCCCCCGGCCCAGTGGAGGCCCCTGTCACAGAGCTCAGGACAGCCTCCTGGTGAAAGGTGCCGAGGGTCTCAGAGAAGGGCTGAGCGTCACCAGGTCAAGTCCAAAGATGGTGGTTCCACTTTGCATTTAGTTTTTTATTTAATATTTTTTTATTATTGATTTTTCACAGAGAGGAAGGGAGAGAGCTAGAGAGCTAGAAACGTCAATGAGAGAGAAACATCGACCAGCTGCCTCTTGCATACCCCCTACCGGGGATGTGCCCGCAACCAACGTACATGCCCTTGACTGGAATCGAACCTGGGACCTTTCAGTCCGCAGGCCGACGTTCTATCCACTGAGCCAAACCGGTTTCGTCGGATTTAGTTTTTTAAATATCTGTTTTTATTGATTTTTAGAAAGAGGAGAGGGAGAGGAATAGAGAGACAGAAATATCATTGACTGGTTGTCTCCTGCACGTGCCATACTGGGGGTTGAGTCTGAAACCCAGGTATGTTTCCTGACCGGAACTGAACTAAATGACTTCTTGGTTCATGGGTCAGTGCTCAACCACTGAGCAACACTAGCCTGGCTTGGCTTTAGTTTTGCCACCTGAGTGAGGACTGAGGGTGGTATCAGGGCCCCCTCCCTGGTATTGTGCAGGACTTACTAGAGGAGAAAATGCTTTGAAATCTGTGCTTATCAGAAGGGCAGGAGCCCCCAAAGAAACACTATTGTCATGGTCTTACAGAGAGGACCATGGATGGGAAGCAGCGCCTGCCCCAGGTCCAGAGGGCCCAGCCTGAGCTCTCTGGCCCTGGGGAGGGAACAGATCTCTGTGGTCCCTGTCCAGCGGGAGCCTCTCGCGCCCCCTTGTGGCGGTGTAGCATGCGCTCGGCAAGGCACTTGCACACCCTTTGGGTCATGCCCCTGTCCTTGCGCCCGCTGGGTGGAGGGGAGCAAGAGGCCGGGGAAAAGAGGGACTGGCCAAGATCTCCCCAAACTGAGACTGTGGCTGAGCAGGGACTGGGACCCACACCCCCAAACCCAATATAGATGGATCCGGCCTTGACCATTCCTGAGGCCCCTCAGTCACCAGAGCACTCTCCTCCTCTCCCCACTTCTCCTTTCCTCTCTATGACCCAGCTTCTTTTCTCCTTTTTATCTCCTCTTTTAAAACAATTTAAATGTGAGGAGTAAGAAGCTCTGGGCCAAGGAGGCGCTCAGCTAAATGGGTCTCCGCAGAGCCGATAACAGGTGTGCCTGGTGCTCTGACCCTGCTGGATTACCTACCCCTGGTTCCCATCCCCCTTCCTGAGGCCTCTGACCTTCACCTCCCTCCCCTGCAAAGTGAGGGAGCAGAGGTTGGGGAGTCTGTCCTCTTCCAGCAGGGGGCGCGCTAACAACTGTTTTCCTGCTGTCTGTGGAATTTAAGATCCTCACAATAGCCTCAGACGCAGGGAGGGGAAAGATCACACCCATTTGACAGATGCGGATACTGAGGTTCAGGGAGGCAAGGTGAGCGCCTCAAGGACTCAGAACCTGTCGATAGTAGAGCCAGGATTCGAACCAATCCCCTCAGTCTCTTGCCGAGCCTCTGCTATGTGCAGGACACTCGGAGGCATGAGGCCCTCGGATACACATGGGATTTCAGAGAGGGATGTCACTCGGTCCTTCCTTCTGGGATAAAATATGGTCCAACCTGTGCACCTAGCGGGGGCGGGGGGGGGGGGGGAGAGATTGGGGTGAGGAATGGAAAGTCACGAAGGGATCCTTGAGGAGCCAGTTGGAGTTCTGTCAGGCCAATCAAAGCAGTTCAGCCAGAGACCGGCATGTACAAAAGCCCATAGCGAGCGAGCACTGACCAGGGCTGGAGATGCAACTCTAAATGCTGTGCACACACCTGCCCCTGCACTGCAGGCTCCGCCCCTCCCTCCCCAGACCTACTCCTCCCAGGTCAACTCCATCCTTCTAGTTCTCCGTGCCAGTGCCTGCATACCCTGGCTCTATCCTCCCCTCCCCTCTCACACCTACATCACTTCTCTCCCCCACTCCTGCTCATCAGCGTGGTCTGAGCCCTCGCATCGCTGTCCCCCTAAGTGCTCTCTGCTTTTACCCTTGCCCCCTAACTCTCTTTCCAACCCAAATGCCAGATCAACTTTGTCACTCTTGCCCAGAACCCTGGAATGACTTTCTGTCTTACCAAAGCCGAAGACCTTCAAATGGCCTAGAGGAGCTTAGACAACTGGCCCATGTCACCCACCCCTCACCCCTCTGAACTCACCTTCTGCCATGCCTCCCCTCCCTCCCTCCCTCCCGCCACCCTGGCTCCGTGCTCCCTGTGGAACACACAGGCACCCTAGAAAAGGTAAACTGCGTTTGGTTCCTGCTGCCTGCAATGCTTTTCCTCCAGATATGTGACAGCCCCCTCCCTCATCTCCTTCAAGTCTTTATCCAAATGTTAGCTTTCCGGTGAGGTCCTCCCTGGGGTGATATCACCACTTCCCCCTGGTGCTCCCTGTCCTCCCCAGCTGTCCTGTTCTCTGTAGTACCCTTTGCCATCATACATGCTCTATACATGGTTTATTTATCTTGTCTCTTGTCTGTCTTCTCAACTAGAACCGGAGTGCCCCGGAGGGGACTGTGTTCATTGCAGCGTCCTCAGGGGCTGGAGCAGGGCAGGCTCTGGATTGGCGTTGGGGAATGGAGGGTGGTGTCAGTTCCGGAGGAGAGGGCTGCTGGAGAGGATGCACAGGCTGGAACCTCCTGGGGTCATGCTAAGGTTTCCAATGTCTTTCTCAGGAGTCAACAGAGAGCCTCTAAATGGGTGTGCAGCGGAATGACAGATCGGATTTTAATTTTACGACCGTCCTCTGGTTTTGAGGTCAGGTCAGAAGCAAGAAGAGACGGTGGCAGTGAGGGGCGATTGCCAGGCTCCAGCAGAACCCCAGGGTGACAGGCCCACAGGGAACGGTGTTTAGAATTGGTTGCTGGGGAGGAAGGGGAGCTGTGGAAACGTACAGCTGGGAAATTTTTGACTGCTTTGGGGTGCAGAGCTGCAGGGGTCAGGCTTCCCGGCCAACTGGAAGGATAAGCTGAGGGAAAGTGGGGGGCAGGCCTAAGCTCGGAGGGGACATCCCAGCCTGGTGGCAGGCACCAGATGTGGCCTCTGAGAGGTGAAGACGCCAACAGCCGGGCCCGGGAAGAAAGAAACCAGGAAGCAAGCCGGTGCCTACCGGGGGCTGAGGAATGGCAGACCCGGCCTCACATGGCTTCTGCACCCCATGCCCTGCCTGCCAGGGGGCACAAGGGTCCCCAGTTCACAGCGAGGCCACTGCAGCTCGGAAGGGTCGGTTGGTCGGGTGGCTTGCCTGACAGGAGACTGGCTCCATGGCTCTGACTCCTCCTCCAAGGTGCTGGTGACCTTGAGCAAGTCACTGCCCCCGGCTGGGGCCTCTCACAGATCAGTTGATACAGAGAGAAAAGCAGAAAAGGGTTTCCAGTCTTCCAGCCCACCCAGCCCTCCAGCTCCCACAAGGCAAAGGAGGTGCCTCCTGGCCAACCTGCAACTCATTAACTCACCCGCCTGGGGGAGAGGCCTCGCTTGGAGGTAGGAGGTGGGCTGGGCTCTGCTTCCCAGCTGGGAGCCCATTAACTCTTTAGGAATTTCAGGGTGAGAGGGGGTGAGGGGGGATCAATCCCCACCCACATCCTCAGGATGCTTATGGTGTGTGTGTGTGTGTGTGTGTGTGTGTGTGTGAGAGAGAGAGAGAGAGAGAGAGAGAGAGAGAGAGAGAGAGAGAGAGAGAGAGAGAGAGAAAGAGAGAGAGAGAGAGCGCGCGCTCAAGCTCTGGCTTTGCCTTTATTCTCTGTGACTTTCCTCCCTGAGGCTCAGTCTCCAGGCCTGTTAGATGGGAACCCCACCTGCAGCAGAGCAGGCTTGAGGATGTAAAACCAGGGCAGAGGGCGGCCCAGCATACAGTATGCCCTCGGTGAATGTCCAGCTGAGCCCCAGGGCTCTGAGTCCCTGCTTGCTGCTTGACCCCGGAAAGGTTACTTAACCTCTCTAAGCAGGTTTGCTCCTCTGAGAATGGGCTGGTACAGAGATGTAGGGATGGATAATGTAGCTGGACAGGAGGAGAGCAGGAGAGGGAACCGGTTCCCTTCCCGGGAGATATGGGAGCAGAAGCTGAATGTGCCCCTGCTGGAGGGGGTGGGGCTTACCTCTGTGAACAACTCTGACAATCAGCATGGACTCCATGCACACTGCCCCTGGGCTGAGAAAGCCCTGAGCTGCAGCCTCAATGTCAGCAGCTGTCATCTCATTTAATCTCCTTAGCTGAGCTCTCTGAGGCAGAAGGTGATGCCACTGTAATTCCCAATTCCCATTTTAAGGGTGAGCACACTGAGGCAGAAAGAGGAACAGTCACGTGTCTAAGGTCACCATGGTAGAACCAGCACAGTGTTCTGAATGCAGAGTCCACATCCTTCTGGTTATGAGCTCAGTGTGACCTTGGCCAGTCCTGGCTCTGCCTCAGGGCCCCCCTTTTCTCATCCACACAACAAACTGTCCCCCCAGCTCTCCCTGCCAGCGGGAGGCGGGCCCCCGGGAAGGCAGCCCCACACCCATCGCCTGGAGCAGAAGAACCACCCGCCCGGCCCAGGCAGCCCACAGAGCCTGGAGAGATGAGAAAATGGATTCGCTCTAAGCACTTGTTACACAGCAACAGAATAAAACAGCCCTGAGAGCCCAGTGCCCGCGGAGGGCCTGCTGTGAGCCAGGCCCCGCGGCAGGCACTGCGAGAAGCTCATGCACTGTCTCTGGACTCAGGGCCTGTGAGGGGCCTTTCCTGTCCTCTCACTGTGGCCTGGACCAGCTGGCATTGTCTCTCCGGGGACAGCAGCAGCGGCGGGGATGACACTCTCGTAGCTGGGCGGAGGCGAGGCAGGCGGGCCCCCAAGCAGGGCAGCCTCCGAGGCGCTGCACAGCGGGTCTTCCTCTGTGGGGTACGCAGGTGGTGCCGGGGGCCCCTCCACCAGCGGGCAGCGCACGGCCTCCTCATAAGTGGGGATGGGCACCAGCTCTGGGGTCCTAGAGGGACAGGAGAACAGAGGCTGTTAGCAGGGCCAGGGGAAACCCACCGCGTGTCAGGGAGAGAGAAGGAGGGCCCTGCCTTAGCCAAACTCTTTGCGGGTCCCCCAGAACCCCATATACACACTTGGAGCTTAGCATGAGCTTCCCTGCCAACCTCAGCTGTCCGTCCCACCCACCCTGCCCTCCCCCACGTGCTCACAGGCCTCCTCGTCTCTCTCTGTAGAGAGAGTCTGCACTCGCCTCATCCTATCCTGTTGCTCGTCCCCACTTGTCCCCTAAGACTCCCTTGGAAAGCTTTCCTGGCTGCCAGCTCCCCCAGCAAAGCTCCCAGAATGCTCTGGGCTCCCACCGTGCTCTCCTGCCACACAGACCCCACCTGGTTGTCCTGCAGGGACTGACGTTGAGGGTCATGGAGCTGAGGGCAGATGCTGGGGTTGAGCGGGGGTGTTTGTTGAAAGACTGAATGATGGTGCACAGACAGAAGGGCCCCCGGCTTACTGTCATACCTCTTTTTTAAAACACATTTTTATTGATTTCAGAGAGGAAGGGAGAGAAAGAGAGACAGACACATCAATGACGAGAGAGAATTATTGATCGGCTGCCTCCTGCATGCCCCCTACTGATCAAGCCCCACAACCTGGGCATATGTCCTGACTGGGAATCAAACCAGTGACTTCTTGGTTTCTGGGTCGCCGCTCAACCACTGAGCCACGCCCCATTGGGCTGTCATCTCTCTCACAAGAGCCAGAGCCATAGACACTCCGAGCAGGATGGGAGACCTCAGCTCTCCTGCCCATCTGGATGCCGGAGGCCCTGATGTGGTCCGTCCACCAAGGGTGTACCTCTGTTTGTCTGCCCCGGGCATACAGTCAGCCACGCCTGTCTCTGAGCAGCCTGGCTTTCTGAGACTGGCCTCCGGCTCCCAGAAATGAGCCACCGGGCAGGGACGTGAGGCACGAACCAGGTCCCGAGGCTCCTCCATCCAGGCTCTCAGGGGGTCATCTGTGGGGAGTCCCTTTCCCTCCCCCCCCCCTTAGGGCTCTGTGGGGCAGAAGTGTCACTGACCTGAGGCCTGCTTCTGCTCTGGGGGCAATACTGTCAGACACAGGGGTTCCCTAAGTGATCCTGGAAGTCCCTTCTCACCGCAGTCACTCGAGGCCTGGTTGCGAGTCTGCGCACTGGCTGGTTCAACTTCCTGTTCTGCCACACTCCTGGTGGGCGACCAGGCTCAGGAACTCCGTTAATCTGAGCCTCAGTTTCCCCTCTGTGAATGGGGTCAATGACGGCCCCTCCCCCACAGAACTGTGTGCGGGTTAAATGAGATAATCAGGGCTGCTCAGCACACGCTCTGTAAATGGCCACCAGCCACCAAGTCTCAAAGGGGCGTGGGGAGCAAAGCTCACCCCAGATCTCCCGCAGGAAGCCTGTCCCTCACCCAGGGTCACCAGTTTGCAGCTGGTGGGGAGGAGCACTGGGTGGGGAATCCCAGCTTTGGCTCCTGGCTGGTGCCCTCCATCACACTGCCTGCTCCATAGCCTGTCTGTGGCTGGAGCAGCAAGCCTGCCTCCCAGTGGGCCGCTCTGAGGGCTGCGCTGGGTCACCAGTTTGCAGCTGGTGGAGTGGCGACAGCAGAGGCTGGCCCAGAGAACAGAGAGGAAGTGGGGGGGACCAGGGGTTAGGAGGTGCCAAGGTGGGACTTGCCGACGCCCCTCATGTGAGCACCCATCATCCTCTGGGGCCATGGCTTGTCTCTGGCAACCTGTCTTCTCCGCCCAAGCCCAACGCAGCCCTCAGAGCAGGGGCAGGCTTGCTGCTCCAGCCACAGAGCAGGCAGTGTGATGGAGGGCACCAGCCAGGAGCCAAAGCTGAGATTCCCCACTCAGTGCTCCTCCAAACTTCTCTCCCAGGCCCTCCTCCTCTGAGCCAGCCCAGGAGCCTGGCAGCCAAGGAAGCTAATAAGAGACCTCATCCTACTCTGCACTCCCAGCATCCTTTGCAGGGGAGGGCAGGCGAAGATCATTGCTCCTGGAGGCAGGCAAACCAGGTTCTATTGCTGTGTGGCCGAGGCTGTGTTCACAACCCTCTCGGAGCCTCTTTCTCCTTGTCGGTAAAATGGGGGTAACGATTGTCATTTTATAGATTCAAGGCAGAGAAAAATGGAAAAAGCTTTGACAACACTCAGAAAAAAAGGAGGCAAGAAGGCTTCCAGCCTCTCCTGCCTTGGTCACTTCTCAGCCACACCTCTGCCGCTCCCCTCTTCTCCGAGCCCTGAAGACGTGACACAGGCATCGGATCTGCGTGGGGCCACCCCAGCAGCTAACCATGGGCAGGGGAGGGCATAGGTGAGGTGAGCCTGCAGCAGGAAGTTTGCTTAGAAGCAGGCTGGAGTGGCCCTCATGTCACCCACTAGGCCAGTTGGGCCCACCCAATGTCAGGTGTCCATGCAGGATGGCCACAGCGCACATGCCGGAGGAGGCTCTGTCCATGGTGCTCCAGGTATGGCACCCTGCAGTGGCACGGGACCAGCTGCCACTATGGTGCCAAGCGCTGGACGCACCACTCTCTGGAGCCCGATTGGGGCCGAAGACCTGGCCTGGCACCAGCTCCCCCGCCCTCAGCTGAGTCAGGCAAACATGGTAGGAAAAGGGGAAGGGACGGGGATGACACACTACCTGCCAGACATGTAAGCCCTCTAATCTATCTCACATTCATGACAACCCTGGGTGGTACAGATAAGTGAAAGCCACACAGCCACCAGGCGGCAAAGCCCCAGCTCTGTCTGGCTGCAAAACTCAGCCAACTCCATCTAGCACACCTCTCCCCACCCGGCGCCTAAATCTCTCCAAACCTCAGCTTTCTCATCTGTAAAATGGGCCTAACCCTTACATGTACCTCATAAGCTGCTCCACTTATGAGCAGTGGAGGCTCAGATCAGTGAGTGGGCATAGAGAGCATCCACTGTCAAACTAGAAAGCATCCTAATGGCAGCAAAAGATAATGTGTGCACGAACTTTAAAGTGTACGCACTTCCCTACCTGTCATCTCATCCGAACCTAACAACAATCCTGGGGAAAGGCTCTGTCACCTGCAGCTGACAGATGAGGAATCAGACACGGCTCAGAGAGCCTAAGTAACATGCCCAAGGACACACAGCTTATCAAAAAAAAAGAGCAGAGACTGAAACCCTCCTGTCTGAATAGGACCATGCGTTTTCTGCTGTGCTGACTGAGGGTGGTGTTCCTGGGGTGCGTCCTGTCTAGCCACCCTATTTAGGGGCTCACACATAAGATGGGAGCCCCTAGAGGGCAGGGGTTTTGTCCAGTGTGGCGTTGTCAAAGGACCCACCACACAGCACTCGGTAAATGTTGTTAATTGTGTGAAAGAACAAGTAAATAAGTAAATGGAGAATGAGGTCCGAGAGAGGGAAAGTCCTGGCTAAGCCATCACCCAGAAGGCCTCTCTCTGGGTTTATCTTCGGAGAGTGAGGTGCCTGGGACAGGAGCAGTAGAGTGACCTCCCCCTGGGGCCAGATGCTGGTCTCCCGGGCGGCAGGGCTGGGCTGGGTCAGCCCCAGGGACAGGACACCAACAGCAGCAGCCTCCCTGACCTCCAGCACCCAATGCTGAATCTAAGATGGGTCTCCAACTCTGGAGCACTCCGCGGCCTCCTGGGAGGGCCTCCTCCCTGGCCCGGCTGGGAGGGAAGGCCGGTGGCCCCACCTACAGCTGTGGCCAGGCCCTGTTGGGTCAACATGGCTGTGTGTACAGACAACACCCACCCCTACACTCAGGCCACCCTGGGCGGGGAGGGCCAGCTCTGGGCCAGGGAGCCCTGAGGCCTGGCCTGGTTCCGGCTGACCACTAACTTGTGGTGTGACCAGTCACCGGTCTCTCTGCAACTGGGTCCTGGCCCACAAAGTGAAGAGTTTGGCTGGAGAGTCCCCAAGCCCCTGCCTTCTAACAGACGGGTCATACCAAGGCCCAGCCATTGGGCTAAGTGGCCTCTGTTGAATACTCCATTGTCTCTGACCTCAAGGATTCACAAGCCAGCAGTGGAATAACCTGTTACATTCCTTAGCTCAGCATGCATCCCCCTCCCTCTTAAAAAAAATATATATTTTTTATTGATTTCAGAGAGAAAGGGAGAGGGAAAGAGAGAGAAAAACATCAATGATGAGAGAGAATCATTGACCGGCTGCCTCCTGCATGCCTCACACTACCGTGTCTCCCCGAAAATAAGACATCCTCCGAAAATAAGACCTCGAGCATGGAAAGATAAGACATCCCCTGAAAATAAGACCTAGCGCAACTTTGGGAGAAAAAATTAATATAAGACACTGTCTTATTTTCAGGGAAACAGGGTAGGGATTGAGCCCACAACCCGGGGATATGCCCTGACCAGGAATCAAACCGTGACCTCCTGGTTCATAGGTTGACACTCAATCACTGAGCCATGTCGGCCGACAGGGCACCAGTTCTTGTCTTGCAGAGGAAAGAGGGCTGAGAAGATGTATGCAGGCCCCTGACATGTGGGTACACCCAATACTTGGTCAAATGAATAAACACATAATAAGTGCAAGCATAATTCACTTACTCAACAAAGCAAAAATTGGCTCTTGGTATTGGTGATGTAAAGCATAGATACACATACAGAACATAAACACATATATAATGTAACTGTAGTATTTAAACTTGACAGGGGAGGACTGAGAAAAAATGCCCAAAGAGCCTCCTAAGAGGAAGTAAAAATGAAAATGCAGCTTGAGAAATGTTGTCTATTGCAAGATGTTTGTCTCCGCCCCCCACTCCCCTGCGCCTTTGTACATGCTACTCTGCCTGCCTGACCGCCTCTCCCCACCTTCACCTCTTGAGGTCAAGTTGACATTTACTGCACCTACTGCACGCCAGGCACTGGGCTAAGTTCTACATATGCATCATCTCATTTCATTCTCCCTGTGTCCCCCAAGCCAGGGGATGGGTGACAGCACAGACTCTGGTCCAAGTCCTGGCCCTGATACACACTACCTGGGTGTCCTTGGGCAAGTTACTTAGTACAGTGGTTGGCAAACTCTGTCAACAGAGCCAAATATCAACAGTACAACAATTGAAATTTCTTTGTGAGAGCCAAATTTTTTAAACTTAAACTATATAGGTAGGTACATTGTTATTAACTTAATTAGGGTACACGGTATTCTGTGGAAGAGCCACACTCAAGGGGCCAAAGAGCTGCATGTGGCTCTCAAGCCACGGTTTGCCAACCACTGACTTAGTGATATCGTGGTGCCTCCGTTTCCTCGTCTATAAATGGAGCAAATAACCGTACCTACTTCAGAGGACTGCTATACGGATTAAAAGAGTAAATATATGAAAAAGCACATAGAACAGTGTCTGGCCCACGGTCAGTACTACACAGGTGTTTGCTATTATTGCTGCTGTTATTATTCCTGTTTTATTTCAGACGAGGCTGAGGCTCAGTGGGGTTGCATGATCTACTTGAAGCCCTACAGCTAGCTAGTAAAACCAGGAGAGGGTCCTAGTCAGTCTGACGCCTGCACCTGGGCTCTTAACCACTGTGCTACTCTGCCCCACACCATGCGGAGCTCAGCTTTCCACCTCTTCCAGGAAGCCTTCCTGGATTTCCCCATATCTCTACAGGACTGTGTCTATGCCTCTCTCACAGCTCTCGCTACCCCATGGGGAGGCCACTCTACCTCTGTCATGGGGCTTTAAACTCTTTCCTAGGATTGTGCTGATCAGCCTTCAGATCCCCAAGGCATGGACAAATGCCTGAGGAGGAACCCCATGAGAGTTTGCTGAGCAAATGCATGATGACGGAATGGTGCCCCACCTATGGCCCCAACCTGCAGCCCAACCCCGCCACTCCCCACGAACCTGCAGCTCTCCTTCTCCGACGGCTCCACCGTGAGGTAGTACAGGTCTCTGGAGAGGTGATACGGGTCACGTCGGGGTGACCCCCAGGCATGGGCCTTGATGGACCACAGCAGGCCCAGGAGCAGCAGCAAGCCGCCTGCCCCGAAGCAGAAGAAGCTGATGGACCTGAGCAGGGGCCTGGGGGCCTCGGGCGCAGGGTGCCCAGTGGGCGGGGCCGGCTGGCTGGGCGGAACGCCCTTATCATCCCCTTCGCTCCACCACGCGAAGCAGAGCGTCCCGGCGATCAGGAACACGGTGCCGCAGACCGACAGGCAGTAGCGGAGGGTGGAGGCCACTCGGCCCCTGTCACAGCTCTGGACATGCAGAGAGAAAGGAGAGAAAAAAAACAGGCATGTGAGCAGCCTGCCAAGTACTGGGAGCCTGGGTTTGAGTTCTCCTCCGCCTGAGCTCACTGGGCAACCCTGGAGAGGTCATCTGAGGTCGCTGTGCCCCAGTGTCCTCATCCGTGTAATGGAGATGATGCTCCTAGCTTTGGTTGAAGGTCACAGTGGATGTGTCTGAAGCTGCTAGCGCCAGCCTGGGATCGAGGAGGAGTTCAGTGAGGGTGGCCATGTTTGCTCTGGGATCCCCCCTCCCCCCCGCCCCGCCCCCCAGGTCTCAGAGGCCTCCTCTGCCCAGTGGGTATAAGACTCCACCGGCTGGAGGGAGAAGAGCAAACACTTCTTGGGTCCATCAGGCCTGCCAGGGTCGGCTGGCTGGTGACGCGTTCCTCACTTCACCCAGTCACAATGCCGAGGGGTCGACAGCGCCCCCTCCGTCTGACAGAGGGAGACACGAAATGCAGGACAGGAAAAGGAGCACGTGTGAAGGAGGGCGCAGAGATGTCCGAAGGTAAAATGCATGACCTGAAGCAAATTGTGCACAAAAAATGTCCACTGTGGCCTTATTTATAACGATCCTAACTCAGAAAGAGCCAACATGTCCAACTCTAGGGAAATGGTGGGTAAATCATGGCACCACCCCTAGATGGCCTATTAATGACTTATTTTTTAAAAATCAAGCTCAGCACAAATGTTTAACAACAGGAGGGAAATGCTTTTGATATCTTACTTTTTTTCAACTTAGAATACCTACTTACCCCTATAGTGTTATCTCAACTGGGTAAAGAACAAAAACAACAAAAAAACACTGGGAGGAAGCCTGGGCCCAGACAGGAAGGGGCTAAAACACGTGTGTGTGTGTGTGTGTGTGTGTGTGGTCCCCAAAGGCATTGCACATGCTGTTCTTTTCCTGGTAACTGTCCATTACCTCCCCTCCAGGCTCAGCTCAGCCCCATCCACGAAACCTTTAAACACCCAATCCCCTCGGCCTTATTGGACCACAGTTCTTACCTGTGATTAACTTCTCCTTCGCTGTCCATACTGGCCCCGTTCGCTGCTCTATCCCCCAAGGCCTAGCACATAATAGCTGCTACATAAAGGCTTGTTAAAGAAATTCCCTTCAACGAGGGGGAAAGTGTTGCTGGCCAAATATTTGCTGTGTGAAAAGCCTGCTCACAGCTGGAAGAGTGGGTGAGGGAGGGTTCCAGGGGATCCCAGCTGCTTCAGCGCCCAGCCACGAAGCAGAGGCCTGGCTCTGGTCCCCACACCGCAGCTCCCGGCTGTGTCCTGGGCTGAGCCTCCCCACTGCTCTGAGCCTGCTGCCTCATCCGGACACGGAGCAGGTGCTCCAGCAGGCTGCTGGGAGAGCTCAGTGTGGTTCCTTCTCCCCTCCCAAACGCTGAGCCAGAGGAGCAGGGAACTCACAGACCTCAGAGAGACTTCCATGGCCAGAAACACCTCCCAGCCAGACGTGGCACATCAGAGCCAGGCCCTGGGGAGCTGCTGTTCAGAGGCATTCTCCTAGGGGAGCAGAGCGGGGTGCACAATGTTCCAGATACAGTCGGTGAAGCTTCAGGTTTCAAAGGGGCATGTTCCCACCAGAGGGTGGAGGGAGGGGTGGAAAGGGGAAGGGGCTTAAGGAGTACAAACTTCCTGTTATAACCTAAGTCACGGGGATAGAAAGTACCGCATACGGAAGAGAGTCAATAACATGGCAATAAACTATGTCTGGCGGCAGATAGTTCCTAGATTGATTGTGGTGCTCACTCTGTAAGGTATATAAGTGTTGAATAACTATGCTGTATACCTGAAACTAATATAATACTGTATGTCAATTATAATAGAAAATAAATTTAACATTTTTAAAGAGTATGTTTCCAAATGTGTTTTAAAGTGTATGTGTGGCCATAACCGGTTTGGCTCAGTGAATAGGCCTTCAGATTGAGAGGTCCCAAGTTCAATTCCGGTCAAGGGCATGTACATTGGTTGCGGGCACATCCACAGTCAGGGAGGGGGGTGTGTGTGTACAAGAGGCAGTTGATCGATGATTCTCTCTCATCAACGTTTCTAACAGTCGATCCCTCTCTCTTCCTCTCTGTAAAAAAAAAAAAAAAATCAATAAAAATAAAAAAATAATTAAAAAGCCGAAAGGAAACATTTCTTTAAAAAAATAAAATAAAATGTATGTGTGGTGCCCTGGCCATGTGGCTCAGTTGGCTGGAGCATCGTCCCACATACCACAAGGCTGCAGGTTTGATTCCAGTCAGGGCACAGACCTAGGTTGAGGGCTCACTCCCTGGTCAGGGTGCATACAGGTGGCAACCGATCAATGTTTCTCTCTCACACAATAATATCTCTCTCTTTCTCATCAATTAAAAAAATTAATAAATAAATTATATTAAATTAAATGTGTGTGGTTAAGAAATAAATCCACCCATGTTATCAATAAGAGAATGTGTATGGTCCAACCAATGTGGCTCAGGGGTTGAGTGTCAGCCTATGAACCAGGAGGTCATTGTTTGATTCCTGGTCAGGGCACATGCCCGGGTTGCGGGCTCCGTCCCCAATGGAGGTGGGTGTACAGGAGGCAGCTGATCGATGATTCTTTCTCATCATTGATGTTTCTATTTCTCTCTCCCTGTCCCTTCCTTTCCGAAATCAATTAAAAAATTTTTTTTAAGTGTGTGGGTGTATGTGTGTGCATGCACATGTGGGAGAGAGAATCTATACACGTAATGACAGAATCTATAATATACTCCAATCCCTCTGGGCCATTTGCAAATGACCTGCAGTTCTCTGCCTATGAATCTGTCTTTGGGGCAAGTGCCTTCTGTCTCCAGCTCAGGGGGAAGAAAAGAACCGGACTACCCTCCCCCCAAAGTCAGACAGCAAGGAGAGGCTGTCAAGAGAAAAAGCTGGAGAGACCAACTTGAAAAAAAAAAAACCACACCAAAACAGCAAATCAATCACCGTAAGCCCTGGGCTGTATCTATAGCACTTGACAGTTGCCCTTCAAACCCAGCATCTCATCTGACCCCTCGCAACAGGGCAGGGAAAGAAATTCCTGTTTTGCAAATGACACAGGAGCCAGACAGGTGAGAGACTTTGCCCACACCCAGATACAACGAAGTTTCTCTACACCTGAAGAACTCACACCTGCATCAGGTAACTCACGATGCTTTTTTCCTGTGGGAAGAGGAGGGAACCACCGAGGGGGTAACAATGCAAAGCAGAGATGAGCGTTCAGCCTGCTCCGCAGAGATGAGCATGATCCCCATGTGCATGTTTCCTTTCCATTCTCCCTGGGCTTACATACACAATGGTGATGACAGCCGGTGTGTGCTGGGCATTTCCATGGGCTGGACATCAAGCACTTTACAGGGGTCCCATCACGTGACCCTCAGAGCAGCAACATGTTCTGAGGACATGGGCCTAGAAAACTGTCAGTCTGTCCGAGGTCAGTGTCAAACTTGAACCCAGGTCTAGTCTGACTCAAATTCCTGGGTGTGCACAGCTTAGATCTATCTGAATGTTTAAGCATAGGAAGGTAAGACCTTGCTGTAAAGAGATGTATCTGTAAGTCTTTTTTTTTTTAAATATATATTTTATTAATTTTTTTACAGAGAGGAAGAGAGAGGGATAGAGAGCTAGAAACATCAATGAGAGAGAAACATCGACCAGCTGCCTCCTGCACACCCCCTACGAGGGATGTGCACGCAACCAATGTACATACCCTTGACCAGAATCAAACCTGGGACCTTTCAGTCCACAGACCGACACTCTATCCACTGAGTCAAACCAGTGTGGGCATGTGTCTGTAAGTCTTTAGTACAGGCCCTTCTCACGCTCTGGAAGGCACTGTCCTCCTCAGACAAGCCCCTGCAATTGCCCTTAGCATGCTCTCACCGCTGAGGGCACCTCCCTCTGTGCGGGTCTCCTTCCTTCCAGGTGGATCCCCCTGTGGGCAGGCAGGACACAGGCTCCCTGCCATTCCAGGACGGAGGGTGCCAGTGTCCACCGGGGGAAGGACAGCCTGGTCTGTTGCTGTGTGGTTTTCATTATGTACAGATCCGAGCTCTGGCTGATTATCAGCAGCAGGTGTCCCGGCCCAAGGCTCTCCTGACCCGTTTCAGAGTTGCCTTCTGGCAGCTTACTCACCTTGAGGCAGGACAGTAAGAAGCTAGGAAGATTCCTTGGCAAGTAGAATAGGGAACCTGAGGCAGGTAGCTGAACGCACTGGCTGAGCAATTTACAGCCAGATGCAAAAGGTCACCTCCCTAGAGATAGCACGTAGGCCTCAGTAGTGTTCCAAATTCAGGTCCAGAAAAGCAGCAACATTTGGTGGGCAACTCCTGGACCAGCTGTAATGACTAATGACTCTGCCCTGGTGCTGACCAATCAGTAGAGACCACAACCCTAAAAGGTTGTAATCTCCTCTAAGTCCGCCCCTAAATTCCCAGCTTTTAAAAACCCTCAAAACGTGCCCTAGCCTAGAGGTGTCGAACTCAATCAGAGAAGGGGCCAAAATCTAAAATCCAGCCTAAATCGCGGGCCTAATGGTTTACTGAACAGTCATAAACTGTCATTGTGATGGAAACGCAGCGGAGTGCAGTGATGACAGCGCGGTGCGAGCCACATTGCAAGGCCTGGCGGGACGGATTTGGCCCGAGGGCCTTGTGTTTGACACATGTGATAGAAGAAGGTAGGAAATAGTCAGCTGGGGGAGTGGCTACTCCAGGGATGCACGGAAGCAGTGCCAGGCACACCATTTGTGCCATGGTTGTGGGCTCGATCCCCAGTGGGGGACTTGCAGGAGGCAGCTAATCCATGAGTCTCTCTCATCATGGATGTTTCTGTCTCTCTCCCTCTTCCTTCCTCTCTGAAATCAATAAAAATCCTTAAAAAATATAGAAACTATAGCATTTGAAAAATAAATAAATACCGCCGAAACCGGTTTGGCTCAGTGGTAGAGCGTTGGTCTGCGGACTGAAAGGTCCAGGGTTAGATTCCGGTCAAGGGCATGTACATTGGTTGCGGGCACATCCCCGGTAGGGGGTGTGCAAGAGGCATCTGGTCGATGTTTCTCTCTCATCGACGTTTCTAGCTCTCTATCTTTCTCCCTTCCTCCTCTCTGTAAAATATCAATAAAATATATTTAAAATAAATATTGTAAATAAATAAATACCCTCAAAACAAAGGACCCAGCAGGTCCCCCCCTCCCTGGAATAAGCTCCCGCCTTCCCCTTCCCTCTTCTCCCCCTATAGGAGTGCATCCCCTAACTTCTAAGGGTCCCCATGAGATTTGCAATCTGTCTCCACGGCCCCATTCTCCCGGACTTTGCAGTGAGCAAAAGCAGCCCCACCCAGGCCCTCCTGTTGCTTCTTCTGTCCTAAGCCCTTCCTTGTCTCCCTGTCCACAGCTCTAATCAAGTACTCTCAATCACCTGCACTCCTGTTGCGCAATCTTTCCTGCACAAGGTCAAGAACCCACACACTGCCGGGCTGGTGTAGCTCAGTGGTTGAGCCTCAACCTATGAATCAGGAGGTCATGGTTCGATTCCGGGTCAGGGCACATGCCCAGGTGGCAGGCTCCATCCCCAGTAGTGGGCATGCAGGAGGCAGCTGATCAATGATGAGTGATTCTCTCTCATCGTTAATGTTTTTTATTCTCTCTCTCTTCCTCTCCTTTCCTCTCTGAAATCAATAAAAGTGTATTTTAAAACACACACACACACACACACACACTGCTGGCCAGCCCTAGGCAGACCCGCTAAGGGCCAGGTAACAAACTCTCACTCCTGTGCACACGGTACCCTGCTGTGGGAGGAAGAAGGAACTCCCTGCCCTGGAGGGAATAACCCAACCCCACAGAAGCCCTGGTCCCCGCACTCAGCCTGCCAGGATGGCGCCCTCCTTCACCTCCCTCTCCTCCCTCACCTCTCTCACCTCCCTCACCCTCCCACACACAAACACATCCCAACTCCTGCCACCAGGGGGCCCCTACACCTGTTGCTGTCCCAGGCTGGGGAGCCCTCGGTCCCCATCCAGGGCCCTCATTTCACAGCCCCACCTCTTCAAGACCCTGCCCAATGCCGCATCTTCCCAAAGGCAGCTGCCACCTTCGCCTCCCACCAGCCACAGGAGGCCTTTCCTTGCATCTGATGAATGGCCCCGCTGACTACGGCCATTCTCTCAGCGTCTCTGAGCTCACATCCCTACCTCCCAGGGAGGAGGAGTACGTTGTGAAGATTAGGTGGCAAGATGGCAAACTGTACGTGAAGTTCGGTGACGCCAAGGGAGCCGGACAGAGAACGGCCCTGCTCTGACCCTAGGCAGGACGCCTGGCTCCTCCACGCCTCCCTCCCCTCCTCTGTGACATGGGCGCAGACACACCGCGGTGCCCTGCTGCCCACCAGGGACCGTTCGGTGTCGGTTTGCAGTAAAGAACGGAACCCTGTCGTGTAAGCTAGAAGTGCCCATATCTTAAGGTGACCAGACGTCCCGCTTTTGGCGGGACAGTCCCGATTTCCAACAATTGGTCCCGCGTCCCGTCCCGCGGCGTTTTAAAAAAGTCCCCATTTGCCGAAACTGGTTTGGCTCAGTGGATAGAGCGCCGGCCTGCGGACTGAAAGGTCCCAGGTTCGATTCCGGTCAAGGGCATGTACCTTGGTTGCGGACACATCCCCAGTAGGGGGTGTGCAAGAGGCAGCTGATGGATGTTTCTCTCTCGTCTATGTTTCTAACTCTCTATTCCTCTCCCTTCCTCTCTGTAAAATAATCAATACATTTAAAAAATAAAAAGTCCCGATTTTCCACAATTTGTCCCGCGCGTTTTTAAGAAGTCCCGATTTTTATTTTTAAAAATCGGGACTTTTTTAAAATGCTGCGGGACGCAGGGACAAATTGTGGGAAATCGGGACTGTCCCGCCAAAATAGTCACTTTACCATAATCTCCACCTACACGGAGGCCCTGCTCGCCTGGGCCCAAGGCCACTCAGCGAGTTACAACCCAGAAGACGCCCAGCAAGCCCTCCCTCCGGTCAGGGCGAGGGGAAGGGACCAGCCGGGGGGCGTCAGGCGGAGCCGGGCTGCTCCCGAAGGAGCGGAGACGGGAGGAAGCTCGTACCCACCTGGGGCGCAGCCATGGCGCGCGGGCGTCAGGGGCGGCCGGGGCGCGGGGGTGCGGGGGGCAGAGGCATGGTGGCTGTCGGAGCCGGAGCGGCGAGCCCCTGGAAACGCGTCCCTCGTTCGGGTCTGCAGGGGGCGCCGGCCGTCAGGGGGTGGCTCTGGCGACGATCCCGAGTCCCGTCTCCGCGCCGCGCAGGAGCGCTAAGGTGGGGTCCGGGTCTGGCCCCGGGATCTCTCCTGTCTCCTACCCGCAGCCGCGGCCGTCGGGGCAAGCCGCCGCCCCGCCCGAGCGGAGGTGCCGGGCGGACTCCCCCGCAGGAGCGGTCCCCGGCGGCGCGCACCAGCGGCTCATCGGCTGCTCCGCGGGGTTCGCCCGGGACCGGCTGGGTGACCCCCGGCTCCGGCCCTGCGGACCTGCCCTCTGCGCTCGGACTCGGGGCGGGGCCGCCGCTCCCCTCCAGGGATCCTCGTCCTGCCGGCCGCCGTGTCGGGCGGAAACTCCGGGACCAGCCCCCGCGACTCCGGGGCGGCTCCCGGTGGCGCCCCGCCCGGCCTTAAAGCGAAAGTGCGCGTGGGGCTGGCGAGGGTTAGGGTTCCCTGCACCGGGCGCGCCGAGGCCGTTGTTACCTGGAGCGGAAGGGAATCCTCTGGCCTTGGGGCTGTCCTGCTCCCACTACGTCCCACCCCCCTCCTGGGTGATGGGGTGTGTGGGGGGTGGAGGGGGTGTGGACGGAGACAGCTGCTCTGAGAGCCACCAATGCCCAGCCAGAGGGGGATCTAGGATTCCGGAGCCCCCCCTTCCTACTCCCACTTTACAGAAAGAGAAACTGAGACCCAAAGCGGGAAAGTCGCAGGCCTCAGTGCTTTACCGCCAACTCCGTTTACCCAACTGGCTTTTCTTCTCCCTTAGGTCAGTCTGAGAGCCAGCCCTAGGCTAAGGGAGACCCCCAAGACCTCACCGCCTAGCGGAAGTCAGTCTCAGAAATAAAGGCCCGCGGGTAGGTGCTTCCCCAGGCTCCCGGGAGAGGGGGGCTTGAGAGCAGGCCTCCCACCTGATAGGAGACCTCACTTCTCTGAGCCTTCCTCCTGTGTCAACGGAGGGCTGAAGATTCAGATGTGTGAGATGGTCCAGCTGGCTGGCGGGGCTCAGTGGTTGAGCAGCATCTATGAATCAGGAGGTTACCGTTTCAACAGGGCACTTGCCGGGGTTCAGTGTGGGGTGTGCAGAAGGCAGCCAATCAATGATTCTCTCTCATCATTGCTGTTTCTATTTATCTCTTCCTTCCTCTCTGAAATCAATAAAAAAAATATATTTTTTAAAAACTGTGAGCACTGAATGAGTTAAGCACTTGAGGTTAAACACTGGGCGTTTAACAAGTGCAAGCTAACAGCAGTTTTTGTGGACTGGTTTTTCGGGTGTCTGGAGGATCAGCTGTGTGTGTGTGTGTGTGTGTGTGTGTGTGTGTGTGTGTGTGTTCTTCTAGGGAAGGACACAGGAGTTATCTTAGAAAGGTGGGATAGGCAGAGCATCCAGGCTGGAGGAGTAGCAGGTGCAAAGCCCGGACAAAGTCACAGGCTGGTTAAACCTTGGCAAGTTCATGGGGGTCCAAGGGAGCTGATTCCCAGACCAGCCTAGGTCTGTTTGGGTTTTGTTTTTGTCTTTTCCTGCTGCTCGGATAAGGCAGACGACAGGCAGGGCCTGAGTCCCCTCACCCACACCAATGACTCCCCTCAGAGCTGGCAGGCTGCACTCCCAAATAACAATGGCTCTGTTTGAGAAGCTCCTTAGTCAGGGGTGACTCTCTGAGGGGAAGGACTGGGTGTGACTTGGCTCACGACCCAGCCAGACCCAGCAGGGCCAGGATCACTGGCACTAGGTCCTGCTTGGAACCCAGGGATCTGGCCCATTCTCCTGGCTCCCTCTTCCTCTTCCCCACCTTTTGGGATCTCTCCGGAGCCCCATGAGCTTGGATATCCTTGCAGACCCTTTCTGAACCAGCAGCCTCAGCTATTCCCTGGCACCAGGTTGGAGACTCGGAGGAGAAAGTGGTCACCAGCTTTTGGCGCACCCACTTATTACAAACGTCACCAGCCAGCTGTTTTTTTTCATGTTCTTCTAAGAATCTTATTTTCCAATTACAGTTGATGTACAATATTATATATATTTTTTTTCTTGTTAAGGATTGCTCAGTGAAATCAAGAACACTGGGAGACAAGTGCCCCACCCAGAGTCGCGCACAGTCTATACTTGAGGAGTGGAGTCGGGGTGGGAGAGGAGGTGCCAAAACCCATGTCGTTCTGAATCTTCCAGACCTTTATGCAGAATATCCCCCTTCACAGTCTGTGAGGAACAGTTGCAAAGCCTGTAAGGGGAGGAAAACATTTCCCTAAATGTAGCCTCAATCTGCACAAGCTCTGCCCACCCCCCACCCCACCTCCCCACCCTCTCGGGCCCACGGCCACATTTGGAGAAGCAATAAGCACTGGAATCAGGCCTCTTGTGGTTGTTATGAGGGTTAACTGAGTTATTATATAATGTGCTTAGCAACAGTGTTTGGCTTATAGTAAGTATAATACTTAGTAATATTGGCCATTATTATTATTATTATTATGATGATGATGATGATGATGATGATGTCTGCAAGTGGAAGAGAAGCAATGAGAGAAACCATGATCTTCCTGGCAGAGCATCCTCCCTCCCTCCCTCCCCCACCTCCTGCCTCCGGACATGGCTCCAGCACCATGTCCTGGAAACAACCAGCTACTGTAGCGTTGTTATATAATTCTAAGTGTACACATTTTACAAAAATCTGGTCACACGTAGCATGCCCTTTTCAATGGCTTTCATTTTCATTTCACATAATTCATCGTGAACATCTTCCCCTATCTCACTGCATTCTAGTTACTCACTCACATGTCTGGCTACCCTGTAGACAGCACCTTGAGGGCACATATGGATATCTCATGTCCTATCCCCACCCCACCCTCCTTGTGCCATCTCAAAGCTGGCGCATAGTAGGACCACCACCAGGGATGGAGCCACAACCCAGGCATATGCCCTGACCCGTAATCAAACTGTAATCTCCTGGTTTATAGTTCCTCGCTCAACCACTGGGCTGACTTCTGTTTTTATAGGCCCAGGAAAGGAAAGTGAATTGCCTGAGGTGTAACAGGCTGGCAGACTATGTCCTACAGATCAAATCTGCTCACTGCCTGTTTTCATGTGGCCTACTCACCTGGAAGGACTTTTTACGTGTGTGTGTGTTTTGTTTTTTTTAATGATTGAAAAAAAAAAAGACTTTCATGATACATGAAAATTTTACAAAATTCAAATTTTAAAAAAATATATTTAAAAAAAATATATTGATTTTTTTACAGAGAGGAAGGGAGAGAAATAAAGAGCTTGGAACGTCGATGAGCGAGAAACATCAACCAGCTGCCTCTTGTACACCCCCTACTGGGGATGTGCCCGCAACCAAGATACATGCCCTTGACCGGAATCAAACCTGGGACCTTTCAGTCCACAGACCGACACTCTACCGGTTTGGCCAAACCGGTTTCGTCCAAAATTCAAATTTTAATGTCCATAAATAACATCTTACTGGATCACAGCCAAGCTCATTTTTTACAGACTACTTTTGTGCTACAACGTTAGAGTTAAGGAGTTGTGACGTAAACCATATAGTCCATAAAGCCTAAAATCTTTGCTATCTGTACCTTTAGAGAACATGTCTGCTGGTCCCTACCCTCGCCTCTCAGCTCTGCCACTAATGGGCTGTGCAATCCTGGGCAAGTGGCCACCCCTCTCTGGCCCTCATCGCTTATAAAATGGTGATAAAACTTTTCTCTACAGGCGGGTGCCGTATTAATTCTCTATTGTTTCATAACAAATGATCACAAACGTATTAGTTTAATATGACACCCCCTTCTCCCCCCGTTGACATTTGAATAGCACGAAGATTAAGGATGCTGCCAAAACTGGTTTGGCTCAGTGGATAAAGCGTCGGCCTGCGAACTGAAAGGTCCCAGGTTCAATTCTGGTCAAGGGCATGTACCTTGGTTGCGGGCACATCCCCGGTGGGGGGTGTGCAGGAGGCAGCTGATCCATGTTTCTCTCTCATCGATATTTCTAGCTCTCTATTCCTCTCCCTTCCTCTCTGTAAAAATCAAAATATATATTTTTTAAAAATAGAAAAAAAATGCTGATCCTATGCCTGGCATAGTTGAAAATCCAGGAATAATTTTTGCAAAGAGGTTGGATCAGTTTAAGTGTCTGTGCTGCCCCTTCTCACATCAGAACTACTGACAACAAAGGCTGCGCCTGCCTCTCCCACCTGCCTGTCTGGCTGGCAGGGAAGGGAAACGTGCATGTTGGTGAAGGAATGAGCTGGGTGGGGACAGCAGTGAAATCTGGAGTAAAGCCAAAACCGGTTTGGCTCAGGGGATAGAGCGTTAGCCTGCAGACTGAAGGGTCTCGGGTTCGATTCCGGTCAAGGGCATGTACGTTGGTTTTGGGCATAACCCCAGTAGGGAGTGTGCAAGAGGCAGCTGATCGATGACTCTCTCTCATGATGACTCTCTCTCTCTCATCGATGTTTCTAACTCTATCTCTCTCCCTTCCTCTCTGTAAGAAATCAATAAAATATATTTTAAAAAAAAGAAGAAGAAAAAAAGAAAAGAAATCCGGAGTAAAAATGAAGCTGCCCACGGTGTCCTGCAGGCTGTAAAATGCAGTTTAGTCAGAGTGCCATTATTTTTTGTTGTTAAAATGATTTTAATGATTGGAATGCACAATTTTTAAAATATGCAAATAAAAAGTTTTAAAACCTAAAAAAAGGAATAACTTTTAACTCCCCCAAAACAGCATACTGTTAACCTTACCAACAACATAAACAGTCAACTCACACATATTTTGTATGTTAAATGTATCATATGTACTGTATCTTACAATAAAGTAAGCTAGAGAAACTAGAATGTTATTAAGAAAATCATAAGGAAAAAAATACATTTAGGGTAGTGTACTCTATTTATTGACACCATATGTTTGTTGTCTGTTTACAAGATGGAAAAAACCCTGCCTGCAAGTGGACCCACGCAGTTCACAGTGTGCTGTTCAAGAGTCAGCTGTGCTTATTACCTCACAGTTCCATAGGTCAGAAATCCAGGTGGGTCAACTGAGCTCTCTGTGTAGGATTTCACAAGACCAAAATCAAATTGGTGTGGGCTGGGCCGGCTCTTATCTGGAAGCTCTGGAGAAGTATCCTGCTTCCAGAATATCTGCAGGATTCTGTTCCTGTGGCTGTGGGACTTGAGCCCCCGTTTTCTTTCTGGATGTCCCCCATTGCTCTCAGTTCTCAGATCCTGCACCATGGACGCCTTCACCTCAGCAACGAAGAACCTCCCTCAAGTCACATCTGTCTCCAGCTGTGACTCTCTCTGCCTGCCTCTTCTGCTACCAGCGGGAGAAAACTCTGCTTTTAAAGGGCGCCTGGGATCAGGTTAGGC